CCTTTTTTTTAAATGTTATTGGGATCCTATTTTGACTTAGTGTCAAAATAAGTCATAATAGTAAGGGATTAAAATCAATAACATTAAAATTCATGTGTCAAAATTTAAATTAGGGACAGGCATTTTGCGTAGTGGCAAAAATGCTACTCAGGACACTGCATGGGAGTGTCTGGATGTAGGTCCCAGCAAGACTTCCAATTCCAGCTTCCTGTTAATGTGCATTCTGGGAGCAGTGGATGATGGCCTGAATGCTTGGGACCTTGCAAACACCAGGGATGCTCAGACTGAATTCCTGGCTCCCAGCTTTGGCCTGACCCAGCTCTGGCTATTGCAGGCATTTGCAGAGTGAACCAGCAGATCTCAAAATTCCTCACATACATACATTTTTCTCTTTCTTTCTTTCTTTCTTTCTTTCTTTCTTTCTTTCTTTCTTTCTTTCTTTCTTTCTTTCTTTCTTTCGATTTATTCTTTTTTTTATTTAAAAGACAGATTTACAGAGAGAAAGAAATACAGAGAGATCTTCCAGCCACTGGTTCATTCCCCTAATGTCCTCAAAAGCCAGAGCTGAGTCGATCCGAAGCCAAGAGCCAGGGACTGCTTCCAGGTCTCCCACATGGGTGCAGAGTCCCAAGGCTTTGAGCCATTCTCCTCTGCTTTACCCATACCACAAGCAGGAAACTGGATGGAAAGTGGAGCAGCCGGGACACAAACAGGCACCTGTATGGGACCCTGACATTTTGCAAGGGGAGGATTACCCAGTTGAGCCCCTGCGCCAGGCTCATATGCATAAATTTAAAATTTTTTTTTAAATCCTCACCTTATCTTTTAATTCTGCTTTCCACAAACTTTTTGTAGTACTCTTGTACAGTTGAAAACTTGTCTGCAAATTTAAAATTATATCAAAATAAAAAGTTACAACTAATCAGGATAGAGCAATAATGTACATCCCAAGCTACTTGGGCAGAATCTTATCAACCTAGAGGGAAGGACATTCAAAGATGTACTCCTTGTACTGCGGTCATCTGTAGCCTCCTCCTTCCGCCACCTCCTGTTTTCTTGGCTAAAAGAAATAGAGACCAGTAGCCAATATGTAGGTGGTCTATCTGGGGGCAGCTTTAAAGAGAACACAGCCATTGTAACCACATGGATGGATTCATTTTAACACAATTGAGCTCTCTTTGTTCTGGAGGGCAACTGAGAGATCCTGCAACAGGTTGTAATCAGAGTAAACATACAAAACATTCTTAACATGAAACAGAAAAATAAGTCATGCGGGATGGGGGAAGGGAACAACACAAACTGTACACCATTTGCTAACTTAAAAAAAATGAAGAAGAAATCTAGTGTTTGTAGTTATCTTATGATTTAATCCGATATGAAGACCCTCATCTGACTGTATCAGATTGTATGCCATGCACTGTAGGAAACGGTATTATCAGAGTGCACAGACATTGGCCTAACTAGGTGCATATCTTTTCAATATTTTTTGAGGAGGGACTGATGGCCCAGCTTTAGACAACCTTTTTTGTAGAATAATAGCCTGGAAAGTTGACCCAAGAGAAGAATTAAAGGGCATGACAAAAGTAAATTGGATTAAGATGGAAAAAATACTTTTGATCAAAAAAATCAATGAAGTATATAATAAAAAATGCTCTCCCCTCCTTCCCATACCGGGTCAATCTGGGTGTTTCTTTGTCCTGAAAATTCCCATGTGTCCCGGGAATTCCCATGTGTCCCATGGGCCCACAATGAGAGCAGGAAGGGGCAGGACCTTGGGAAGGCAAGCAGATGATGAGTGCTCAACCAACCAGAAGGCGGTTAGCATCCCTTCCAAAGAGACCCAAGCAACTTGGATCCTACCTTCAGTGTTGGGGTGTACTCAGCAGAAAGGGGGTGCTACCATGGGCCAGATCCTCGAGGGCCTGGGTTGTGGATTCAGACTTCAAAATCCGGCAAGAAATGTACGTTGCAGATGAATGATCCCAGAGAAGGCATTTTGTCAGAGTTGCTCAAATGGGTGAGACACCTGCCATTCCCATGCATATTTTTTTTACCCTTCATAAAATGTTAATCATCATATCTAATTCACTGTCATTTAGCAGAATTTAATCCAGATTTTATTTTTGTCATGTAACATTGAAGAAGATACGATGTTTATACTATGTACAAAATTCAACACTTAAAAAAACAGTAATTTTACTTTTCTTAAGGATTTATTTATTTGTTTATTTATTTTTATTGGAAAGGCAAATATACAGAGAGAAAGAGAAACAGAGAAAGTTCTTCTATCCACTGGTTCACTTCCCAGCTAGCTGGTCACAGCAGCTGAAGCTGAGCTGATTCAGAGACAAGAGCCAGCAACCTAGAACCTCTTCTGGGTCTCCCATGCAGGTACTGGGAACCAAAGCTTTGGGCCATCCTCAACTGCCTTCCCAAGCCACAGGCAGGGAGCTGGATGGGAAGTGGAACAGCCGGGACATGAACTAGCACCCAAATGAGATCCTGGTGCATGCAAGCCACAGATTTACCCACTAGGCCATCATGCCAGGCCCCAAAACAGTAATTTTAAATTCTATCAAAGAAGGCAGAGAATCAAGGTAGCTCTGGTTTTAATTAGTTGGTCTTGATGACACTGAGTCTACCAGAAATAAAAACCCTTTCCCTATCTCGGGCCAAACTCCTCTGTGGCAAACAAGGAATTTCTTTGATACAAATGTTCAACTTTTAATCCACAGAATGAAAATAAATCATGAGTTAGCCAAAATAAGCCATTTGCGATATAATTAGACTATAATTTTCATCATTAATTATGTGTGTCTCTAGAGCTAAAATAGTTTTGATTTGCAAAAATCAAGTAATTAAATTAAGTAGATAATTGTTCCCAAGGACCCGGAAGCAGGTAATAGCAAGTTGAAAACTTACCAACATAAATTATCACCTTGCTTAGTCCCCCTGAAGACACAGAATAAAACTTTCAGGAAAATCTCAGAATGATAAATGTCAAGTATTGTTGAGTGTGATAGGGCTTGTGGGTACCAGCCATATCCTCTGCATCCTCTTCCTAACGAGCCATATCAATCTTCTGGAAAGGTCAATTCCAACCACTTTCAGCTACAGGAATAAGGCCTGATTGTATTAAGCCATTTAGAATAATTTTATTCTCCTTATCTCAGTTTGTTCAAGGGTAGACCTTTGATCTAAGTTGATCAGGTTTTCTTTAAGATTCATGCATTTTAATTGGAAAGTCAGATATACAGAGAGAAGGAGATACAAAGACGAAGATGTTCTGTCTGTTGATTCAATCCCCAAGTGACTGCAATGGTCAGAATTGAGCCAATCTGAAATCAAGAGCCAGGAGCTTCTTCTGAGTCCCCCCGGGGATGCCAGATCCCAAGGCTTTGGCCCATGCTCTAATGCCTTCCCAGGCCACAAGCAAGGAGCTGAATGGAAAGTGAAGCAGCCGGGAGATGAGCCAGTGTCCGTATAGGATCCTGGCAGCACATGTAAGGCAAAGAGTTTAACCACTAGGCTATTGTGCCAGGCCCCTAAGTTGAGATTAGTTTTACATTTCAACTTTTAGATGTCATTCTTAATTCTTTCATTTCCAATTGCTTTTAGAAAAAAATATTGATTTAAGAGCCAGGGTTGTGCACATGACAGGTTAAACTGATGTCTGGACTGCCAGCATCCCATATGAGCAGTGAGAGCTTGCTGCTCCACGTCCTATCTGACTTCATGCCAACATACCTTGGAAAGGATCAGAAGGTGGCCCAAGTACCTGGGCTCCTGTACCCATGTGGGAGACCCAGATGGTTTCAAGCTCCTGGCTTTGGCACGTAGAAAGTGAGTCAGTAGATGGGAGGTATCTTTCTCTGGCTTTCCCTTTCTCTATAACACTGCCTTTCTAATAAAATATATGAATGTGGGTCTGACACAATGGCTCAATTGGCTGATTCTCCCCCCGCAAGCACCAGGATCCCATATGGGCACCAGTTCAAGTCCTGACTGCTCCACTTCCCATCCAACTCCCTGCTTGTGCCCTGGAAAAGCAGTAGAAAATGGCCCAAACTCTTGGGACTTTGCATCCACGTGGGAGACCTGGAAGAAGCTCCTGGGTCCTGGCTTTGGATCAGCTTAGCTTGGCCATTGCAACCATTTGAGAAGTGAACCAATGGATTGAAGATCTTTAAAAACAATTAACTGAACATTTAAAACTCGTTTTATCTTACTTCAAAGACAGAGTGGGAGGTCTTCCATCTGCGGTTCACTTCCAAGTGGCCACCAAAAGCCAGAGCTGGGTCGGGTCCAACTCAGGAGCCTGAAACTCCATCCAAGTCTCCCTCATGAATGGCAGGGACTCGAGTATGAGCCATTCATTATCTGTTGCCTTCCAGGGGCGTTGACAGGAAACTGGGTAGCTCCTGGCTTCAGCACTTGATTCAGCTGAGGGACACAGCGTGCACCTAGAGAGTGGGTCAGCAGGTGGAACCCGTGTATCTAATAGATGGGGGAAAAAATGTTTAATTCTTAGAAGCACAAAGGAGAATGGTGGTTACCAGGGACGATGGAGAGACAGAGAGTCCTTCAATCCGTGTAGACTTACAGTTCTTCAACATAAAAGATGTTTTGGAGCTCTCTCGCACAAGGATGTGAATGTAATGAACTGAAGTGCATAAATATAGTCACAGTGGTAGCTGTCACTCCCCACCCTACCCCCGCCACACTTAAACAAATGGAAGAAGAAATGGTAAGAGGGCGGCTTCATGCTAAGCTCCTCACATCCGAATCTCTTGGCTACATCGAGGCTCACCAGCTCTTTTTCCCAAACAGTACCCCAAGCGCCTAGCACCCCCTTTCTCCCCACCCCCGGGCTCACGCATTGAGAAGTGCCGCCGCCTCTGAGCACCAGGGGGCGCTCCCGACTCGCCCCTCTCTCCCCGCCCACCTCCCAGTCTCCTCCAATCACGGCCCTGGCCCCGCCCCCTCGGCCCGAGCCTCTTTCCTGCATCCGGGCTCGGCCGTGAGAGCTGGGAAGGCTGGCAGGAGACATGGAGGTTCGCGGCGAGGATCCCGCGAACCCGGGCTGTTCATCCTCCACCCGAGACCGCCCCGGAGTCCCTGTGTCCAAGGAGCTGCTGACGGCCGGGAGCGGCGGCCGCGGAGGTGACAGGCGGGGCGTTGGACGAGCAGGGTTCCGTGCCGGGCCCCGCACCCCGGCTTCCCTATAGGGGAACCCTGGAAACGTGCATCTTGGCCGCGGGGCCGGGGTCGGGGATCGGGGAACCGGGGCCGGGGATCGGGGAACCGGGGCCTGGGATCGGGGAACCGGGGATCGGGGCCTAGGGCCGGCTTCTCCCGCGCCCGGCATGTGTTCCACGAGGCAGTGCGCGCCCTCCGGGCCACGCACCGCAGCCAGGCACCTCGCGGGCCTTGGGGCGTCGGCGTCCGAGCCCATGGCTGATGGGGGAGGCAGGCAAAGGCGAACGCTGCCCTTCTCCTCCTCCTCACGCCTAAACCACCCCTGGGTGTCGCCCAGGGAGTGCGCACAGAATTATCGGGAGGAGGAAGGAGGGAGTGCGTGGGAGACTTGGGGGGTTTCTCGGTGAATATGTGCCTGAAGAAAGGTTCTAGAACTCCGAAATTCTGACCGAATTAGTGACCACCGGAGCTCAGGTCGAGCCTCAGCAGTTAGCTAAGTCAGCCCAGCAGCCACCTGTGCTTTGCGGATGGGGAAGTCGAGGCAGGGTCTGTCAGGCCGAAGAGCAGCGGCTGCAGAGCAGCAAAGCTGGGATTTGAACCCCAGGCAGTCGCTTGGCACTCTGATGCAGCTGGTAGGCGCTAAGCAGTTAGCACCACAGGGTGCTTGTGAGCTTGGCTTTGAGGATAAATGGGATTATGTTCAACGCGTTTTTTTAAATAAGATTTATTCATTTTTTATTGGAAAGGCAGAGTTACAGGGAGGAGGAGAAACAGATCTAACTTCGTTCCAAATGGCCGCAATGGCCAGAGCTGTCAGAAGCCAGGTCTCCCACGCAGGTGCAGGGTCGCAAGGCTTTGGGCCGGCTTCTGCTGCTTTCCCAGGCTCCAAGCAAGGAGCTGGATGGGAAGCAGGGCTGCCACGATTCGAATCAGTGCCCATATGGCATCCTGGCGCTTCAGGCAGAAGGTTAGTTTAGTCTATTATGCCATGGTACCGGCCCCAAGCCCGGACTTTTGAAAGCCCTGTTCTTGGAGCAGTGACGGGCTTGGGGAGTTGGGTTGACCTGAGGAATAACCAAGAGAATGAAAACGTGGCGTGGGAGACAAAATGTGCCCATAAGGCTGCTCTGGGTTGGGTGGTCTCGCAAGGTGGAGGTACCAAGCATCCGTGCTTTACAGAGGAAGAAACAGGCCCATGTGGTTGGCTCATCTACCACCTGCAAGTGCTGGCCTTCCATAGATTTCTCTTAAAAAGAAAAAAGGACCAGTCATGAGAGGTTTGCTCACAGGCCCCAATTTTTTTTAATATGAAGTTAATCCTGTGTCTCTCTTCAGGTATATGGGACAAGCTGCTCATCACTGCCAAGCCTGATTCCAAGAAGGCGACCACTCTTCAGACCGTGCGTGTGGAGCGGAGTCCCTGTGAGTGCCCCTCCCCGCTTTTTAAAAAAATATTTTTTATTTTGAATTTTAAATTTTATCATGCAATTCTGTATAGTCTAGGGTTCCCCTCCCCCCAGTGCCCTTTCCCCTTTTATGTTCTTATGCTCCTGTTCACCTAATTCAGTTGTTATTTGGCAGAAACCAATTTCTGCTGCTCCGTGAGGGAGATCACAGAGTCTGGTGGGGTGAGCATTACTTGGAATTATCTTTCCTTTTTAAGATTTATTCACGTTTATTGAAAAAGCAGATTTATAGGAAGAAGGAGAGACCGAAAAAAAAAATCTTCCATCCTTTGATTCACTCCCCAAGTGGCCTCAACAGGCTGGAGCTGAACCTATCCGAAGCCAGGAGCCAGGAGCTTCCTCCTGGTCTCCCACATGGGTGCAGGGTCCCAAGGACTTGGACCGTCCTCTACTGCTTTCCTGGGCCATAGGCAGAGTTGGAAGAGCAGTACAGCAGCTGGGACATGATATCCATATGGGATGCTGGCACTGCAGGAGAGGTTTAGCTTGCTAAGCAGCGATGCTAGCCCCAGCAAAGTGGTTTAGTTATGGCACAGTTATGGAGATCCAAGAGCAAGGTGCTGGCATCTGTTTGGTGGCGTTCACTGAGAACCTTCCCTCCGAGCCTGATCCCATGAGACATGGCCAGGAATCCCTAGTCAGGCTGGCCCACCCTTCCTAGTTCTTCAGTCCATTAACCCAGTGAAGGGATTAATCCATTCAGGAGAGCTGCACCCCGATCACTTCTTCAGGGTCCCACCTACTCCCTCCTCTCTCCTAACAGAAGACAAATTTCAGCCTGAGCTTGGGAAGGGACAAACCCAAGTAGTACGCAAGCATAGAACTTCTGACTATTTCCCAGAGTGAAGATGGTGGCTTTGGGGGCCAGTGCTGTGACACCGCACATTGAGCTGCTGCTGCCTGCAGTGGTAGCAACCCATATGAATTCAAGCTTAAGACCTGCTGTGCAATTTCCGATCTAACTCCTGGCCAGTGCACTTGGGAGAGCATTTTTTTCCTTCGGGTATTTTATCTGACCGTCTTCTTTGTGCAGAGTTCTGAATGTTCCCTAATCTGTGCCAGTTGTTCACTGGCTTTGGTGGATTCTGTTTATTCTTATTTTCAGTAACTGCTTTAACACTGTTATTGCCGATTCCATCTTATCATTTCTGGGTCTGCTCCTCTTCCTACTTTCTTGTGTGCTTGGTAATTTTTCTGTTGTTGGATACTGGACATTTTGAAGTTTTTTAAAGAAATTTATTTATTTGGAAGTGTCATGGGTGGGAGGAGAGTGTGAGAGACAGACCGCTCTTGCTCTGCTGCTGCACTCCCCAGTGCTAGGCCAGGCTAGAACCAAGAGCTGCATCCTTGCCTGCCGCGTGAGTGGAAGGACCCCAGGGATGTGGGCCATCTGCCACTGCTTTGTCCCAGGCTATTAGCAGGGACCTGGGTCAGGAGTGGAGTAGGCAGCACACAAGCCAACACTCATGGGATGCCAGCATCATAGATGGTAACTTTACCAACTGTGCCATGACACTGCCCCCAACATTTTGAATTTTGTGTTATTTCATGCTGGGTTCTTACTTAATTGAGAAGAGCTGAAGCTGACTTAGCTGCAGGGTTTGGCATATCCTCTGCTGGAGCAGCACAGGCGTGTAGGTTCTGAGAATCATGTTTCAGGTCATACATGTGATTCTTTAGGGGACGATGTGGATGCCGCTTGGGACGCCTGTGTCGTGACCAAGGCCCGGGCGTCTGGGCTCATCTCCTGGCTCCACCTCTGACTGCAGGTAACCGCTAGTGCACATCCTGGGAGGCAGCAGGTGCTGGTCCAAGGCCCTGAGTGCCCAGGAGACCAGGCTGAGTCCTCAGCGCCTGGCTTCAACTTGATGCAGTCTAGCTGTTTCGGACATTGGGAGAATGAACCAGAAGAGACATTCTCCGCCTCTCTCGCACACACCCTTCCCAATAATTAAATACAAATAACAAACGCTCAGTGGGCCAATTATCTTAAAAAAAAAAAAAAAAAACCCAACTACTCAAGACCCTCTCAGCGGCAGTCATTTTAAATCCCCAGTCATTTCTAGTGGATGCGCAGATGCGTGAGCGGTCGCTTCATCTGCAGCTGTTTTATGCCAGGTGTGTGTGTGTGTGATCTCATACTCCCCTCCCAGCTGCTTTAATTCACGCAGAAACCATTTGGCTGGTCCTGCGCATCACTTTCTGTTCTCTTGTGTCTGCACGTTTAATCATCCATTCCATGGCCACAGCAGTGACTTCATGCTGTAAGATTTATTTATTCATTTACTTGAAAGTCAGTTGAGAGTGAGATCTTAAATCCACTGATTAACTTCGCAGCTGGCCAAAACCCAAACTGCCAGGACTGGGCTGGTCCCAAGCAGGAGCCAGGAGCTTCTTCCAGGCTTCTGCTTTGCCCAGGCTGTTCACAGGGAACTGGGTCAGAAGTGCAGCACTAGGCACGTGAATATGCACCCATAGTTTACCAGCCTGGTACATATTTGTTTTTTTCTTTTGAAGATTTATTTATTATTTTTGTTTGAAAGATTTATAGAGAGGAGATCTAGACAGAAATATCTGGTTCATTCCGCAAGTGGCCACAACGGACGGAGCTGAGCTGCTCCAAAGCCAGGAGCCAGGAGTCTCTTCTGGGTCTCCCACATGGGTCCAGGGTCCTTAGGCTTTGGACCGTCCTCTACTGCCTTCCCAGGCCATAAGCAGGAGGCTGGATGGGAAGTGGAACAGCCAGGACATGGACTGTTGCCCATATGGGCCAAGACTTTAGCCATTAGACTATCACACAAGCCCCCCCCCATACATGCTTTGAGAGTCCCGTGTAGACATAATGATATTGTGCAGGGTCTCTTTGGAGAGAGAAATTCAATATTGCTTGGTCATGGACTCCCCTGTGCTCGGCGCAGTGCTTGGCAGTTCTCAGCCCTGTCTTATAGAAGAATGAACCAGGAGACCAGCACAATTGCTGAGTTGGCTAATCCTCCACCTGTAAGCACCAGCATCTTTGTAGGTGCCAGTTTGTGTCCTGGCTGCTCTACTTCTGATCCAGCTCTCTGCTTGTGGTCTGGGAAAGCAGTTGAGGATGGCTCAAAGCCTTGGGATCCTAAACCCACATGGGAGACCCAGAAGAAGCTCGTGGCTCCTGGCTTTGATTGGCTCAGCTCCAGCCATTGTAGACATTTGAGAAGCAAACCAGCAAATGGAAGATCTTTCTCTCCATCTCTCCTTCTTTCTATAAATATGATCTGCTTTTCCAGTAAAAATAAATAATTCTGGGCCTGGCACAGTAGCCTAGCATCTAAAGTCCTTGCCTTGCACATGCCAGGATCCCATATGGGTGCAGTTCGTGTCCTGGCCATGATCTTTCCATCCAGCTCCCTGCTTGTGACCTAGGAAGGCAGTAGAGGATGGCCTAAAGTCTTGGGATCCCGCACCTGCATGGGAGACCCAGAAGAAGATCCTGGCTCCTGGCTTCGGATCAGCTTACCTCTGGCTGTTGCGGTCCCTTGGGGAGTGAATCAGTGGACAGATCTTTTTCTCTGTCTCTCCTCTCTGTATATGACTTTCCAATAAAAATAAATAAATCTCAAAAAAGAGAATAATAAATGAAGGTTTACAGTGATAATATTAAATGTAGTAGTAAGGACTTTTTTGGTTGCAGATGACTGACATTCACCTTGGATTGCCCTATACAGAAAAAGCAATTGTGTTGGCTTTTTCATTTGGGGAATGAAAACGCCCTCCGGGGCAGCTGCTTGAGGTGAATCTGGATCTGGGTGCCCAGCTGTCATTGGAGATGAGCTGCCACAGACCTTGTACCCTGCTTTCCAGGTGTTGGCTTCATCTGGAGTATCAGCTCCTGGTGCTGTTGGCACCACAGGCTGAGCTGCCGATAGCATTGCTGGCCTCATGTATCAGAACCCTGCTTCCAAGTCCCAGTTACTCAGCTTCCCGCTAATGCACTGGGCTTGGGCAGTGGCAGATGACTGAAGTAATACTGTGTGGGATGCCCAGATGGAATTCCTGGCCAAGTCCTGGCTGCTGTGGCCATTTAGGGAACAGACCAGTGAATGCAAGATCCCTCTACCTTCTGCCTTTCGAAGAAAGAAAGCAAACTTAACCTGTTCTTTCTCATTAATTCAAACAGAAGTCCTAGCCTGATCTCTTGGTAGTCCACTAGAGCAATGTGTCCCTGTAGGCCACTGAACAAGTGACAGTGGCTAAGGTTGTGGGATCTGCAGTCGTGCATGGGATGAGGGAGCAGAGTGACGGAGTGTGACACAAGCTGAAAAAGAGTCCTGGGGCTGGCGTCTGGTCCAGCAGGTGGAGCCACCTGTGACACTGGCATCCCATCTGGGTGCCGGTTTGTAATGTGACTGTTCTACCTCCAGCCCAGCTCCCTGCTAAAGCACCTGGGAAATCAACAGAGGATGGCCCAAGTGCTTGGGCCCCTATGCAGCTTGGGAAACCCAGGGAAAGCTCCGGGCTCTTGGCTTCTGCCTGGCCCTGCCCTGGTTGTTACAGACCTATGGGGAGAGAACCAGTGGATGGACAATCTCTGTCTCTCAGTGTCTCTTCTCTGGAACTCTGCCTTTCACATAAACTAGTAAATAAATCTTAGAAGAAGACTAGAGGGACAGATGTAGGGTAGGCACAAACAGCTATTATTTCATTAACTGGACTGCAGTCATTTAAATGGTAAGAGGTAGAACTGGGCTGTATCAGAGACAGGCAGGGATCCATCCTGGTCTCCCACATGGATGGCAAGGGTCCAGCTACTTTGGCCATCCTCTGCTGCTTTTCCAGGCATTTTAGCAGGAAGTTGAATTGGAAAAGAAGCAACTGGGACTTAAACCCGTATTCCAGTCTGTGATGCCAGTGTTGTAGGTGGTGGCTTAACCCACTATGTTAACACTAGCCCCAAGGATAGAGACTTTGAAATGGAAGAGATCTGAAAGATTTATCACTATTATTAACTATTCAATTCAGAAATGTTTTACAGGAAATTCTGGGTTTTAGAATTTAGTAACGTAAACATTACTATATTGTCTCTCCATAGTATTGGAACAAGTCCAGAGCTTTCTCCCACAGATGGCACAGGCAAATGAAAAGCTAAGAGAAGAAATGGCAGCTGCGCCACCTGGGCATTTCAACATTGAGAATACTGACGGGACCCTCGGGAAGGTCATCCAGATGGTAACTGCTTCCTTTTCATCCCATGCTTATCTCCAAAAAGAGGAGGATGCTCTTCCATTTGGTTTCCAAGTGTTGATTTTAGAAATCCTCCAGCTGCTAGTACTCACCCAAGATGGCTAAAATGGGGGCCAGTGCTGTGGGGTAGCAGGTAAACCACCAGCTCTGATGTCACCATATGGGCAATACATGTTTTTAAAATGGTTTTGATGGCCAGGGTTTGCCCAGCCTGGAGCTAGGAGCCTGGAACTCCTTCCAGGTCTCCCACATTGGTGCAGAGACCCAGTCCCGTATCCGTCTTCTACTGCTTTCCCCGGTGCCTTAGCAGGAATCTGGATCAGAAGTGAAGAAGCTACAGCTGGAACATGCACCTGTAGGAGATCCTGGGGCTGCGGGCTTGCCCTTGGAGCCACTTGCCGCCGGCCCTGTTTTATTACTATTTTAATTTCAGAGGCAGAGAGATGAAGGGGTTTGGCGGGGGCTGGACAGAGAGCTCGCATCTTCTAGTCCACTTTCCAGGTACCTACTATAGCCAGGACCGAACCAGCTGGAGCAGGAACTCATTGTAGGTTTTTCGTTTGAGTGGCAGAGACCCTCATTTAATTCATGCAGGGTCCCTATTAGCAGGAGGTTGGAACTGTGAGCAGGAGCCCGGGTTCCACGGCTGCTCTGATGGTGGATGCACATGTCTCATTAGGCAAGTGCTCACTTCGTATTTCTTATCATAAAACATGAATTTACTGAATGTCCTAACCAGGTTAAGTTATTTTTTTAACCAGAAGAGGTGATCATAGTCCAACTCATAGATTTTTTTAGGCGAAAGAAAAGCTATGTGAAAGTTGTCTCAATTTCATGGGGTATCTTCTTTATACCCTGGGATTCCCTGTGTAACACTTACATGTGGTTAAGAAGCTCACTCCTTAGCTCCGCCTACAGAATCAGAAATCCAAGGTCTAGCCCCGGGGCAGTCTCCCCTCTGGACTGTTCCAACTGATTCTTAACAGAGCTTCACACCTATTCTTGCATCTCATGGGGCACCCACTTTGGGAACCAGGGGCTTCCCATCATATGTTGCTAAGTTGGAAGTCCTTCCAAGGACCCCTGTGCTGCTCTCTGCCTGGCCTTGTCTCCTTCCGGGTCTCACTTGCATACTGCCCTCCAGTTCCCGGCTGTGTTGAATTACAAATGTTTCTTGTCCTGCAGCCAGCACTGTGGCTCTGCGGGTTCAGTGTCTACCTCTGACGCGACATCCCGTGTAGAGCATCACTCTGGTCTAACCCCGGCTAGCGCACGTGGGAAGCAGCAGACGGTTGCCACTTGCTTGGGAGACCCAGGTCGTTCCAGGCTCCTTGCTTCCGCTTACCAGTCACAGCTATTGCAGCCACTGGGACAGTGAAAGTGCTCTCTCTCTTCTTTCTCTCTCTCTCTCTCTCTCTCTCTCTCTCTCCTCCTTCTTTGTCTCTTTCACTCTGCTTTCAGATATATACATTTTCAAAACTAGTATTACGGCATCATGAGTTAAGTTGCCTCCTGTGACACTGACAGCCCATATAGATGCTAGTTTGTGTCCCAGCTGCTCCATTTCTGATTTAGCTCCCTGTTAATGGCCTGGGAAAAGCAGAAGATGGCCCAAATGTTTTAGGCCCCTGCCACCCATGTGGGAGACCTGGATATAGCTAGCTTTGGCCTGGAGCAGCCCATCTGGAGCAGTCATCTGTGTGTGTGTGTGTGTGTCTCTCTCTCTATCTCTCTCACTCTGACTTTCAAATAAATAAATCTTTGGGGGAAAAGACTAGTGTCTTGCTCTCCCACATGAGTATCTGCCTGGGTTGAAGGCTGGCTCTCCCCGGTGTTATTTTATGACAACTTTTTAGAGAGCGTCCCTGAAATAGCTTCTCCCTGGCCTTGCTCCAGGATGTGGCCTTGTTTGAGATGGATCAGCTGGACTCGAAGGAGGACCATTCAGAAGAGAGTTCAGAAGACACTTCGGACGAGAGTTCTTCATCCGAGGATGAGGATGACAGCATCTCTTGTGAAGTCACCGTAGATAACATTAAGCTTCCTAATTTGGAAGGCAGAAGAGGCAAGATTGAAGTTCTGGACAGTCCAGCAAGTAAAAAAAAGAAATAGTGAAACAGACGGTGAGAGAGAAGCAGGTGGCAGATGCCAGTGGGTTCTGTGGAAGAGAACGGGGCTCGCTGGCCCTTCTGCATTTCAGGTATCGATGGTGCTTTTGTGTTTTAGAAGGAAAAGTTTAAACAAGAACAGAGCTGGAGCCAAGACGGATTTATGAGTCAGGCAGCACTCCAAACGCCAACGGGGGGTCAGAGAACTGCCTCCTGCAGCATTGGAGACAAGCTGTGGGGCCGCTGCCTGGGGACAGGCAGTGTGGATGGATGCAGCTGGTTAGCGCTGAGTGTTCGCCTTTTGCTCCTGGTTTTATTCAGTGGCTGCCTGGGATTGACTGTGTGTGCACATCTGAGCCCTTACAAACACATGGTCCTGGGTCTCAGAACGTGCAGACTACCCTAAGCTAATGGCCTTCAACGTAAACACAGCACCTGCTGGGTGTGCTGCTCTGAGAAGCCAGGCTGGCTGTGCAAGAGTGGGAACATGGGACATTCTGGTTTCTTCCAGTGGGAAATTGATCATATGCTAAAGAGATTGCCTATTTAGAAGCATAACTCTGTGTGTGGTGATGGATGCCTCTAGAGGCCTCTTCTTTCTTCAGCATGAATTTCAGAAGTACCAGACTTACTTATTTTAAGATACAACTGCAAATCACCAGTTTGTTTTTGTTTGAAATTATCCTCTTGGAGAAAACAGTGTCGTTTTATAAGCTTATTTTGAAGTCTAATTTATCTGTCACCCTCCAAATGAGTTCCATGAGTGAATTTTTTCAGAAGAATGACTTCTGTTTAGCTATCCTGTCTATCTTCCTTAATAAAGGTTCCCTTGTAGTTTGAATGGTGTCTGTGGTGTCTCCGGGGTGGGTGGCTGAAGTCTCGCAGTGCTTGGGAGAGGTAACGGCTGGGAAAGGTGGTTTTCTGTGTTTGTTTTCCATAAAATAAAGCTTTTTGGCTCAGCCATCATAGTTGCTCACAGTCTGAAACCCATCAAATGTGAATCTAAAGACACCGCAGGAAACATAGGAAGGTGCGGTCCAAGGAGAGGCAGCTGCTGGCTTCCCCTTTCTGAGGTCAGCCTGGTCCTGGGCTTCATTGTCTTTCTGCCTCATACTTGAGCGTAGGAAAGGTGAGATCTCGGCTGCCATGCGCCTGGCCTTCACCCTGGAAGGAGACTGGGAATTTGCAGATGGGCTCCTATTTTAGGTTTGCTTGGCATCCCACAGAACCTGAGTGGTTCTCTCCCACCGCTCCAATGAGCCTGCCACCTGTTGTGAATACCCAGTACTGAATAATGGAAATGAATGAATGGGGGACAGGACATTGTAAACCTTGGCCTGCTGCTCCAGGTGGGAGATTATGAAGGTATTAACTTTACAGGAAATACTGAATATCCAAATGGAAAGAATGAGTCACCGTGAGAGAGCGTCTAAGGAGGAACAGACACTTTTATGTCCAACTCTCCTATTTCTCTCTTGCTACAATGGCTTTCGTAACACAGCTAGACTTCCCATAAGATCAGGGCCTAAGAGATACAAGAGAAGCAAAAACAGTAATGTAGTAAATGATAAAGTTATATCTAGGGCAAAATGAGTCTTACTTATAATGTCAGAACTGGCTAACTAAAAAATAAAAAAGATTAAATTGCAGTTTTACACCAGGCGCCAAGAAAAAATTTTGTTTAATGGCTCAAATGTAAGAAAATGATGAGGACTCAGTGTTAAAATAGAGGTTCATGGTTAATAATGTGGTTGGGAAAATTTTTTAATTTTTAAAAATAAAAGGAAATGAGCAGAGCATTTGCAAAAATGTTAAAAACTAATGACTTCAGCCCAGCGTGGTAGCCTAGCAGCTAAAGTCCTTGCCTTGGCACACTGGGATCTCATATGGGCACAGTTCTAATCCTGGCAGCCCCACTTCCCATCCAGTTCCCTGCTTGTGGCCTAGGAAAACAGTTGAGGATGGCCCAAGGCCTTGGGACCCTGCACCCGTGTGAGAGACCCAGAAGAAGCTCCTGGCTTCAGACCGGCATAACTCAGCTCCAGCCATTGTGGCCATTTGGAGAGTGAACCAATGGATGAAAGACATCTCTCTTTCTCTCTCTCTTTCTGTACCACCTTCTCTCTGTTAATTTGCCTTTCAAATATAAATAAATAAACTTTAAAATATTGATAGATCCCTTGTCCACATCGAAGAGAGGCAAAGAAGATCAACAGGTCACTGTTTCAAATGACACTATGTTAGACTGTTTGGGATGGAGGAGGCTTCTGTTCGGGCAGAGTAAGTTTCCTTGTTAGAAAAGACCATCACCTAGTAAGGTAGTGTTTATCCCCTACACAAACAGGAAAATTGGCATGGAGACACTAAGCAAATTCCTAAGGTTAGAGGGAGAGCCAAGCTCTAAGCATGCTTGGCACATTGAACCATCCTGGGTCCCCAGGCCATCGTGGCACAGAATCTGAAGCCATCTATCAGATGCTTGCCCGGACACTTCCCACTGTAAGCTGAGGATAACGGTGTTGCTAGGAGGAGTGCTGTAAGAGAACAGTGACTGACTACGTATTCAGTAAACGTGACATGTTATGATGGTGTGAGAATAATACCCAGTGGTGGCAAAGGTTAGGGAAGCTGTTGGTTAAGTTACAGATTCCTGTATCCTTTGACTCAGAAATTTTATCTCTTGGAATTTATCCTAATTAAATAAGTTATGTCTTCAGTCACACATTTGCATATAAGTTTTATTGTGACATTTAAAGTAGCAAAAAGCAGATCCGAATATCCCACAATTGAGAACACATGGAAATTAAAGCCATTGAAGTATGCAGAGGTGGGTGTGTTGGCAGATGGCTTATTACATGGTTAGCGTAAAGAGCAGATAATAAAATCATGCACATTATAATTCTGTAAAATGTGTATGTGTGTTTATAGAAAAAGCCTGGAGAATCTCAGCTATCGTCTCTGAGTGGTTGTGTCTTAGATTCCTGATTTTTAAAATTACTTCTCTTGCTATGCGTTTAATCATCGAGTGCCTCAATGTATTAATTTTCTCACACGTTCTGATGATTAGAATCACATTTTGTGCTTAGCATGGTGTGACCACACAGCAGGCCCGCGACAAACGATAGTTACTGTTGTTGATGTTCCAGACATCAGGTAGTTTCAGTACCAAGAGGTAAGTGCTGCATTGGAAATAACAAGAACTGGGAGACAACCTGGCTGGGGCATGACTAAGGCTGTCAGCTCCGACAAGGTCATGCCGGCAGGAGTCAGAGGGCATGGAGAACTGTTTCCAATGTCCACACTTCACCAGTTCAGGTGCTAATCAGTCACAGCTTGATCCTCTAGCTGAGCAAACTAGTCAGTTATCTGAAGCAACAGTGATGATATAATTACCTGGCATGTTAATTAAACCTAACAGGCTATGGATCGTTAGATTCCCATTCAAATTCGCTGAGTAATTTTATGAGGGCCTTTGCCTCTAGTCAACACTCAGACATTAAAAAAAAAAAAACCACTCAAGCTGGTAAGAACTTTCTAGAAGTTGTTATGGAGAAAGGTGGGCCAAGCATAACCTTGGGGATATTTGCACAATGGTGTGTATGCATGTTGTGGGGAGCCACTGGACAGAGAGGACCCTAAGCTTCTCATCGGGTTCATAGAGATTGATGGCCCAAAGAAGACTGGAGTCTCTGGCTACTATGATTAATACTAGAGGGTGAAACAGAAAGAGGCCAGAAGAGCAGGCCTGTTTTTATCTTCTGTTCTCTCACTAGAGCAGCCTAACAGATTGATATTCTACATCAAATGAAGTCAGTTCAAATAACTCATTTAATAGTAGCCACTTAGAATAAGGTCTTTGTCATCTTGTTCAACTATGAACTGTCACTGTGGCCCAGCGAATATTCACTCCAATGTAGAATTTCAACCACGCCAAGCTCTGTTGGTAAACTTAAAGGAAATGATGGAAATTGCTCCTACAGGCAAAGTACTCTGTTGGCCATGCGGGAATCCAACCTGGCATTTCCCCCTCTGGATGGATCCATCTCCTGCTCGTTGTTAGAAAAGTGTGACATCCCTTCCTGTTAGACCTTGGCGTCTCCAAAACAGTAAGCACTCCTTAGGGGCTTCAAAGTCAGATATACAATGTGTTCTGACATTGACTTTGAAAGATAAGTCGGTTGATTGCCCCAGGATTCAGGAACACGCCATGCTCTAGGCCCATGTGACTGGTGATAATTTACTCAGCCAACTACTTCTTTCAGAAAGGGAAGTTAATGTGAGTCCTACGAGGGTTGTTAGTCCCTGTTCCTTGGGCACGCAGATCCCTGCCCCCGTGAAGTGTCAACTGTGTGCGTATTAGCTCCCTGGTGTCTTGCAACATCTAATGAGACAAGGATTTTTGTCTCTGTTACAGGCACCGAGCCTAGACTGCGTTATCAGATAGCCACACATCCCAGCCGTGAGCAGCAGAAGCAGTGGGCATCAAGAGGGAAGGAAAGCAGCCCCTTTGCTTGTACCATTGCTGCCACCTGTGACATGGCACTTCTCACCACTGCTGTGCCGGGCACAGTGTCAGAACAGGGGAGGAGGAAAACAACCTACTAACTGATCATCACCACGAACTGGGAGACATTACCACACTTGTTCACTGACCTGTTCCGGTGTATTTTCAAGAGTGGAGGAGAAAAGCAGTTAGTGCCGTGCGCAGAGCACAGAGCGAGATGATTTACCTGTCATGATTGCATTGAATCCAGAGGGGGCGGTGCTATTCCCATTTTATATGTAAGGATGCTGGGGCCCAGAGAAGTTGCTGGAGTTTCCCTAAATCACTTAGATTTATCATTTAGGATCAACAGCCCTCAAGGACTGTTTGCATTCGATTTTGTCACATTGTAAAATTTATAAGTTATCTACTGCCAGGTGAACTATAGGGCCAAAGATGGAGTCCTTAAATTTGCTGGACCTGTCAGAATATGCTCTCCTACCTCAAGGCCAGCCCCTGGATCCTCACAAACTTTGCGGGTTGGGGGCCCATCAAGTGGGGTCACAAGTACAACATCAAAGGCACAGAAAAGTATCTTATATCCCAATATGAAAAAAGACCCCTTCACATTCCTTGTAAGGGCACACTGTCCCTTTAAAGTAAAATCACAGCAAATGTTTTTAACAATACCATAAGAATGATTCAGAGGATAAAACCCACATACAATATAATAAAGGTTCCAATGCATTATAGCTATGTGGCACTGGTGATTTCAAAACAGTCAGACTTAAACAGATTAGACGTGGAGGGAAAAGCACCTTTGGTAATTTAGAAATACATATAGTCTATGACATAGTCAAAATCCAACAATTGTTAAGTCCTCTTAAGGTATAAAAGCTGCAAAAGAAAATGCCCAGAGTCTCGGTGTAAATGCTGAGACATGCGACCCTCTTCATGGGCTGTGTGCATTTGGAGGTTCACGGTGCTGTCTCCTTCCTCAGCACACCCAGGCTTCTTAAGTGTCATCAGAGGTTGAGAATTCTGTCTGCCAACGGGTCCTCCCATGATGACGGCATTGCGTTAATATTCCAGCGTCACTGTCTTGGTTTTGAGGTATTCGTTGAGGGCTTCCTCACCTGCAGAAGAAAAGAGCAGGTGAGGGACCACATTCAAAGGTGGGTGTGATGTCACCAGGCTTTTGGACATAGGTGTAGGTGTGTAGGTCACAAAGAAAATGGAATGTGGCCTGGGCCAGTGTGACTCACACAGATGCACCACTGGAGCCCCTGGCTATCAGGCAGCTTCCGGTCCACTGTGTCCACAGAAGGCCCCTGGTCGTGTGTTTCTCCCTATGCCTCAGAGATGCGGATGTCAGTGGCCCGAGGACCACATTTCCAGCTGGAAGGGCCTGACCTAGTCGCTGAGTCTTGAAAAGGAACAGAGAGTGTTTAAAGCAGCTTCCATTTTCTCTGATGACAAAACCCCACCTGTATCTGCTTTCCATGCGAACGGAGGTAACCAAGGTGCTGCCCTTCAGAGTATAGGTGAAGCAGAATTGAGCTCAGGAAGACAAGCTTGCGATCATCTGGTTTACTCTTGTAAAGATAAGACAGGGGCTGATATTATGGAACTAGGAGTTTAAGCTCCTTATAACGCTGGCATCCCCTGACAGCATGCCCATTCAAGCTCCAGCTGCTCTGCTTCCAATCCAGCTCCCTGCTGATGAGCCTGGGAAGGAGCAGGTGATGGGCTGAGCACTTGTACCTCTATCGCCCACATGGCAGACCCGGATGGAGCTTTTGGCTCCTGGCTTCTGCCTGGCCCAGCCCTGATCATTGGGGCCATTTGGGGAATGAACCAAATGAACAAAGATCATTGTCTCTTTTGACTGTCATTGTGCCTTTCAAAAAATAAATCTTAAAAAAAAAAATTCTGTGGGCAGGCATTCTCCTGGGGGGCCCGGCAGCGTGGCCTAGTGGCTAAAGTCCTCTCCTTGAACACGCCCCAGGATCCCATATGGGCACTGGTTCTAATCCCGGCAGCTCCACTTCCCATCCAGCTCCCTGCATGTGGCCTGGGAAAGCAGTTGAGGATGGTCTAAAGCCTTGGGACCCTGTACCCATGTGGGATGCCTGGAAGAAGTTCCTGGATCCTAGCTTCGGATCGGCATAGCATCAACCGTTGCGCTCACTTGGGGAGTGAATCATTGGATGGAAGATCTTCCTCTCTGTCTCTCCTCCTCTCTGTATATCTGACTTTGCAATAAAAATAAATAAATCTTTAAAAAAAAAAAAAAAAAAGAAGCTCCTGGGACACTCAAATGCCATCAAGTCCCAGCTCCTCTCCCAATTCCACCTTCCTGCTACTGTAGCCTTGAGGGGCATTAGGTAATGAGTCAAATAACTGGGTACTTATCACCAGTGTAGGAGTTCAGATTGAGTTCCAAGCTTTGGTCTAGCCCAACCTGGCCTGCTGCAGACCCTTGAGTGATGAATCAGCAGATGGAAGACCCCTCCTGCCCAACAACGGCATTTCAAATAAAAGTGTTCTTTTTTTAATTAAGTTCAGACAAAATGTATTACCAAAAAAAAAAAAAACCCACCTATCCATGATTTTTAAATATTTTTTTGGTATCAGAATAAACATCCTTTAGTTGCATACCCATGAACCTTTTGAGGTACCCTAAATGTATTCACAGTAAGCTGTTGCCCAAAAGCTGTGAGGGTCACTGCTCAGTGGATCATACCTGGGGCTTCTACAAACTCGAAAGCAGGAGTTGTCAGGAGGGTGGGCTGTGAAAGACCACCCAGCAGTCCAGAGACGGGTTGTCCACTGGTCCTGGGGTTGTCATTTCCCTCTCTAGTGTCACAAAAGCTAAACCAAGGTCAGGCTGAGTGTCAATAAAAACCCAGACAGTTTTAGCTTAGATGTATTGTCTGTTTCTTGTTGCATTTCTACACGAATCTTCTTTTTGAAAAGTAGCATGTTTATTTGCTCATGATTTGTTTTTTTTATGTTACAGTATGTTCAAGTCCATTAAGATGTTTCACATAATAAAAAATTGGTAGCCTAGGATTCCAGATCTATCTATGGTGCAGGAAATGCACTTCCAAACAGCACACATGTGCCGCACGACACCCGGGCAGATATTTCTGTCACGTGGTAGGAAAAGGACCTTGAAACAGCCTTACCCAGGTCTTTTCCAAAGCCAGATTGCTTCACTCCACCAAACGGCGCTGCCACATCCGTCTTGTTATACGTATTGATAAAAACAGTTCCTGCTTCCAGTTTTTCACTCACGTACATGGCTTTGTTTATGTCTCTCGTGAAAACCCCAGAGGCCAAACCGTACTCGGTGTTATTGGCTCGCTGCAGCACTCCATCGATGTCCCTGCGTGGCGATTTGCAGAAGACGTCAAACTTGAGCCAGTGTAAAGTAAAGCAATCTCATTTTAGGATCAAAATGTGTTCCTGTCTGTGCTAGAAACGGGAAGACACCACTGCCACCTACCTAACGTTTTATAAGTGAAATGGCCCAGACCCCCAATAAACAGACAGCTGTAGAATTACATTTTTCATAAACATCATGCAATGCCCCTTGAAGCCTGATCCAAAGTCACCTTTTCCATCTTCTCCAGGGATTCTTGTTCATGGGGCTGCCCCCTAACCACACACACAGCCTCCCTTGAGTCCCACCTCTATGTTCCTGCCGTTTCTAAAGCCATCTCCTAGCCTGTCACCCATCTTGAGCACAGGGACTGTGACTCAGCCATGTTTAAAGTCATCCCCCTACCAGTGTGGGCATGTTTTCCACTAAGACAGTCCTGATAGGGGCATCTACATGGGGAAAGGAGGTTAGCAGGAAGAACTCGATCTGTGCTTCAAAGATTTCTTACTCTAATTTAATGTCCCCCAAAGTCTCTTATGATAGGGTTATATCTATCAAAGATGAAGAAATCCTTCTGAATTCTGTGCTTGGATTTTTAAACTTTAGGTTGAAACACATCTAAAGCCATCCTAGGGAACTGTGAGCTGTATACCAGGAGATGCCATCATATTAGATATTGCACTGTGAGCTCAATTACCGCTTGGCTCTCCGTGATGTGCTGTACCCCTGGAAAGGTTCATGTGGAGTAACTGTGTGTTGATTCTATGGTGATGGAAAACATTTCTAGAAAAGTTGAATATCGGGCTAATGGTGGCCTAATCCCTGAGGGTAGCCGCTCCATGTTTTGAGAAAGTAAAACATCACAATGCTGTCATCCCTAGCAGTGTAAATGTGAACACGCGTTCTGTTATCTCTTAGTTACTCACCTTGTTCCACATATTGCCACCATCACCTATATAAAAACTAAAATTTAACCAGATAAAATCCCATTATAACAACCATTAATTCAGGCTAGAGGCAAAGTATATCACGCTCTCCAGTGGCCATTAGCAAAAGAATACTCTAATTACTTAATTACATTAATTATTTTATGACACATTCACTGGTTTCATGTATGTGTAGCACAAAGGCAGAGGAGGGAAATATAGCTAATAAAATTGAATTGCATCTGTAAAACATACCCATTTTGGAATTTAGAAATAACCATAATAGGTCCAAAGGACTCCTCTTTGGCCACGTACATGTGGTCCTCCACATCCGTGAATACAGTTGGCTCCATAAAAAAGCCTTTGGGAAAGAAGAATCTCGGCTGTAGGTTAGGCCATTTTCAATGAACAGTTCTTTCATTTAATTACATTCAGATTTCTTTGTCTTCCTGTGGTTCAATAGGACCAAGCAGAGCGTCCTTTCTCTATTCACTGCTGACATTCCTAATTTTCTCTTTGTAGTGTCTTTGTGATCATTTCAGATACACATAAAAATAGAGAAAACAATACAATGAATGAATCGTAAAATACATATTCATAAAGTAAGACCTGGGTGTAATTTTTGCTCCCAAGTATTTCACTGCAAGTCTGTAGGAAGTAAAGGCATTTTCTTAAATGGCCACAACAGAGGATTACGCTTCCAAAATTATTCATATTTTATATTTCAGTTTCTCTCATCTGGAAGATACTTTTGTACTGTTGCTCTGTTTGATTTAGAATTCAAATAAATCCAATACGCTGCATTTGACTGTCAGACTTCCTAATTGCCTTTTACCTTAAGATATCTCCCTCTTTCAGTTTTCCCTTATCTTTAATGCCATTGGCTTGGTAAGAATAGGCAGGCAGTGCTCCTTTCAAACAGGCCATTGTCCCAACTGGAAACCAGTATATCCACTGAAATAAGCCAATCCCAAAAGGACAAATATCATATGTTCGCTCTGATATAAGACATCTTTCATCCAAAATACAAAACAAAAAGATGTCAAGGTAAGCACACATACACTTGTAATCTGACAAGCGAAGGGTGTAATGGAGTCCCAGGAATTAAAGACTGACAGAATGCATCTCTGCTCCTGATAAAACTTGTAAATATATTTAGACATCAAAATACTTGACTCTCTAGCATTGCTTATACCTACAGTGTCACGACATAGCTGAAGAGCAGAACGCTGGAGTCGAGACTAGCTGAACTATATTATTGTAAAACACGGGGGACAGTGGGGACGGGAAGAGAGGGAAGAGGGAGGAAGACCTAAACTTAGAAAACTGTAAAATGGAGAACAGAGTGAAAATAAAGTAAAATAGCCCACATGTTAGATTTGTCTGTTTCCTTCAGATACTGTACTTTCTTAAGGTCACACATTTCCCTCCTCTCTCCCACCCCCAAAATGTTTATATTGTGGTAAAATGAATATTTTACCATCTTCAACATTTTTAAGTGCACAATCAGAAATACTTACACATGATCCATATCCACAACACCTTTCAACTTGTAAGACCAAGACGCTGCACCAGTGAACAATAACTTCTCCCTCCTTCCTCCCCTCTGTATTTCTAATAAATGGAGACATTGGCCTAAAGGTATGCATGGAACCAGGTGGTTTTTATAAGAGACACTGACGTCTTAACTGGTGTTGTAACAGACCAAATATCCATCCTGAAAAAATGAGTTTCTACAGTTGATCTCACCACACAAGGTTCACATCACTGGGCCATTCACACTTTCAGGTGACAGCACCTGCTTTCAATCACAGGAGGGGATCTCTCTGGCTGGATAAGATGAAATCTCAAACTACCAGGAATCAAATCCACCAGGGCCTGCATCTCACAGGTATCCACTCGACTTGTTTGCTGTCCAGCCCAGGGTATGTCACACTTCTATCTGATTTGACTTTCATAGCCTTTTCAAGCAGGGAGAACATGGGGTATGTCATTTTACATAGGCTCAGAAATACAGTGTTCTCCAAGGTGCCAAGAAGGATCTGAAAGTCAGTTCTTCTGACCACATTATAAATAAATAAAAACTGGCTGCTATGCTAAGATGGTGCCATGATGAAAAGTGCTATCATCCACCCAACTTAATCCCCAGAGGTGGTCTTACCTGGTCTCTGGACTTGTCTGCCCCCGTACACCAGTGTGGCCCCCTCTTTCACTCCAGCCTCACAGTACTGCAGCAGCTTTTCCAGGTGGGCCTTATGATTCTGGGGCCCATGATCAGTAGATCTGTCGAGTGGATCACCAATTTTCATCTTTTTAATTTCTTCCACCTGTGTGTTGCCCATCCACAAAACACAATTTACTGTTAGTAACAACAAGGGGTACCCCAGACCAAGCTTCTGCCATATGGCAGGTGTGGTTGCTAAGTTGATGACAGACATGTTGTCATTTAGCCTCCATGAGAGCGCCGGAGGCAGACAATGACTATTTCCATTTTACAGAAGGAGAGACCGAGGCCTGGAGAGGTGAAATGACCTCAGCACATGCAACAACAGCATATACTGTAGGGTGTTTCCAATCTGAAGGCTCAACACCGTTCATTCCTTCTCTTTCATCTACTGAGAAAGAGAGTGTCATCCGCTGGTTTACCCTACAAATATGTACAACAGCCAGGGCTGGGCCAGGGATAGAGACCTCAATCCAGGTCTCAATGTGAACGGCAGTGACCTAACTTTTTGAGTGATTACCTGCTGCTTCTCAGAGTGCGCCAAGTAGGAGGCTGGAACCAGGGACTGGAACCAGGTCTTGAAACCTGACACTGTGATGTGGACACCAGCATCCCAACTGTTGGCTTAACCCACTGCATCAAACACCCTCCCTGAATGCTCAAGTTCTAAACCACCATTTCTAATGCTACATCAACAATACATGTGATAAGACCTTCCTGAATAAGTTATTAAAATAGAAAACCAATGTTCTGAATTTCCATTAATAGAGCATACTAATAATCTTCATGGCAAAATAATTTCTCAGTTGGTCGTAATTGTTATTGTTTCCTTCCCAAAGATGGCCGATGGACCTTGTGAAACACATTATAATCATACAATTGCTAGAACATTCTAATGAAAAACAGTAATCATGTCATGTTCATCCCTGATACACTCTGTAAATGATTCCATGCTCCTTTGATGTCATAAATTCCTGCATTTTTAAAATGTTAAATCTAATTTCAGTAAGAAACAAGAGTGGGAGTTAGTTTCCATAACTCAGCAGGGCCATGAACTTAAATTGAGGCGTGCAATGCTCTCAGTGCCTTGCACAGGATCCTGTGGTGGATAAAATGCTCTGAGAGCTCATGGGTCCTGTTGGCCTCATTCATCCTTGTGTTCCCATCACCCGGCACAGTGGCAGGTGCATATTAAGTAACTGCTCAAGAAATACCTGTTCAACAAATGGGTGAATAAATGAATACAAATAACATGTGGCTTGATACACCAAATCCTTGACATTTCTGGACACGTATTTAAAGTCCCAAAAAGTTACAGCAGATTTTGAAAGCCCATGGCATGAAGTTCTGCAGATTGCCTCCATTAGGACTTGAAGTCGGCTGTGAGGTGCAGGAGGCAGCACTACCCACCGTCTGCCCCTTGGTCTGATTTTCTTGTCACCTATTTCCAGGAAGAAAGACCTGCTTTGTTGTTTTGATGGAATGCAGTGGGGAGGCAACTGTCATTGGAGGGAAAAAAGCTAGGTGCTGTTTCTGCAAATGTAACGAATTCATGGTTACTAATGCCTCCCAAATGACACAATGTAGAGTTTATTTTAGCCATAGCATTTATCTTGATATTCTCACATTTACAGAATCATGGCCAAACTATAGGGATTCTTTAGCTAGTTATTTTAATGGAATAAATCATACAATATCATGTTAATTGCCAGTTGAGGGTCTGTAAGGATTTAGTGGTGTATATGTCAGAGACAATTTAGAGATTTACAAAGATCTAAGGTATATCTTTTTCAACTGTCAAAGAGTTAATGAATTACAAATGCACAGCCATGCATAAAAATAACTGCTCTTAGGTGTACTTGATTAACCATTTTCATTTATGAAATAAAAAAGCAAACTCCGTGAGGAAATATAAAGATTAGTTTTGGGGGCAGCTTAGCATTAATATGATGGTTAGGATACCCAGGTCCCATTCACATCAATGTACCTGGCTTCGGTACCCACACCTTTGGCTCCCAATTTCAGCTGCCTGCCAAGGCAGACCCTGGGTCGTTGTGAAGATGACTCAAGTAATCGGGTTCCTGTCACCCAAATGGAAGACCTGGCTTGGGTCCCTTGCTCCTGGTTTTAGCAAGAGTGGGTTTTGCAGATATTTGGGGAATAAACCAACGGATAGGAGCTCATTCATGATTCTCTCTCTCTCTCTTCCCTCTGCCTTTCAAATACATGATTTAAAAACAAAGTGAGAGCCATTTCTGTATAATTTCCCAGCGCAAGTGTGCAGATGTCTTACCACTCTCGTCACAAACTCATCGTGGATCGTTTCTTCCACAAACAGCCGCCCAGCCGCGATGCAGTTCTCGCCTTTGTTGAAAAACACCGCTCCCATGCCCTTCAGCAACAGAGGGAGAAGTGAGTGACACTGTCCAAGCAGGGCTGTCACAGACCGTACACACAGAGAACCGGGCGTTATGGGGAGACAACTGGCAACAGGGAAATCACAGGCAAGGCCCGCCCTGACGTTGTCAGTGATGGGAAAGGTCTGGGGAGAGTCAAGGTTGTTCTTATTTTTGTTATTTATGGGAGATACGTATGGGATGTCCTCAGATACTGTGTTCCTTTTGGCCCATGAGCACTTTAAAAACTGTGTGTAACAATAAGGAGAGGCTACTAAGAACAAATTTTATGTTGCTAGAAAATCTTAATTATTCCAAACATTTAACTTTCGCTTAATAAAAAAAAAACCTCCACATCTGTTCATATAAATCACAAATGCTTAGAAATCCTCTCTCACCTCCCATAAAAAGGAAAGTCTATCTTTTAAAGGAGAATTTTGAAAAATTCCCATCCTGTCCCGTGGTGTGGAACAGCGTGACTGATACCAGACTTGCTGCCTGCGAACAGAATGGCCCTCTGTCAGCATTACACTGTGATTCCCTGCCCCCATGCCTACCGTTATTTCACCATTAGAGCTAGCTTATTACTCGTTTGTATTCACATTTACATAATTAAAGTGTGCCATACATAGTGAAGACTAACATTGAGGTGGCTGATTTGAAGTATATAACAGATAACAGTCTAGAAAAAAGAAATCCCCCTTATCTTCATTTCCCTAATCTTTTCTCTGGAATGTTCTGAAAGATTTCTTTCAGAAACTCAGAGAAGTCTTGGTTCTTAACAACCATCCGTATGTACCCAGTTTTTGTCACTTCAACCTCCAGATAGGCCACCCCATAGGCCATGCTCACAGGAGTGTTTGGGATTCCTTCACTTCTAGACCATTCCATTGCCTTTGGGGTCCTTGCACAATGGGGTGGGCTTTGGGGATTCATTGGGGTTTCAGGTCAGGGGTTTGGTGGACAGATTCTGCTCAGCACACAGACTAGAAGATTGCACAGAACCACAAACATCTGAACATCCAACAACATCACAAGAAAGCTTACACAGCCATGGCTCAGAAAAGCAGTGTAAGGGCAAGGCCAATGTTGCTAATTTTTTTAATCATTTAAATTTTACTCCAAGGGCCCAACACTGCTCATTTGCCTAAGCCATCATCCTATACAGGTGCCTGTTTAAATCCTTGCTGCTCCACTTCTGATCCAGCTTCCTGCAAGTGCACCTGGGAAAGCAGTGGAGGACAACCCTGGACAGTTGTGTCTCTGCCACCCAAATGGGAGACCCAGATGGAGCTCCAGACTCCCGGCTTCAGGCTGACCCACCCCTGGTTATAGCCATTTAGAGAGTGAACCAGTGGATAGAATACCTCTTTCACTCTATCTATCCCTCTCTCTTTCTCTCTCCCTAACTTTTCCTTTCAAATAAATCACATTTAAAATATTTTTGTTTACTTCAGAATATGTTCTTATATTCTGAAGTAGTGTAAGAATAATGAGGTATTATAAAAATGGTCTGAGAGTCTGGCATAATAGCCTAGTGGCTAAAGTCCTCACCTTGAACGCACCAGGATCCCACATGGGTGCTGGCTCTAACCCCAGCAGCCCCGCTTCCCATCCAGCTCCCTGCTTGTGGCTTGGGAAAGCAGTCGAGGACAGCCCAAAGCCTTGGGACCCTGCACCCCACATGAAAGACCCAGAAGAGGTTCCAGGCTCCAGGCTTCAGATCAGCTCAGCTCCAGCCATTGTGGCCTCTTTGGGGAGTGAATAAACAGATGGAAGAGCTTCCTCTCTGCCTCTGCTCCTCTTTGTATAGTTAACTTTCCAATAAAAATTAAATAAATCTTAAAAAAAATCAGAAACTTAAAAAATGGTGTGAGTTCCTATGCACCTTTGATGCTATCCTACAAAAGGCACATTGTAAAAACTGGGAACCTGATGCTGCCAACTGCCGCTTAGTGTGGCACCCTATGCCACAGCTAACAGAACTCTGTTAAACACAGAAGTGGAGCTGGTCCGTGGGTTAGGTGGGACGTGAGGAGGACAGAGACAGGGGGAGATAGAAACCCCATTAGAATAGTCCCTGAGTTGTATGGCTATGGTTCACATTTTATTTTTAAAACACTTGAATTTGGTAAATTATAAAAACATTGTGTTTTTTAAAAAATCCGTGTTCTAAGTATTCCTAAAGGTAAGCACCAAAAGCATGCTGTCTATGTATGTATCGTAAGACCCCTGGTAAAGGTGAGGTATTTTAGGAGTTGCCTGAAAAAAAAAAAGAATTATTTTATTTATCTTTGAAGGGCAGAGTTACAGAGGAGAGAAAAGAGAGAGAATCTCCCTCTGCTGATTTACCCCCCCCCCAACAAATAGCTACAACAGCTGGAGCGGCGCCCATCTGAGGCCAGGAGCCAGGAGCATCTTCCAGGTCTCCTACATGGACACAGAATCCCAAGGTCATGAGCCATCCTCAGCTGCTTTCCGAGGCACATTAGCAGGGAGCTGGATCGACAGTGGAGCAGCTGGGACAGAGACCAGCGCCCATATGGGATGCCAGCACTGCAGGCAGAAGCTTAGTCCACTGCACAATGGTGCCAGCCCAGGAATTGCCTCTCACACTCTTATATTTGACCCCCTCTTACCATTCGCACAGCCTTGTCAAGTTCACAGTCGTTGAATATTATAAGTGGGGATTTGCCGCCAAGTTCAAGAGAAACTTTCTTCAGGTTGCTCACAGCACAACTAGAGGAAAATAAATGGGACCTGAGCATTTAGTGGCTCATCATGTCTTGATCCTTTAACCAAAAGTCACCACTTGGCATGGAGAACATGACCGAGCCCGGAAGCATTAAGAACCGTACTCAGAGACCCAGCATGACTGGTAAATGGCGGGGTACTGGTGGAGCTGGGTGATGAACCCATGAAATTCATGATGCTTTTCTGTGTGCTATGGATACATCGAGCATTCTCCAGCATCAAAATTTTTAAAACTCTGTGACCAAATGATTAGAGAGCTTCATGGATATATTCACATTCCATAGGAATTTTGGTTACATAAGGAAGGAATTCAATCTCTAACCAGACTACCGGAGCCAATTTTTACAGATAGGTTTTTTGTTTCCCTCTTCTTAAAAACACTCTTATTTCAAACATTTTAAAAATGAATGCCCCACACCAAATATAGACATGAGGGGAAAAAAAACCCAGCACCTTCCATCCATGACTCAGTGACCACCGTGCCCACTATTTTGATGCCCTTATTGCCGATGCACATTCGTGGCTGGCACCTTGCTCAGCAGCACTGTTTGATCCTTTATTTTTCACTCCGTCTCTCATTTCAGTCACACTTTTTACTGTTATTAGGAACTCCCCAGGAACATGGCTGCACACTCCTCCGTCCCTTGGCATAAGTTATTACCTTCCTCTGGACATTTAGGTTGAACAATTTTTAAAAAACTAAAGTTATTGCTTTTTGGGAATTGATTTTATACATATTCCAGATGTGTCATTTACAACATAATTTACCTTTTCAGTTTCTTATGTTCCAGAACAATCTGGGCCAGAGCAGAGGCGTGCTGACCCGGGAAGGCAGTTACCAGGGGGAGGAATTGCCATAGCTCTGGGTTTACTGGCTGTGGACTTCAGTACTCTGGAAGGTCTTATGTTATAGCCGAGGATTTCAATATGCCAGTGCTATGTCGGTTTCTGTTCTAAATTTTATATGCTCCTCCTATTCCTCAGGTCAAAAGTTCTTTACTTAAATAAGGACAGGAACCTGCTTGAATATAATTGATCTCAAATCGACATAACAAAATCAGTACCTCTTCATAATCTGTTTGCCAATTAGAGTGGAGCCGGTGAAGCCAAGTTTACGGATGTCAGGGTGTTCGGAAAGGCGTTGTCCAGCGACACCACCTGCGGAATGAAGGAATTACCCACGGGTCAAGCTCTCAAGGTGAGGGTGAGTTCAAACTCACTGATGTTGATTCCTAGGCTTTCATTTAAACCTGTTCTGTACTCATTTCCAACTGATTAAAATCTCTTTGCCACGTTGGTCACCTGCACCCCATCTGGATGAGTAAGCCCTCCTCATTATCCTTCAAGTAGCTTTTGAAAATGAAATGGATCCCCTCAGGGCAACTTGGCCACTGTTGTGTCATCCTTCATACCAATGCCTCCCACCACCCAATCTCCACCTCATGCCCATTTTCAGATTTTAGTACAAGCTACCTACATTCCTTTTGTCTGGCAAAGCACATTTAGTTGTAACCTGCTTGTAACTGAGGACTCCACTGAACTCCCACTTCTACGGGGAAGCAGCCACTTGGCTGCCCTGCAGCGCTCATGGGTTGTAGCACCGTGGGTCCCAGGAGGGCCTACCTGAGCCTGGAATGATGTTGATCACCCCCTTGGGAAAGCCTGCCTTCACTGACAGCTCTGCGAACTTCAAAGCGGTCAAGGGCGTGACCTGAACGGGAGCAGAAAGCAGTCACCTTCTTCAGACTCGCCCAAGGACCTCGCTCTCCTTGATGGCTCTAGGAAAGCTCGCTTGTATTTTACATGGCATACAATGATGTTTACTGCATTTTGACACAATTTTAGACTCACAGCCAATTTGCAAAAAGAGTACAAAGAATTCTTCACATCCCTTCTCCCAAATTCCTCAAATGTTAACTGCTACCCACATTTACTGCATCCCGTCTGCAAGCATGCATGTGCACACACACATGGAGAATGAGCAAGTCAGGACTATACCCACGCGTGATTCTCTCACCCTCCTTTCCAACCTGCTCCTCCCTGCCCTGCAGAAGTGATGTGGGGGAACTAGGCAGGTAGGACTGAATAAGCTGGATGATGTTGCTAATCATGTCTGCCTCCAGCCCTGCATTGCAACTCCATCCCTGACCTTGCAGCCCAGTACGCCCACTTTCCCATGATACACCTGTGTCTCATCCAGGACTGGGGAGGGGGAGATGCTGTGATGGCACATGGAAGTTAAGCTGCCGGGGGTGGGGGGGAGGGTGCCATGAAACTCTCCAGAAAGCCTCATGCACCCTAACCCACGTTCAGACTGCAATCTTGTATGTTCAATTAGAGTACACTTCCTGACCCCACAAAGGTGACTGCTCCAGGTGGCACCTTGTGGATGGCTCCTCCTTTGGCCTCTGCGCATGCTCTCTCGTCAGAGGCAACTCCATCCCCTAGTGATGGGAAACGCCCCACGTGGGGTGGCCTGTTTAGACAAACGCATGTTCACTCTCTCTTGTCCACCTTCCTTAGGCTTCTGCTTATCGCTCTTATCTCTGTGGGTAAGAACTTGGGGTAAAAATTGAGATACTTATTCTCATAATAGATGGTCAGTCTTCTTAGCCTGATTTACCCTTCTTGGGTTTCATTTTGTCTACCTAAGACATCTTTTCTTATTTTCCCTCTTTCTTCTACAAAAGGAGCAAGATCTGACCCTTCAACATCAATTACAGCATTATCACATGTCTCTCAATGGAAATCATACTTTCACAGTCTGCAAGCCAAAGCTAATTCAGTCATAAACGAGTCCTTTATCTGCATATCTGGTCCCTAAATAATGCAGTGTGCAAGATCCATGGAAGTATGAAAAGCAAATTATGGAATTTCTATCTATGTCGTTTGATTGACCAGGGTAAGAACTAAATTATGCGTCCCTAACTCACATTTGCCCTGTAGTGGGCCGTGGCTTTGGGGTTACAGGTGTGTGCAGTGTCCCAGGAAGGATCCGGGGCTCACCAGGGCCTAAGGGTGTCCTCACAGGCTCACTGGCTTTCAGAACATTGTCAGCAGTGTGGTCACACGGAGGCACAGACCATACGAGCGGGCAGCAAAATGTTTGTGAAAAAAAAAATGGAACTTCAAGATGTTTATTTTCATGAAAATAAAGGGAGATGCATGCATAGTTTAGCACAGTGCACATTTTCCATGAAAATTTTGAAGACCCTTTGTCTAATTTTTTTTTACTTAAATAAACTCATCTCTTTCACCTACTTTCCATGAACTTTTTACAGTGTCCTCAGGCAAGTATTTAAACCATACCAAGTTTCATAAAATGGACAAATGGTCAGTGAAGAAGTGACTAGGGCTGGATGTTTGGTTTAGCATCTAAGACGCCCACATCCTTTATCAGAGAGCCTGGGTTCAAATCCTGCCTCTGTGTTCAAGTCAGCACTCCCATGGACTGGTTCATTTGCCAAATACCCGAAACGGGCAGGGGCCCAGGTCCTTGAGTCATCCCCTGCCGCCTCTCAGGGCCAGCAGGAGCTGACAGCTGGAACCAGGAGCCAGAGGTACACATCAAAGCCAGGCACTTCTGCAGGCACGGGGTCTCACCTGGCATCCTAACTACTGGGTTACACACACACCCCTCTCATTATCTTTGAATATCATTTGCCACAGACCTTTTGAAATCCCCCTTGTACATATGTCCATGCCTGTAATAATAACAGCTGCCTCTAGGGAATTAAACTGGCTGGCTAGGATGGTATGACAGCTTTTGCCTGTTTACATTTTAGAACATTTGAATTTTGAAAATATATATATATATATATAATGAAATTATTTTTAAATTATTCTTTAGATTTTTATTTATTTGAAAGGAAGAGAAAAAGGAAGGAGACATCTCCTCCACTCTGGTCTGTTCTCCATATGTCTGCAGCATCCAGGGTTGGAGCCTGTAACTCCATCTGGTCTCCCCTGGGGATAACAGGGACCCAAGTAGCTGGGTCATCACCTGTTGCCTCTTAGAGTACAGCTCCAAGAAGCTGGATCCCGGAGGGGTGCCAGGGCTCTAATCCAGGCATACCTACGGGATGTAGGCATCCCAGGATACATTATCATTGTAAGGCAAGCACCTCTGGGGAGTTATTAAGAAAGAATATTTACTAATATGAAAAATTGTCTGTGTTGCATGAAGAGATTTCATACTGGGCAATCCCACTTTTGCTTATGGCCGTACTACTTGGAAATACAGGTATTGGGAGAGGGGGCAGCTGGCCCGTGGCGTCCTACCTGCGCTGGCTTCAGCACTAAGGTGTTGCCTGCTGCCAGACACGCAGCACTCTTCCAGGCCAGCATCATCAGAGGGTAGTTCCAGGGGATGATGATGGCGCAGACCCTGCAGGGGCAGAGAGTCACCGTTCGTGGTGGTCTCACGTAAATGACCGGGGAGCTGCTCAGCAGTGCCCAGCCCCTGCCGGCGCCCCCACCTTCCACCCAGCTCCCATATTACCCAAGTGGCTCCTTCTTTGTGAAGGTCAGATTGTGATTTGGACGGGCCTGATTGATTGGAATTGTAGAACCCTAAAGAATAACCAAAAAAAGAAAAAAAAGTTGATCCTCTTTTTTTTTTTTTACTATTTTAAACTAGTGAATTTAATCTCCAAGCCCACCTTCTGTTCTTTGTTTTTCCTTAGCCGATAAGAAAAAGACACGCTTGATTTAGTTTTTAAAAAATGCATTCATACCCTCCAAAATATTTTCTCCTCAGAGTTACAGTATGCAAAATAAACACAGTCCTTATCTAGTCACCCTCCCTTCCCAACTTCTTGGCCTGGGAATGTTAATTGGCTGCTTACGATCCACTCTCTCCTCACCCTGATGAACAAAATGCCTCTCTTCCTAAGGCAGGTGCGCAGGGAAAGCATCGCTTCCGGTGGTCACCAGATAAGAGTGGCCAGTGGAGGGCGCGGGAGGGGAATGCTTTTGAAGGTTCGCCTTTGCCTTTGTCTCTTCTCTTGCTTCCTGCCTCTTCCTTCATCTTACTCGGAAGGAAGGTTGCTGAGATGGCTGGCACTTCAGTTTCGTCATGAGACCATGCGACAATCTTGAATGTGCAGGTCATTCGGTACCATCGATGGCCTGGCATCTATCTCACAAACTAGCCCTGCCTGCCTCCCTAGGGACTTGTTCTAACTGACATAAAGAAATAAAGACCATAACTAGATTCGTTTTTATTCAAGTCAGGGTTTGGCACAAATCATCTGAACCACTCAAAGAAATCAATTTTGAGGTTTCAGAACTGTCTAGATTTCATAACTGGGAATGAGGCATGAGCATAAACCACCACCCTAAAAACCCTAAACGCCCATATGTGCACAACTTGGCGGCTGAACAACGTTAAAAAAAAAAAATCTCAATTATTTGCAAGGGCCATCATATTGCAGACTGACCCAATCCGGGAATGTGTAAGTATTCACTTCCAACCCTTATAACGTGCAAGATAAGTCTTAATTCCATTTTTACACATGAGGAAAGTTAAGACTCAGAGAGGCAAAAGAACTGTGGTAAACCAGCTGGTGGGCGGCCCTCTGCCCCTCCCTGTAACTATTAACTGGTGGCAGCAGTGCACCCTGATACAAGAGCATGCTTCCCCATCTCCTTAGCACACAGACAGGCTGTGGGAATCGCAGGCACCCAGCCCCCGGAAGGGGGAAACACATCTCACAGCCCTTGAGCCCATCTCTCCATTCCCCACTTCCTCCCTCCTGGCACCAGGAGGGTGGTTGTGATAACTGCAGCTACAGCAGCTCTCACGGCTCCGTGAGCAGCATGCCACCTGTTGCATGCCACAGTCCTACCATTCCCTCTTGCATCCTTAAGGAAGAGCCTAAGTATTGTGCCCACTCATCAACATACATGTGCTATGTACTACCTTCAAGTACAAGGGAAGTACCAGTCTGATTGCACCCTTGTCTTTGCAAGTGTTTCTTATCCTCACTCTACTTGAACCATTTACAGCGGCTCCCTGTTCTCTCTGGGGACCCCGGAGTCCCTGCATGGTCCCTGGCTTCTTCCCTCCGGTGCAGAGGACCCCTGTACAGCCAAGCACCAAAGTGCACACGGAAGGGACGGACTTCAGACAGAAAGTCTCAAGGTCAGACCTGGTTTTGCAGTTTCCTTGTGGATTCAAGAAAAGGCATCTGCTTCCCCAAGCCTCCGCTCCATCCCTGTAGTCAGGGGATGATGTCTGCCCGTTTACGTGGCCCTTGGCTTAGTGGGAAGCAGTGGCTTATGCATGGATACACAGCAGCCACAAGGAGGCTAGCCAGAGAGAGGTCTTCTCCGATCCAAGGACACAACATTGCCCCTCTCTGGAAAAGGCAGCTACATGTCACTGCCTTGTTCCTGACCGTCTCAGGCTCCGGCACTGCGAGAGAAGCGAGCCTTATTCCTGTCCATTACCCAGTCTGCTGCTGTGGCTGTTACAAGCAAACACGTCGTGTGCATACCTGAATCTTGTCACACCAGCCAGCAAAATATCTGAATGTTTGCACAGACATTCCAATGTGGGTCTTCAGCGCCAGGGTGTAGACAGCCCCTGAATCAAGGGCCTCAATGGTTGCCAGCTCCTCCTGGTGTTCTTCCAGTAAGTCTGCAAGTCTGTGGTTGGCACGAGAAAGGCATTCAAGACATACCAATCACGCTGATGGGACTGAGACTTCAGAGGGCAGACATCCGGGCCGGGACTCAGCCCTCGATGGAGTGCCCACAAACCACGCAGGAGAAGCAGGAGGTGCTGGGAGCAGGTGTGACTTGCCACGTGTGAAGAGAGAGCCATGAGGCAGAGCAGTAACTGAGCAGTGGTAATGCAAGGTGGGTAATGGTGGCACAGTGGGGAGGTGCTCAGTGATGAGTGTGAAGGGAGACATGAGGGTGCAACCCATGCCCCTCAAGGACACACGGGCATCTCGGGCTGGCAGCCCACGCCCCTCAAGGACACACAGGCATCTCAGGCTGGCAACCCACGCCCCTCAAGGACACACGGGCATCTCGGGCTGGCAGCCCACGCCCCTCAAGGACACACGGGCATCTCGGGCTGGCAGCCCATGCCCCTCAAGGACACACGGGCATCTCAGGCTGGCAACCCACGCCCCTCAAGGACACACGAGGATCTTGGACTGGCAACCCACGCCCCTCAAGGACACACGGGCATCTCGGGCTGGTAACCCAGGCCCCTCAAGGACACATGGGGATCTCAGGCTGGCACATACAGTCACCATGGGTATTCACGGGGCCTGGGCTCTGTGCCCACCTTCTATGCCAACATCCTTGGATGCTCAAGACCCTTTCCAAAGATGGTACAGTGTTCGCATATAACCTTCACAATTCTCCCTCCCATATACTTGGAATTCTCTCCAAATCATTTATACTACCTTTTGCTAATATAGTGCTATTATGTCACTTGGTGCCATGTAGATAGTTGTTAAACCACATAAATATCATTTAGAAAATGATGACAAGAAATAAAATTGATATGTTCAGTAGTGGTGTATTTTAAAATATACATACATATATTTTTTGGCCTGGCACAATGGTTCAGTGGCTAAGTCCTCGCCTTGCATCCACTGGGATCTGATATGGGCACTGGTTTCTGTCCCAGCTGCTTCACTTCTCATCTAGCTCCATGCTTGTGACCTGGGAAAATACTCGAGGATGGCCCAAAGCTTTGGGAGCCTGCACCCACATGGGAGATCCAAAAGAAACTTCTGGCTCCTGACTTTGGATCAGTTTAGCCATTCTGGCCACTTGGGGAGTGATCTTTCTCTCTGTCTCTCCTTCTATCTGTAAATCTGTCTTTCCAATAAAAATAAATCAATCTTTAAATATATATATGTGCACATATTTTCTAGCTGATATTGGCTGGCTCTGTGGATGTGGGAACCAACAGAGAGAGTGGAACATGCTTCCAGCAGTAACCAAAGAGGACAAGTTGGAAACACAGGATGAATGGCAGGCCCTGCAGCATGCTTCTGGCCGGTGTCTGTTCTCTGGGGAGGCAAGCAGAGAACTGAACCAATTCTACAATGCGATCATCGTTCATCTTGCATGTTTCCCTCCTCCATTTGTTTTCTTTCTTTGTTTTCCGAGTTATTCCTTCCTAGCCATTCTAGATTCGAACTTGAAATCCCCCTCCTCCAGTGTTATTTTCTAAATTTTGCACTAAAAGATCTTGTTTTTCCTTTTCATTAGCTGATTTGGCAGGGGTGTCCCTGACACCTTTATGAAAGACCCAGGCTGAGTTCGGCGTCGTGCCGTTGGCCTGGCCCACCCCTGCCGGCTGCGGGGCTTCCGGGAGGGAACCGGCAGATGAAAAGTCTCCCTGAATTTCAGAGAAAACACAAACTCACCTGTACATCAACCGTCCTCTGTCTCTTGCATTCATTCTCCCCCATTCACCATTTTCAAAAGCCTCTTTTGCTGCTGCTACCGCCTTGTCCACGTCTACCAAAGATGCATAGGAGACTTTGCAAATTACCTGTTTGGAGGTCGTAAAAAACAGGTTATATAAAAGACACATACATAGGGTTTTGGAATGAATATTGCCTTACCAGGAACAATAAGAGTATTGCTTACAAAATCCAAAGAATATTATGATGGAAAAATAATGCCTCAAGAAAGTGAAGTGAAACGGGGCTGGCATTGTGGTGTAGTAGTTTACGCCACCGCCTACAGCACCTGCACTGCACCAGGAGCACCAGCTCAAATCCAGGATATTTGCTTCTGTGCCAGGTTCTGCCACTGCACGGGAAAGCAGTGGACAACGCCCAAGTCCTTGGGCCCCTGCACCCATGTGGGAGACCCGCAGGGACTTGTCAGCTCCTGAGTCAGCCTGGCCCTCACTTGGTTATTGTAGCCGTTTCAGGAGTGAACCAGTGGCTGGAAAACCCCTCTCACACACTTGTAAGTAAATAAATCTTTTACAGTGGGGGAGCAACAATTGTAGCAGGAACATGAGCAGCCAGTACTGTAGTCTTCATGCCACACTATGTTATGGAAGGCCCATTTGGAAGCACTCTGTGTTGTTCCTAGCTGGATTTCTAGCCGTGCGCATTCAAAGTCTGCACAAACTTTTCCATGCACAGCAGTGCTTCTATTGACCAAATCAATCATTCATAGACTTAATAACAAAACTGGGACCGCCAAGTTGAAAAAGACATAGGAAGTACATTTGTATGACGTGCTTGGAGGCAGAGGGGTCAAACAGGCAGCCTGGTTTACTCCTGGCATAACTGACATGAGCACGGTTCCCACCCGCTGCGCCGTGACTCACGGAGCCATCCGTTGGGTTGATTGTGTCGTAAGTCTTTCCATCGTCAGCATCCACGAACTGCCCATTGATAAAACACTGGTAAGGCATTTTCACGGTCATTTCATTGACCTCCTTTGAGACCTGGGAAAGAGAAAATTGTATTCATAGAATCAATGGATCGCTGTAGATAACTATTTGATACTATATGGCAATAAAGAACTTGCTCATGCAAAGGGAGAAGCTAAGTTAATGCAAGAGGTACGCACAGGGAAGATGGGGGCCTCAAGATGCTCTGCTTGGCCACTGAGGCAAGAGCATCTGAGATGCGCAGGGCTCCAGGCTGGATTTGTCAACACAGAGCTAGGATTTGAAGACCCTCACTAATGGACACAGCGCTATCTAGTGGCAGACCTGACGGAGCACAGCCATGATTTCATCATGAAACTAGATTCCCTAAGAGTCAGTGCCACCTTAGGTGTTCTTTCTGCAAGCTTCTCTTGGTTTTCCCTTTCCGTTCTAGGCGTGCACTCTCCACAAAGCTCCATTTTTAGCAATAAAATAAGGATAGTGAAAACTGCTTCCTACAACACTAGCCTTCAAAAATGAAGGAAAGAACCCACTAGGCTATCACATCAGGTTTGAAGCACACAACATATATTTAAGACAAAAAAGGAAGTAGAGGAGGATGGGAGGAATGCAGAAGTTTGTGAGTGACATACAGAAAGCATCAAAAGGACACAGACTTGTGCTTTGAGCCTGCTGTGATAGCCTAGTGGCTAAATCCCAAAGATCCCATATGGCAGCAGTTTGTGTGCTGGCTGCTCCACTTCCCATGCAGCTCCCTGCCTGTGGCCTGGGAAAGCAGTCGAGGACGGCCTGAAGCCTTCGGACCCTGCACCCAAGTGGGAGACCTGGAAGAAGCTCCTGGCTCCTGGCTCCTGGCTCTGGGTCGCACCGACTGTTGTGGTCACTTGGGGAGTGAACTAGCAGATGGAAGATTTTTCTGTCTGTGTCTCCTCCTCTCTGCAAATCTGATTTTCCAATAAAAATAATAAATATAAGTAAATAATGTAATATTTGATAACATAATATAATAGCATTATAAATAAATAAATAAATAAATAAAAATAATAAATATGTGTGTCAAAATGAAAACCAACTGTGCTCCAAGGCCACTCTCCAAAGTTGCAGTGCATGTCCGCAGAACGAGAGAACAGGTTCACACACCCGATATAAAGGTCAGCTATCCAAAAGATTCTTACAGCTCAGGGCCTGACAGTGTGGCCTAGTGGCTAAAGTCCTCGCCTTGAATGCGCCAGGATCCCATCTGGGCACTGGTTCTAATCCTGGCAGCCCCACTTCCCATCCAGCTCTCTGCTTGTGGCCTGGGAAAGCAGTCGAGGACAGCCCAAAGTCTTGGGACCCTGCACCCGTGCGGGATACCCGGAAGAAGTTCCTGGATCCTGGCTTTGGATCGGCATAGCATCGACCATTGTGCTCAATTGGGGAGTGAATCATTGGACGGAAGATCTTCCTCTCTGTCTCTCCTCCTCTCTGTATAGCTGACTTTGTAATAAAAAATAAATTAAAAAGAAAAAAAATTTTTTAAAGATTCTTACAGCTCAAGCAAATAAAACCCCAACTGAAAAATGGGCGAAGGAGCTGAACAGGCATTTCTCCAAAGAAGACACGCGCACTGCCGACGAGCCATGAAAGGATGTGCAGCGTCGTTACTAAGCAGGAAATACACACTGAAGCCACGATGAGATGCCGTCTCACACCCACTGGCACAGCTGACAGAGGACAGGTCACTGCAGGAGCGGCAAGGGTGGGCCCCTCACCCATCGCTGTAGGGCTATAAAGCAGTGCGCCCGCTTTGGAGAGCAGCTTGACAATGATTCAAAAGTGAAACACAGCCACCACCTGACTCACTAGTAGTTTTGCTACTAATACGCCCAGCAGAAACGAAAATGTATGTTCACACAGAAAAACACACGCATGGATTTTTATAGCTAGTGCTAGTCTTACTAGTCAAAGGCAGAAACGGCCTACTTGCATGTCAACTGAACGGCGAATCGGTGAATGGAAAAAGAAACTGCCGAGGGATGACGGCCACTACAACACGATGAATTCTGAACACATCGTGCTGCATGAAAGAGGCCAGGCACAAAATGTCATCTGTTCATAGGAAACAGGTAGGACAGGCAGATCCACAGAGCCAGAAAGGAGGAGAGTGGTTGTCAGGGCCAGGGGTGGAAGGTGGGGATGGGCGAGCAGAAAGTGACTGTCTCCACACTGTATCCACACAGAGAGGAGGAGAGACAAAGAGGAAGATACTCCATCCACTGATTCACTCCCCAAGTGGCTGCAACAGCCGAAGCTGCGCTGCTCTGATGCCAGGGGCAAGGAGCCTCTTCCGGGTCTCCCATGCAGGTGCAGGGTCCCAAGGCTTTAGGCTGTCCTCGACTGCCTTCCCAGGCCGCAAGCAGAGAGCTGGATGGGAAGCAGGGCCGTGGGGATTAGAACAAGCATCCATATGGGATCCCAGTGTGTTCATGGTAAAGACTTTAGCTGCTAGGCTATCACGCTGGGCCCAGAAAGAAAGAAATCTTAAAAAAAAATCTATTTTTATTCATTTGAAAAGCACAGAGAAAGGGCGAAAGAGAGAGAGAAATTGAGATCTTCTGTCAGTTGGTTCACTCTCCAGATGTCTACACTGACCAAGACTGGGCAAGACCAAAGATAGGACCCAAGGCTTCTTCTGGGTCTCTCACTGGGTACAGGGACCCAAGTCCTTGGGGCATCTTCTGCTACTTTCCCAAGTGCATTAGCAGAGAGCTGAATAGGGAGTGGGATGGTTAAGACTCAAACCAGTGCCCAAATGGGACGCTGGTGTCATAGCAGCTTTGCCCGCTATGCCACAACACTGGCCCCTGAAATGCACATTGTGAAAGGGTGTATCTCATAGTTTGTGCATCTCAGCACAGCCTTGCTAACTGAGGAGCAGTGCACGGGACACCCTTGCTTCCCGTAGCTCTCAATGCAAAGGCCTCTGGAAACGAAGCACAGCAGCCTGGTGTCTGGCTGCGGAGGCTGCGCACACACACGGAGCAAAGCTTACGTAATCCACCACCAGCTCTGCCTCGTGGTCCTCTCCCCTCAGCTTCCTCACAACCTTCTGGATGAAGTCTTCAAACCTGGTGGCCATGTAGACGTCTTCGTTCTGTAACTGAAGCCCGCCACACTTCTGTCGGATCTCTTCAACCAGCCTGGAGGCACGAAGCAGCCAACGTTAGGGTCTTGGTAGCATTTGGAGGTGCTGCATTGTGAGCCCGTGTCAGGTTGGTGTAAAGTCGGATGTGTGTCCCAGCCTGTGTAGGGCCTATAGGTAGGCCCGGCACAACAGCTTCCTTGGCTAATCCTCCCCTTGTAAGTGCCGGGATTCCATAGGGGCACCAGTTCATATCCCAGCTGCTCCACTTCCCATCCAGCTCCCTGATTATGGCCTAGGAAAGCAGTGGAGGATGGTCTTAAGGCTTGGGACCCTGTACCCGCATGGGAGACCCAGAAGAAGCTCCTGGCTCCTGACTTTGGATCGGCTCAGCTCTGGCCATTGCAGCTACTTGGGGAGTGAATCACTGGATGGAAGATCTTTCTCTCTGCCTCTCCTCCTCTCTGTGAACCTGACTCTCCAATAAAATAAATGAATTTTTAGGAAAATTAAAGACTGGGAGCAGAAAAATTTTATAAATCTGTCTTGAAAGACAGTGAGGATTTTTTGTTCTCCTTTGTCTTTGGTTTCATCCATGACCAGCAAGGAAAGAATTAAGTGGAAAGCAATGTTCTTTTGCATGATGAGGGAACCTCAACAAGTTCATGAAAATGGAATAACAAGTTTATCTTAGTGCAAAAAAAAAAAGCTTTTAAATACATACATTTTTTTCCATAATACACATTTTTCATGAACTTTTTGAAGACTCACTTATGCTCAAGGAATAGTAAATAATGAGTTTCCCCACCTGTGAAGATGAGGAGAAATGAACGTTAAATTGCACTGTTTCCTCCAGACTCTGCAGGACAATAACACAGACGTCGGTAACATCTCTTTAACAGTTCCACTAGAACCATGGGGCAGGTCATGCAACACTCTAAGTCCTTCCCAGTTCTTGATTTTCACTGTTCGTTTTCCTAATCCCAACTGTTAACTGACATCTTTTGAATGACAATGGCATACAGTGTGGAAAGCTCTTGGCAATTATTGCCCACTCTTTTATTCTCTGAAGGAGGTGAAGTGTTTTAGTTATGAAAAGATAACAGTATCAGAGAATATTACCCAGGTAATAGTAGCAGTTGACAATGCTTGAGTCAGACAAATGCTGAGTCAGATTGTTGTTTTTTGAGTAAAACAACAGTATGACTAGTATAGTTCTGAACTCTTTAGTTAAGCTAATTAGAAGTTTCTAGAACTCAGGAATCATATGAGGAAGCAAAACTCTCCTTTTTTCATGATACTATAAGCTCTTGCGATGACTATTTTTGACAACTGAAATAAATTCTGCATGAATCAAGGGGCTCTACCTAGTTCATAACTTTTTACTTAGTGTCAAAACTATTCCTGATAGGTAGAAATTGTGCAATAAATTGTGCTAAATCAATGAGTGATTAAATGGATACCTAAAGATAAATAGAATGTCTATCAGAAATATTGCATTGTTGGCACCAAGTATTACATCAACAGAAAGGGATGTTATTTTGCTTATGTTTTAGTAATTTATTTGAAAGGTAGAAATGTAGAGTTATAGGGAGAGACAGAAAATCTCCAATCCCCTGGTTCATTTCCCCAAAGAACCACAATGGCCCGGGCTGGGCCAGGGTGAAGCCAGGAATCTGGAACTCGAGCTGGGTCAACCACAGGGGTGGCAGGGACTCAGATGCTCGGCTCATCCTCTGCTACCTTCCCAGGTGTGTTAGCAGGGAGCTGGATCAGAAGTGGGGCAACTGAGACTTGAACCAGCACTCGTATGTGATGCCAGCAGCATAGGTGGCAGTTTAACTCATTATGCTAGTGCTGATCCCAGGAGGAACATTCTAGACTTAATGGGTCAATATTCTTGACCTAATCAAATATTAGCAAACAACCTTAGTGTGAATTGGGATCAAAAACTCCTTGGCTTCTATTCTTGACACCACCATCAAGGGTCAGCACAGCCCCTGATTAGTTTCCAACTGACTCATTATCCTGGGTAAGGAGGAAAGTCTGTACAGGACTCGGTGCCCCTAGGCGACCAGTTCACTGTTGTTGCCATAGAGCAGTCCTTCTGGGATTCAGTCTCAGCTCGCTGTGTATCACTGCAGACAGTCTAACCAGATGGTGATGATTTGCTCCCACAGGCAGCTCCTAACCAGAGGGTGAAGCCTTACTTCCACAGGTAGCTCCTAACCTTCCTCCTAGATTCATCTCACTGGGTGATTCAGACAACAGGAGAAAGAAGACTTGAGGGCAAGTGTCATGACTGATGCCAGGAATCCTTCTGAAACAGACCGAATAGGCTGTTCCCTGTTCCCATTCTCCCCCAGAGCTTCTCAATGCCAATGCCACATGGGAGGAAAAAGCAGCTAAGAAACGTGAGGGTGAACTTTAGACAGCAGCAAACACCTGCAAGCGCTGGTACCCCAGATATGGGGATTTCACCATGGAAACAAAGGCAGATGGAGAGTACAAATGTACAGCAGAGCAGCCGTGTCCAGAGCCAACGGTCTGGATTGGACTGTCCAAGTCCAAAACCCTGGGGAGGTTTGTGGGTCACCACAGCAGGGGTTTTACCTGACAACATCCATTGAACTTGCCCCAGATTTAAAGAAATCCGTCGAGTCTTCAATAACACGGACGTTGCTCAGGATTCCAGCCCAGATGACCTACACACAAAGCGAAAGCAGCCTGAGGGCAGTGTCTCGGAGAAGGCTGTGGCCGAGGCTGGCCAGCTCTTGGCCAAGCTGCTTTCCTCTGCATCTTGTAGATAAACAGCGTGGTGACATTGCTCATCGTCCCTTCAAATCAGAGGCAGCTGACCAATGAGTGCACCTGACCATCACACACAACCTCTCCCCCACCTGCTCAGGGGGGTTGCTCTACAAGAAACCTCCTCCACCCAATTCTCATTGTTCTTCTGGCTGGCCGGAAGGGAAACGACCCTGAAGACAGAAGAGCTTGGATCCCTGTGTGAGGCACTCCCATCCTCCATGCAGCACAGTGGAAGCACATCACAACCTCCCTCCTTGGAGCCTCGCATTTGCACCTGTGGTGAAGGATCTTAAAGGCATCACAGGCTCACCCTGATGGTCTCAGCCACCTCCTCCTCCTCGGCTGTGAGCTCCAGCATGGCCGTCTCACCCATCGAAAAGTACTGAGACGCAGGAATCATTCTTCCATCTTCAAACTGTAGATTTCTTACCACCAGCTACAAAACACCACCAAAACAAGGGCAAACGCCAGGGACTGGGACCATTCGAAAGAGAGGTTGGTGGGAGGAGGGATCGTAGCTGTGGGACACTAAGGACTAGCCTCTTTGGAAACTGCAGTAAATATCAATGGAAAAATATGCGCTAGTATGTGGGAAAGGACTGAAATGCTGCTGAGAAAGGAGAACGTCTAGTGTAAGGGCAGATACATTGCAAAATGGATGATAAGCCTTGGGAAACCTGACTTGTGTGTGTAGCTATGTCACAGGTACTATCCAGCGTTCTGCTGTCACTCTTAATTGAGCACTGACGCGTGTGTGCACAAGTTGGCCTCCCTTCTTTCATCTCATACATCCTAGTGGAGGCACATGCCAGGTGCCGTTAATATCACCATCGTACTGATGCAGAAATAGAGATCCTTTGTGAATCAGATAGCAGCGTTGGGATTAGAGCCCAGCATGAGCTTCCAGGCTTTACAACTGCAGCCAGTTCCCTTCCGCACTCCGTGTGGGGAAGCTGCCCAATAGTCCACGGGCTTGGGTGGCAGCTGCCTGGGGAGGCCAGGGCAGAGCACACCTGAAGAGGGGAACACCCCTCTCGTGTGAGCTTTGCAGGCCCCAGCAGCAGGAAGGCAGACACATGGATCTCCTCTCTGTTTTATAGGGAGGCAAATTAGGACACATCAGGGAGAGTCACCCTGCCCAGCTTATGAGTGAGAGGGATGCACACCCCAATCTCCTGAGCGGATCCCAGCACTTCCTTCCCTATTGCACACCAGCATGTGTGGGTCTGGCGAGCCTCACCCAAGTCAGGGCAGCTCATCTCACTGAAAGAATGGAGGCACCGATCTCTTGAACCTCCTCACACCCCAGTGCAAAGTCACCTAAGCTTGTGCAAGCTATCCCACTAAGAGCTGGGGTTATAGGAGGAACACAAGTAGTTGTTTCATAGATGATCAAATACAACACTCACTGCTTTGCCATCGTTACCATATAGAACAAGTCCATTTTTGGTAACAAGACCAGGCTTCTCAGCACCTTTGATTTCCAGAGGTTCTCCAGGAGGCACAGAGCTCGTAAGTAATGACGAGCCGTAGAAAGTGACCACCTAAAAAGGGGATTAAATCCAGTTGATCAGATAGGAGAACCAAGCTGTGCACAGAAGTGTGTATGCTAGCATCACGCCCTGCAGAAACAAGTGATGTTCACAGTATCGTCTATGACAGCATGAGACTTTATCCAGCACCTGCAGAAATGGTACAAGGCAAGAGCCAGTCCATCACTGTGTGATTGAACAGTTCCAGAATGGCCCACATCAAGGCAACATGAGCACCAGTTTACCGTGTGTCCACCCCAATACAAAGGAAAATGGGACAAAAGACTCTTGGTCATGACCGTTGTGAAGGTAGGGTTTGTTGGGGGATGTGGAGGTGTCGGGGTGGGCATTGGTGAGGGAAGATGCACAACAGCAAATGGACAATTATGATAAAGCGTGATGAGAGGTGAGGGGAGATTAGGAAAACAAAGCTGAATACAGACTATGACCAACAGAAACTGACCCTGATTGATTTACAGTTAGAATTAGTTATCATTTATTGAGCACTAAGATAGTTGATGCCTCTCAAAGTCCTAGTCTATTCCAGGGACTAAGTACTTACATGAACTAACATGTATTGCTTCCCTTAATGTTCACAATACCCCGTGACCTGTAAGGGAGGCAACAGTGTCCCAAGAAAGCCAAGGGACACACTAGTTAAGAAATCTGCCCAAGGGTGGCTGGATGGCTAATGGGGGCAGAATGAAAATTCTGTTTATCTATCTGACAAAGAATTAGTTCCTGTCCTAAGGTGGACTATGTCAGGCAGTGGATTCTGGAGAGATATTATCGTGCTTGGAATGGTGAGATTGGCAGCAATTCAGAACTGCTGAACTATCAAAACCACTTGAGCAGTGCCCTTGGAGCATGTCCCACGTTGGGGACCCTGGGATGGTTGGAATGCTGGATGTGGCTTCTCCCCTTTTCTCTCCTCTCCCCCAAGATACAGAAAGAGGAAAAAAGAGAATGTGGAAACAACGATTTTACCCACTTTCACTTTCCTGAGCCCTTGACCCTTTGCGCCCTAATCAACTATGTAAACATCATCAAAATAATAATAATAATTTTTGAAAAAAGAATTAGCTCCCATCCACTGATTCAGCCCCTTCAAATGCTTGCACTGAGACAGACTGAAGCTGGGAGCAGGGAACTCAGTCCAGGTCTCCCAGTATGTGACAGGAACCTAACCACTTGAGGCATGACCACTTCCTCCCAGGGCTGGAAGGAAGGAGCCAGGAGCCAAAGCCTGATACCCAACCCAGGTACTTCAACTCATGTATCTGCAGCAGCATCTTAGCCACCAGGCCAGATGCCTAGCTCAGAGTAAGAATGAGATAACAGAGATATTCCACCTGCAGACACCCCGCTCCTAACTGCACTGAACACTCTTGGTCACTAATACAATGACATGAAGCCCTGGGCCCTGAGGAGTGCATGCCTCTGTGTGTGTGTGTGTGTGTGTGTGTGTGTGTGTGTGTGTGTGTGTCCTTCACACTCCTAGCACTGCCCACCTCCCCTGCCGCTGCCCACACCTGAGTGTCTGGCTTCGTGGAGTCTGGTTTTGGATCCCTGACTGGGTGCAGAACTTCTCTCCTCAGGGCTTCTCCTCTGGTTTGCTCTGCGCTTAGTTCATCTCAGTCTGAGCAATGCAGTCAGCATCTCCAGGAAGCCTTTCGAACTCACTGGAGCCTGCATTTGTCTTACCGCCCTGTGCATATGGACCATGTCTCTGCCTTCCCCCACAGCACTGCGGGCTCCTAAGACTATTTCACAATACAGCTCCATTCTTGCACGCAAACCACAGACTCTTCTCTGAAGCAAAGCAAGAGCCAGAAGAAGCTGCGGCATCTTTGTAGTGCCTTTCACCCAGGTAGTATGGCAGGGGCAGAGTGGGGAAGGAAGTGGTCTCTAAAACATACCTGTCCATTTATCTCTGTCCAGGCTCCAGGAACTTTATCGTGACCTCGAATCCAGTTATGTAAGGCTTCTGCAGGCTGATCCCAAGAAATCTAGGAGAGCATAAAGCACAAGTTCATCCTCCTGAGGCTTCAAGTTTCAAAGCCACAGAACTTTCCTCTCCTTCAGGGGCTTAGGGAAGGAGGGATGGGGCAGCCTGGTCTGGAGGTCCAGCTGCTGGCCAGGAATGAGTATGCTGGGAACTACTCCAAGGTAGAGGGCCAGGAGCTTTGAGAGCTGATACAGATACCTTAGCATTCTCCTTTCTCTGGATGCCTTCATACGTGGCCCCTTCTTCCGGCTGGGCAGTGCGAGGCGCTTTTCCATCAGCTATGAGTTGGACGGCTTCTACCTAAAGCCACAAAGTCAGCCACATCATGGCACGGTCTGTGATTCCTGCATGGCCTCCTGCCGGGATAGCTATGTCTTTAAGTCCACTCATATACCAAACACAGAACAGGTGGCTAAATCATTACACAAATCCTGTACAGTGGATATTATTATTACCATTTTTGTAGAGGAGGGGATCATGGATAAAGAAAGTTGAGCAACTAGCTCAAGGTCACAGAGCCAGCTGGGAGCGGTGAGAAGCAGGATTTGTATCCAGATCTGTTTCCTGCCAATATCAAGACTGCACTCTTTAAAATGATTCCTTCCTGTAAACACACTAGGTCCTCCCGTTGTTGAGCCAAGGGGCACTTTGGAAGTATGATTTTAAAAAGAAATGACTGTGAAATTACAATGAAAATTATACATTATGGTATTTAATTAATTCAAGCTCTCTTCTAGCATCTTGTAAGTGAAATAGAAAAAAGTGAAATCCATCCATGACACTGGTTACTTTGGGATGTGTCCTGCATTCTCTTCCCTGTAGTATTTACGTTTGCTTGGCCTTGCCCTGGGAAGCCTCTGTAAGCTCAAGTTCTCAGATTTCTAGGGACTGACAGCTGCTCACCAACGCCCCCCCCCCCCCCCGGCCAGCACACATGGAGGGAACCACCTGGGAACAAAGCCCAGTCTTGGAAAATACCTCCAAGCACAAGCTCTGTGCTTGGCAAGTGCAACCGAGTGCTGAACGCCGGTATTACATTATTATCACTTTTGAGTACCTCCTGTGTGTTGGCTGTTTTAGAAAAACACTGTCATTTAATTCTCTCAACTTACATTTGTATTTTATAGATGAGAGAACCAAGGCTAAAGAGGCTAAGTGACTATCATCATCCCACAAATAAGTGATCAAATGTGACCCTGAAGCAGGTCTCCCCGCCGCCAGGGCTCCACCCTTTCAGTCGCTGAGGGATACAGAGAAAACATTGCTCTCCTCCCCCCTCCATCAATCGCTACTCCTTTCTGTAATCTTGCTGCTTCTGCCACACAAAAACCGGGAAGGAAAATGAATGACATCAAAATTACCTACTGAATTGGTAAAATTTCTTACAGATTTTGGATTTGTTGTCCACAGTGCATTTGCATAAATTAAGCAACCTCATCCTTGTTACACAGATTAAGTCAAACCAATTTGAAACCAAGCCCAAATTAAATAGCAAAATTTCTTAAGGTTCTGCTACTCTTCTTTATAATTAATCATGATAAAAAAAGGGTTGGTGATTTAAAAATTTTACAAAAGTAATGGAGCAGTTTAATTGATACTTCATTCACTTAATCGCTGTTTTCAAAAGAATAAGTCAACTTTACAAAGAATTTTATACTTTGGATTTTTCACCCTAAATAGGTTATCCCATCATCAAATAAAAAATCTACTTTTGTTTCCAAGCTTTATATCTTTGGTAAAAGAAAAAAAAATCACATGGAAAAAATTCTCAATAAAAGATAAATGTTTCCAACATTGCAAAGGTTTATTACATTCTTCTTGTTAATATAAATGTACTGACCATGGCCTTGATCCCTTCGGGAAAAAGAAATCGATTATAAAGTGTATCCACTGTGTCGTTGGGCTGAACGTCACATGACCGCTGAAGAAGGATGGGTCCTGTGTCTAAGCCATCATCAGCCCAGAAAACAGACAACCCAGCCTTCTTATCGCCCATAATGAGAGTCCTGTGAAAAGAAGAGAGTCCATTTTAGAGGGTGGTGGTGATGACAATGGAAAAGTACATGCTGCATGAGGTAGCCGGAAGAACCCAGCAAGCAGTAGAGCTCGCACAGGGCAGAGCTCAGAGCAGCAGTGACCAACGGTGCTGCTGTTTATACATCCTCGGATCTGTGCTCTTTCTTGCTACCATACAGCAATGACTGCTACTAGGAGAGTTAGCAGAATCAAGATACAGTCACAGTTGTCAAGCGCTAATGAACAAAGCCAAGTCAGGTGGATAGGAAGGCAGGGATGTCACGCCCGCATGCCTGAAGACAAGAACCATTCACAACAGATGGCCAGGAGCACAGCCTTGCACAAAGGCTACCACAAGCTAGCATGAAAAAAATACGCGTGCAACGACAGGCCTACCCAATAACTGTCTGTTAAATCCTGAACCCATGCCACCCTCGTCATTGATCCCTACCAAGGATTATTCTTTCAAAATATCTGCTATACTCCTTCTCATCTTGGGTTTCAATATTTCCTCCTGCCCACCCTCCTTGAAAGCACTCATAGTTGACCATGACGTGCACGTTGCAATACTTGCAATGCTCTGCTATTCCCAAATAAATATCACTGTGTTATTTATATCACGTCGACAGGAGTAACTCTTAAAGGGCAGGAGACTCCATCTTAACCTCCACTCATAAACTCCACATGTCAGCTCTCCACCTGGATCAGATATAATCATTTACCACCACAGCTCCATTTCCCACATCATACTTGACCTGGAATTATGCAAAATTAAAATCAAACACAAAGTAGAGAATGCTCAGATTCCTGTGGAGAGCAGATTATTTATTGGCATTGTATCAAAGACCTAAGCTGAACATAGGATTAGTTCAATACTGTCTATATAAATTACTGTACAAGATGGTTGGTTAATCAAAGCATTTGTGTTTTGTGGTATGTACAGCTTAGCTTAAGAAAAAAAGCACATACAAGTAAACTCATATCAGAGAGGAGACTAAAACAGAGAGAATATAAAGTAATAGATCATCCCTGGCCACAATCTAAACGATTTTTATTTTCTGGGTTACTAATCGATCTAAATTGGCTATTTTCTGAGTTACTAATCAAGCTCTATATCAATGAATCTTTTGAGATGTACAGATGGAATTATATTTTCAAGAGCCTTGAAAATATTCACATACTTTAATCCAATGATTCCACATGTAGAAACAAAATAAAGAAAAATTGCAAGTCTAAGATACCCAGTACCATATTATTGATAAGAGCAAAATAGAAATTCATTCACATAATCAAATGTGACACATGATGAGCTACTTTTTCATTATATTTAAACTGAGAATAAATTTCTACTTCATAATTTGACACTTCGGAGTAGCAGGAAGCTGTGCAGTGGAAGTACAGATGGCAGGAAAAATGAGAAGGCACAGTATAGTGAAGATCGCAACTGGGGTCTGTGAAGGACCAGACACTGCTCTTGAAACAACAATAGAAGTGCTAGACAAAATCCCTTCCATCTAGACACCTAACATTGAGTGGGGGAAGTCAGACAAAACAGAAAGAGAATTCTAGGCAGCTGCAGTATGTCCTGGCACGCCCGAGAGGCTTTATGTAAAAAGTATTCTGTGGTTAAATATGTTTGGGAATGACCTCTTTAGTTTGTGAAGCACATAGTGAAAGTTCAAAGAAACCCTGCAGTAAACCAAGCCTGTCTGACCACAGGACCCAGGCTTGCTCACTTCCTGTGTGCATGCCATGAACTGGTGCTCCCCAGGCTACTCCAAGAAAATGTGGTTCTGGTTCCCAGGTACATGCAGAGCTCAGGGAAATGTGGGTTCTGATTATAATCCATCACAACTCACAGCGGCCCACACCTACCTGGTTCCTTGATCTTCCAGGCTAAGACAAAACAGAAAGACTATGGACCATGGCAAAAACTCTCGCTCTCTGTGAGTGAGATGTCTCACCAGTTGATGGCCGAGGCCCCTCTATGCCTGGGCAGGATGGATGGGTGATAGATGATGGAGCCATGCTTTGGGCCGTCGATCACGTCCATGGGGATGAACTGTGTGCAGAAGGGAAGCACGTTCAGCTCTGCGCCCACGGACCTGTAGGCCTCCACCACCTCCTGGATGGTCTTGCCCTTGACTCGCCATCGAGGGAACTTGAACACTGGGGTCCCATCTTTCTCTGCAGCCAAGGCTAAGCAGCAAAAGGATTATGTTTCAATTGGTTAAAAATTTTTAAAAGCTAGCTGAAGATACAATGCAATATACATCCGTACTTCCAAATCAAAGCTGGACTCCCACTGAAACCAATGGATATATCTACACAATGGGATGCTGGACTGTCAGATATTGTACCAGCAAAGTCGGGGCGCCCTTAAATATCAGACTGATGGACTTGTAACTTGTTATGAAGAACTATACTATTATAACAATATGGGAAAATCAGTCAGGGGGTGGGAATTTGGGGGGCATGAATCTCAGACCCTACATAATTGTACTATAAAACTAAAAAAAAAAGCTAGCCATAATTTTATATGGCTATGGATTTGTGCATGAGAATTTGACAATTTCATGAAACATTACAAATAAAGCTCACACAGCTCAGATGCAAACTGCAAGATGTGACACACCTGCATTGTGCCCTACCCAGGTTTCTAATGTGAATGTTACCTATATAGTGAAGGCATAATACAAATGAACTCAAAGGCCTGTGGCTAGACAACAGCTTGAGCTATTAACAGCAGCTTAAAAAATCCTTTAATACCGTCACCCTCTGTCTGATGACTTTATTGCTGATGCAACCTTTTAAAGAACATTCTTTTAGATCTGGGGCCAAGGGCCAAGACTCTTGCCATCTCTAGCAGGGAGGCATGGGGAGCTAAAGCTGGGACTCAATGCCTGCAACTCCAGTAGGGGATGCAGGTGTCTCAACTGTTAGACTAAACAGCTACTTCTTATAGTTTAGATACTAAAATACTTTTATATATTAATATCTATAAATATTATATGCAATATATTAACATATACAAAATAATATATATAATTATGTATTAGTAGTATATGTAAACTCAATATATAAAAATAGATGAAGGTACTTCAAAAAGCTCATCAACAATGGAACAAAATGTTTATTTTGGTGCAAAAAAAATCGAAATTCATGTAGCTTTTGCATAACACACAGTTTTCATGAGCTTACTGGAGGATCATTGTACATATAAATTATAGGTGATCATCAGATGCCATATCCCTCCTCCACCCAATCATCAAGACTTAATGTCTCAGGATGAAATGATCCCTTCACCACAAAGTCTGAATTCTGAAGGCTTAAGCAAGTGCTGAAGGTTAGGGCCTGAGCAGTCCTTCTGGAACAATCTGAAGGGTGAGCATAATAACATTCACACATGTGAATATTCATGAGAAGTTCCAAAAAGCAAAATCACAGATTAGATGGCAGGATAATGGTGGGAAATAACTGCGATGACATGAGAAAACTGTGAAAGGTTTTCTAAGAGAGAGGGAGAGGGAGCAGACTTCAAGGCCTTCATTGTAAGACCCGTACCCTACTGAGACAGGGGGCGTTTGGGGATCCGGCCACTGCTCTCTCATTCTGGGTTTGGCTGCCCTGGTTGATGACTCAACAAGAAAAACTGGCTCCTGTCTCTCCTGACTATTGGGAGTCAGGCACAGAGCTCAGCATTTACCATACGTGATCTCCTTTAGCCCCCACAGCAGCCACAGGAGATGGGTACCACTGACCTGAAATTTACCAAAGTTAGCAAAATTGCCAAGGTCACACAGCAAATAAATGACAGAGTCAGAATTAACTCCCTACATCCAAACCATACGATGTGCCCCTTGGGCTGGTCCTTCTCTGCTATTCTATAATCCAGGTTGGTTTTATTTCTTTCTTCTTCTTCTTCTTTTTTTTTTTTTTTAACTTTCTTGAATTAAATCATGAGTCTAAATGGCCATGACCAACAGAAATGGGTTTCTGAACCTGGGTTCGGGTGGTAGAGATGAGGTATATTTCCCAGATCTACGTGTCACCTCCAGTTCACAAATCAGGCAGGAGCTCCTGGTTGACCCTCTCTATCCTTTAGCCATGAGCCTGCCTGGTTAACAGAACACAAAGCCAGAACACGTTAAAGCTGTATTTTTCATTTTCTCTGGAAAGCAGAGTTGCCCTGTGACCACACTCTGGTCAAGGGGACATGCGCAGAGGCATGTTCATGTGTGAAACTTCTAGAATAAGGCCTTAAGAAAGCTCTTGCCCTCCACTTCCCTTCTGTCCCTTCCTGTATGCTGGAATGCAGTTTGGTGGTTGAGGCTGGGGCATCAACCCAGAAACCCAGCAGCTATAACAACAAAACAAGGAATCCGGGACCCACGCTCTGTGACATCCCTTCAGCTCTGCGGCCCAGCCTAACTTGGGAGTTGCTGACCCAGTCGGTTGATCCAAGGCGCACTCACCCAGGGGGTCAGCCTTTCCATCCTTGTCTGGAATGGTGAACACCCCTACGACCCGGTGGCCCTCTCTGCGCAGGTGGCTATAGACTTCCTGTCCGAACAGGCTCTGGCCAATAAGGGCCAACTTCAGCTTGTTTTTCGAATAAATCTGCAAAACAATTTGATAATGATCGATGACAATGCAGATAGGACACGCGGATAACACTTTTTCAGCCATAGAAGATGAGGATTACAAAAGAAGCGAAGATCTCTGCAACAGACTTTGTACTGACATCTGTTGAACCCAGACAACATTACTTACAGATGTCAAAATAATTTCACACCGAAGTATTGCTTCTTTGCCCTTTTGCCTGGTTCCCTTGAATATTCATTTTTATTGTTGAGATGGCATATATTTTTACAAGCCCCCTCCATCAATTCCCCAGTGAAATGAAAAGAGATAGAAATGTTACATATCCCTCTGCCTTTCCCTGCCCCATCTGTAAAACAGGAATAACAATACCAACCTCACATGGTTCTGTTTGATGTAAAGGACTTCATACACAAGAAGTTTAGTGCAGGCTGTGTTACAGAATAAGTAGGCACTTCATATTGTTCTTAGCATCCTGTTACTTGCTGTTATATTCTGGTTCTGTACTTTTTCATGTGGTACAGACTCAGGAATCCTTGGTGAGTGCTCAACAGCCAGCTTGATCCAATGCAATGCTCCTCTTGGTTCTCTCTGGGTTCTACTAAGTTTGGCACAAACTTATTTGAAGTCAAATCTGCCCAGGACTATCCTAATGCTATTGGCAGTGTTTATTTACAGCATTTATAACATGATAGAAGCCTTCATATATTTATTACAGCAAAGTCAATGTGTTGCCTTTCCTGAGCCTCCTGGGAATCCTATAAATGATCTATCTACCTTTCTTACATGTGAAAAACTCTCAAATCTGAACCACGCCAGGCCTCAAAGCTTTCAGACGAGCCATAGAGGCCTGCGTATCCGTTCATTCACTTAATCCTCACATCTATGCTGTTTTGCCATCTGCCACTTGGCACCATTTTATGAATGAAGGAGGCTTAGAAATGTCAAGTACAAGGGCTCCTCAAAAGGGCCATGGAAACGTGAAACTAAAAGCTAAGCTTTTTCCCATGAAAAATACTTTGCTTTCCATGCATATAATGCAGAATCCTCAAAATGTGGAAAGGTCGATTATGAAAAAGCCACACACGGACTTCAAAATCCTTTTACGTCGGAATCAATTTCTCTTTTAATTCCATGAGCTTTGACATTTCCTCATGTATCACTGAGATCACTCTGGTAGAAAGGGGGAAGAACCTGGGATTTGAATCAAACAAGATTTGGCTGAATCCAAAGCCCACCGATTTACTTAAAAATACAAAATTAAAAATATTTACTTAGGGGCCTGGTGGCGTAGCCTAGTGGCTAAAGTCCTCACCTTGAACACCCGGGATCCCATATGGGCACCAGTTCTAATCCCAGCAGCTCCACTTCCCATCCAGCTCCCTGCTTGTGGCCTGGGAAAGCAGCCGAGGGCGGCCCAAAGCTTTGGGACCCTGCACCTGTGTGGGATACCCGGAAGAAGTTCCTGGATCCTGGCTATGGATCGGCATAGCATCAGCCGTTGCGCTCACTTGGGGAGTGAATCATCGGATGGAAGATCTTCCTCTCTGTCTCTCCTCTCTGTATATCTGACTTTCTAATAAATAAATAAATCTTTATAAAAAAATATTTACTTAAAAATAAAACAAACTATTACCACCCATCCCTTGTATTCCTGTCTCTTTTTAAGTATTTTTCCCTTATTTATTTGAAAAGCAGAATGATAAGGAAAGGCAGAGAAAGAAAGTCATTCATTTTCTGGCTCACTACCCCTCCAAATGTCCCCCAAAGAGCCTGAGCTAGGCCCGGCAGAAGGCAGGTGCCTGGCCACTCCATCTGGGTCTCCCACAGAGAGCCAGGGACCCAGGCACGTGAGCTGGGATCTACTTCCCAGATCATTGCAAGGAAACTGAGTTAAAGGTTGGATGTTGGATTTGATCCCAGGCACTCCGATACGAGATGTGGCCCTCCCAGGCTGCAACTTCACTGCTGAACCACAACACTAGCCCTTCATCACTACAACTGATAAGACAAAAATACATTAATTTTTCCAGAAGTAGCACCATATAGCAAAAAGTGGCACTAAAAGAGTTACAGTTCAAAGGAATGTCAGCGATTACAGCTTCTGTGAATTCTCCGAAGGTGAAACTTAGGGTCACACGTCGGCATGGTGATAAGGCGATGTGAAACCAGCAGGTGAACAAAGTTACTGGTAGGGCTGGCAGCTGGAGCGGCCCAGCTACTGTCTGTGTTCCCTCTCTGGGTCCAGCCCAGTTTCCTAGAAGTTCCCATGGACGATGGGACTTGGGTTGGGAACATGTTGTTTTTTCTCTTTCAATCTTAATAGGAATCTCTAACATTCTAGAAAGTCATTCCACATTAGTAAAACTCATTTGTTAAACTCTGATTATGAAAAAAACTTAATTTTCTATTTCCCACTTTATTAAGGGCATGGACAAAAACCTTTGTTCCGACAAGAGCTCAAAAGGATATCCAGTTACATTTTCCCTGTAACTGGGCTGATAATTAATTAAAGCTTTAGTTTAAAAAGAAAAATCCTTCTCCTAGGGTACAGTGGGTTAAGCTGCCACTTGTGTCACAGGCATCTCATGTCAGAGGCCAACTCACATCTCAGGTGCTCCACTTCCCATCCAGCTCCCTGATAAAGTGCCTGGGAGGCAGCCAGAGATAGCCCTGGTACTGGGCCACTGCCATCCACATGGGAGAGCCGAATGTGGGGCCTGGCTTGGCCCATCCTTGGCTACTGTAGCCATTTAGAGAGCCAGCCAGTGGAAGGAAGTGTTTCTCTCTCTCTCTTTCTCTCTCAAATGGAGCCCATTTGAAGCCAGGAGCCCAGAGACCCATGAGTCTCCCACATGGGTGTAGTGTCCCAAGGCCCTGGGCCATCCTCCTCTGCTTTCCCAAGCTACAAGCAGGGAGCTGCACGGGAAGCAGGGCTGCCAGGACCAGGACCGGTGCCCATATGGGATCTCACCATTAGGCTACCATACCTGGCCCTAAAGCACTAGTTTTGAGATGGCATTGTGGTGCAGTGGGCTGAGCTGCTGTAATGCCTGTGCCCCCTGTGAACATGAGATCAAATCCCAGATGCTGCACTTCTGATCCAGCTTCCTGCTAACGTACCTGGGAATGCAGAAGATGACCCAAGTCCTTGGGTCCCTGCCACCCACATGGGAGATCCAGATGGAGTTCCAGGATCCTGGCTTTGGCCTAACCCAGTGCCAGCTGTTGCAGCCACTGTGGGGAGAGGGATGTATAACAGATCCTCCCTTTCTCTGTCCCTCTGTCTATGTGTAACCAACCCAGGTTTTCAAATAGATAAATAAATAAATATTTTTAAAAATAGACATACCATAAGGGACCAACTGATTCCAATGTAATGGGCTACTCGGCTACTATCTGGTTGTATTTAGAGTTCAGTCCCACAGTCGATGTCATCTGAGACAGGTGGCATTTCAAGATACCCTGCTGGGATTCTGCAGCTATTACATTCACTGAGGCACTTTCTGGGCTGAATGCTAAAGCTGAAGCCATAAAGGGTGAGCTGCTAACGCTTCGAAATGTTTGGATTATATGGCCTAAAGTGTGACTATGATGACTTAGCAGGATTCCAGAAAACTCTACTGGGATATTTTATCTTGGTCTGATTTCTCCAAGTGTGTTTTGAGGATGCCCATGTTGGGAGGACATATTTAAAAGGTAGGTTCCCCAACACTACACCAGATCTGAGTCTGAATCCCAGGCTGCCTAGCTCGCCAAAGTCCAGGGAGGGGCATCCTCCCTGGGGATCAGGCCTGGAGGAATTGGGACAGCAGGAAGGGGTGAAACCCTGCCAAGGCTTTAAGGTGGGCCTAGAGTGTAGACCTCCTCCTGGGATTGCCCCAGGACTGTCACACACAGAATTGAAAGCACCAAGGTGCTGAGACATGGCCTGCAGTCCAATTGCTGCTAAAAGGCAGGGCGGAGAGTCTACCTCCCAGGACCCCAGAAGGGCCATCTTGAGCTGGCCTCATTTCCCCAGTAAAATCCTAATGACAATAGTCCCAATCTCATCAGGTAGGTATAAGGTTTCGGTAAGATAGAGGTCCTCCGGTTCTTACTACCTACATTGAGGACCTGCCTGGAGTTACTGTCTTCAGGTCATTTGCGGGGACTGACCCAACTGATAGAAAATTTCTCTATGTCTCTCTACCTTTCAAATAAAATAAAAGTCATATATCTGTAAATAAAAATGATCTTGTTAGCAACATTTCCTAACTTTTCTTGTTGGCACATTCTTATTCTTTTTTTAAAAAAAGATCTTTTTTTATTTGAAAGTCTGAGTTACAGAAAAAGAAACATACAAAGAAAGAGAGACAGAGACACAGAGAGAGATTCTACCCTTGTTCCTCTTCTCAAATGGCTGCCATGGCCAGACCAAGCCAAAGCCAGGAGCCTGGAACTCCATCCAGGTCTCCCACATGGATAGAAAGGACCTCAGCACTCGGGCTGTTAGCCACACTTCTCAGGCGTGTTAGCAGGAAGCTGGATTGGAAGTGGAAGAGCTGTGATTCCAACCAGTGTTTATGTGGAATGTCAGTGCCGTGGGCTGTGGCTTAGCCTGCCACCATGCTGCCCCATTTTTGCTCTTTAAACTTGCTTCCAGTATTGCCACAGTGTAGCTCTGTCTCAGTTTATTTGTTCCTGTCCCTTGGAGGGCTACTTTGTCATGGACTGTGTTATTGCTACAAGTAATATGGCAACGGATCTTCCTGGGTGGGCTTCCTGTGCCCACGTGGAAATGTTTTTCTCAGACATGTAGATGTGAAGCTGCAAGATCATTTTCAAGCTTAAAATTGAATGGATAGCGTCAGATTCCCTTCCAGAGTATTCGAGGAACTGTTTTAGCACTCTGCCCACACACAATATTGTGAAACTCTACTTTTGCCAATTTGATAAGTTAAATTGATATCATGCTCTAATTTACATTTCTTGCCTGAGTGTCTTTTCATATTTTATTGTCCATTTAGGTATTCCTTCTGGTATATTCTGTTACTCAATGTATTTATTATCATCATGCTTTACTTAAAAATACATGTACGCTTAGTAATATTTCTTACTAACCCATGAGCTCATGGAGAGCAGGAACCTGTTCTTTCCTGCTGTTTCACCCTTTTCTGCCAATGAGACTGAGAAAGTTACTTAACTTTTCTGGGTCTTACTTTCCTTATCTGTAAAATGGGTGTGATAATAGTCGTTACATTGAGATGTGCTAAGAGTGAGAGGGCTGGATACATTATCACATAGGATGTGCTATGTCCACTTGCTCTACTATGAAGCTCTTGCTAGAGCCAAGCATGTACCAACACCAGCCCACAAAACAACACTAAGAGCTCAGAAAATCTCTTTTCTTTATATGATACCCCAACTCAGTAAACGGAGTAAGACAAAGATATAATTGATATATAGTTAAAAAAAAAAAACCATCCTTTTCCAATGTGTTCTATGAGTTTGGGCGAGTTTCATAATCACCATCACAACCAAGCTACAGAAATGTCCCATCACTTGCCTAAATTCTTACACTGTTTATAATCAGTCCTCATTCTCCTAGCTCCTAAAAATCACAATTTTTTTTTCTGTGTAATTAACCAATTTAAAAGGCAACAAGCAGAGCCTGGTGCAATAGCCTAGCAGCCAAAGTCCTCACCTTGCATACACCGAGATCCCATATGGGCGCCAGTTCGTGTCCCACTTCCCATCCAGCTCCCTGCTTGTGGCCTGGGAAAGCAGTGGAGGTTGGCCCAAAGCCTTGGGACCCTGCACGAATGTGGGAGACCTGGCAGAAGCTCCTGGTTTGGGACCGGCAGAGCTCCAACCATTGTGACCACTTGCAGAGTGAACCATTGGACAGAAGATCTTCCTTTCTCTCTCTCCTCCTTTCTATATATCTGACTTTTCAAAAAAAAAATAAACAAATCTTTGAAAAAACAAATAAAAGGCAACAAGCAAAGAGAGGGACACACACACACACACACACACACACACACACACACGTGCGCATCTCCAATGGAGACGCAGGGAAAGCGTCTCCATTCCCCGGCTCACTCCCCAGATGCCTGGATTAGGCTGAACCTGGGAGTCATGAACTCTGCATGGGAGCAGAAACTGAGGTATGCGGACTGTCCTGTGCAGTAGCAGGAAGCTAGAGTGGAAAAGAGGCAGGACTCGTTTCTGGGCAGTCTGCTATCGAATGCGGACACGGCACACAGCAGCTTAGCCTTCTCCATTGATCTTTCTTTTTCTGCACCTATAGTTTTACCCTTTCCAAAATGTCAGATAAATGAAATAACAAAATATGAATCCTTTGCCGTCTGATTCTTTGCACTTAACTTATGTATTTGTGCTTCGATCATGTTGAGCATATTAGTAATTTAGTCATGCTTTTCCCCCCAAGTAGAATTTTATCACGTTGATGGGAATAGCACCATCTCTTCACTCCGTCACTAGCCAAGGCCATAAGTTCTTTCTAGTTATGCACACATGCAAAAGTAAGGCTTCTGCAAACATTGAACAACTGGTTTTTGTGTGAACATGAACATAAGGTCTCTTTTTTTTTAGATAAACATCCAGGAATGTGACTTCTGGGTCATATTGACAGCTCCACATTTAGCTTTGTAAGAAACTGCCAATTTTCCAAGGTGGCTGCACAATTTCATATTCCCACCAGGCATGTATCCACATGATTTTGAGTAATTCTTTCTAGAAAAGATTTGTTTTGAAAGAGTTACAGAGAGACAAACAGACACACACAGAGACACACACACACCCAAAGAGAGATTTTTTTTTTTTTTGGTCCACCCTCCCAGCTGGCCACAACAGCCAGGGCTAGGCCAAGCCAGGTCTCGGATCAGGAGCTTCATCCGGGTCTCCCAAGCAGGTGCAGGGGTCCAAGCACTTCGGTCATCCTCCGCAGCTTTCTCAGGCACATCAGCAGAGAGCTGGACTGGAAGTGAAGCAGCCAGCACTCAAACCGGCAACCAACCACCTGGGATGCCCATAATACAGACCCCTAAAAGATTTATGTATTTATTTTAAAGTCAGAGTTACAGAAAGAGATTTTCCATGCGCTGATTCACATCCCAGACGGCCCCAAAGTCAGGGCTTTGCCAGGCCAATGCCAGGAGCTTCTCTTGGGTCTCCCACATGGGTAGCAGAGCACCGAGTACTTGGGCTGTCTTCCGTTGCTTTCCCAGGTGCATTAGCACAGAGCTGGGTCAGACATGGAAAAGCCCAGAGACAAACTGTCAGCCATATGGCACGCTGGCATTGCAGGCAGCAGCTTCACGTGCTTTGCCACAGTAATACAGAATACAATGTAAAAAACAAACAAACAAAAAGAACAGGTCCTCACTTTCTATGGAGTAAAACACTCCAACTTCTTCCCTTATCACGCCGTGCCCCCTCCCTGACTACAGAGACTCTCCCCAGCTGCAGCTGTACGCTGTTCCCCCTGTACACGACCGTGCCAAGAGCTTCCCCAGCCACGCTGCTGTGTAAGTCATTTGTCACCTGGGCTGTCTGTCTCGCACTGGTAAAAAAAAAAAACCCCAAAACTAAAACAAACAAACAAAAACAAAAACCTAAGACAACCCCTCTACGGAGATCTTTTCATTCTGTAAAACTCATATCTGCTCTCCAAAACCGACAAGTCAGTGACAGGGGCTGACAGAGAAGGGGGACAAAACAGCCGGTGCCCTCTGTACCCTGTGCCCACAATCCCCTCCCGGCCCGCGTGTGTGTGGATAGGGGTGGGGGGCAGCTAATGAGGCCAGAGCAGAGCAGGCAGAAGCATCAGCAGAGCAAATGGTCCCCACTCTCAAAGTAGCAAGAGATGATCTCAACATCTGGGTTTGTCTAGGAGACGGAAGGTTTCCTATTTATGCAGGTTGGGGGTCAGTGCGTGGTGCTTCTGTCCGCCCCCAGGGATTTTACATCTGGACACAAAATGTGCAGATGTACAGAGATCAGGAATGCGAAGGCAACTCCGTGATCCAGCAAGCGGGCACTTCTCCGAGTAAGAGCGAGCATGTGTCTGGCACGGAGTTTTGTGTGTGTGTGCTTCCCTACACAACTTGGAGTGGTCCTGGACACCCTGGCATCTCCTCCCGAGGCCCCCTAGCGCCCAAGGCAGTGCCGCCTGCAACGTGTCGGCCCTCTTTCCATTTCAGGAGCAGATGATGCAATTCCGAGCGGTGGGACTGGGCCCAGGCTGGGCTCCGGCGCTGCAGGGAGTAGACACTGTTCCAGCGTGGCCGCCCAGGCAGGGCCGGACAGTCCCGCAGCCACGGACGCTCAGCCCCGAGTGCCCTGACCTCACCGGGCCCTGCACGCCAGTCCCGGGCGCTCACACCTCCCCGCCACCCAGGAGGACCTGGCGGCCTCGCCCCTCGGCCAAGGCGGCTGCATCCCAGAGCCTGTCACAGCTGGAAGGAAGCCGACTCCGAGCAGCTGTGCCTACCCAGCGACCCCCAGCAACACCTGACGCGCTCAACAAACGCGTCTGCAAGACAATGGCTTGCGGGACAGCTGCGCTCCAGGACCTTCTGTGAAGTCTCCCACTTCGAAAACCGCTGCTTTGGCTTTTAGCTGGAGTCAGAATATCCCCCTCCCCCTTACCCTGCTGTCCCCGGGTCTGCAAATCCCGAGACAAGCCGGGACGTGAGGCCGGCCGTGACTCACCGGGCTCGTGGAGAAGCGCCGGAGCGCCTGGCCGCCTCCACGCAGCATGCCGGACAGCAGCGCGCTGCACAGACGGTGGGCCGGGGACTGAGCCTGGGACGCGGCCTGCAGCAGCCCTAGTGCCCAGGGCAGCTGGGCTCCGCAGCTCTTGGTCTCCGGGAGTCAGGGGCGGGCTTAGGTCCCGCCCTCGCGGACAGAGCCACGCCCCCAGTGGACAGAGCCCCGCCCCTCCTGGGACAGAGCCACGCTCCCCGCAGACAGAGCCCCGCCCCTCCGTGGACAGAGCCCCGCCTCTCCTGGGACAGAGCCACGCTCCCCGCAGACAGAGCCCCGCCCCTCCGTAGACAGAGCCCACCCCTCGAGGACATAGCCACGCCCCTTGGACAGAGCCCTGCCCCTCCCCTGCCTGATTGGATCTGCTTTACTAGGGGTCAGTCTGACACCCCGTCACGTCCAGAACACAGCCTGGAGAAAGCCACCCGCATGCCTGTCAAGTAAAGGGTGGCGCCCGTGGGAAAGCGGCTGGCAAGGGGCCCGGTCCAGAGCTGGTCCCCTTTGGATAACAGGTGCGCGCTGTGGGAACGGAGGACGTGCTGCCTCTGGGCACCCGTCGCTAACCGTGCTCCCTGCTGCGGCATTCAGCCCTCTGTAGACTGGCTTGTACTCCGATTTCCCGCTGTCCATTTGCACAGGTAATTTAGCTGACCGCAGTACTTGCTGGTTCCTTCCCAGACAATGTTCCCCAGAAAAGTGTGTCACCTGTCACCTGTCACTCTCCCACCAGCTCGGATGTTGCCTCCTGGAGCTATTTGCTTTCCTTCACTTTCCTTTCGTTCCCGACTGAACCTCTTCATTTCTCCCCACGTGACAGCGTGTTCCTCTAACCTGGGAGGATTTTCGTCTCCATTTGTTATTGCATCTGTGCACCTGCTGGCTTCCCTGTTGGACGCTCTTTGAAGGCCAAGTCCACGTCTCATATTTTAGGATTTACAGTCTCTGGAAGTTAGCAGCGCTTTAAAAACACTTACAGAAAGAAAACATACAAGGAGCAATGTGTTGAAGATGAGGAATGTAATCACAGGATGTGGGTTCTCTGATCACAGTGGGATTAGCCCAGAAATCCATGTCACCCTCAATCCCCAAAATTGATGCCTAGGTTTCTGCACTTCTGATCCAGCTCCCTGCTAGTGACCTGAGGGTGTGAGCTCTCGCACCCATGTGGCACACCCGTATGGAGCTCCTGGCTCCTGCCTTCAGCCTGATAGTGCTTTGGGGAGTGAACCAACAGATGGAAGATCTTTTTCTCCCCAACCCTTCCTCGATAGTTCTGAGTTTCAAATAAATAAATAAATAAATATATTTTTAAATTTCCGCTACCTGAGGTGGAGCAAATTCACCCATCTCATCCACCATGGTTCTGCTTTTCAAGGGCTCTTGACTGTTTCATCAATAAGCCCTCTGTAGGTACTTGGAGGCTGGCCAGGGACTTGGACAGACGGTTCAGTCACATTTGGGGATCGCGGGGATCTCACCATTCTGTGGATCTGTGGCTTCATGATACCAAACCGCTGCCATCATGAGCCAGTAGTGACCTGCAGTGTATCACAGCCAGGCCTGAAGGGTGCAGGACAGCTGCTGGCCAGACGCCAGTCACAAGGGTCATCAGTTGCTGATAAAGATCTCCATGCTGTCTGCCTGCCTGTATGCTCCTTCAGACCATCACAAAGTGGGTTCTGGTCGCATTCTGTTGCCTTTTCTTGGTTACTAGCTGGAAGAGGATCCTGTTGATTATTTTGACAAAAACCATTTTCTGACAAACTCATGCTTTAAAAAAAAAGGATTTATTTATTTTTGGTGGAAAGTCAGATATACAGAGAGGAGGACAGACAAAGATCTTCCATCTGACGATTCACTCCCCAAGTGACCACAACGGCCGGTGCTGCACCAATCTGAAGCCAGGAGCCAGGAACTTCCTCCAGGTCTCCCACGCAGGTGCAGGAACCCAAAGCTTTGGGCCGTCCTCGACTGGGCCCACAAGCAGGCCACAAGCAGGGAGCTGAATGGGAAGTGGGGCTGCTGGGATTAGAACTGGTGGCCATATGGAATCCCGGTGCATTCAAGGTGAGAAGGTTAGCCGCCAGGCCCCAAACTCATGCTTTCTATCAAGTCATTTCAAGTTGCTTTTTGCTTTTAAAATTAAACCATACCAACTCATTTACTATAACATATACAAAAATATCTTTTGGGCCTGGCACGAAGGCTCAAGGGCTAAATGCTTACTTTGCAAGCACTGGGATCCCATATGAGATCCAGCCAGCTCCCTGTTTGTGTCCTGGGAAGGCAGTGGAGGACGGCCCAAAGCCTTGGGACCCTGCACTTGCATGGGAGACCAGGAAGAAGCTCCCAGCCCCTGGCTTCAAACCTACCCAGTTCCAGCCATTGTGATGAGTTGGGAAGTAAACCAGCAGATGGAAGATCTTTCTGTCTTTCCTTCTCTCTGTAAACATGATCTGCCTTTCCAATAAAAATAAATACATGTTTAAAAAAAGAAAAACACTTTTTAAAACTATTTATTTACTTATTTTAGAGGCCGACTGAAACAGCAGGGGAGTGTGAGCGGTGGCAGGAGGAATGAGAAGAGAGAGAGAATCTTTCATCCACTGGTTCACTCTTCACATGGCCTTCTAGGGCCGGGGCAGGCTGCAGCCCAGACCATGCTCTTCTATCCAGACCTCCCACGTGGACAGGGGCTCAAGCCCTGCTCTCCCGGGCGCCAAGGCAGGGAGCTGCCAGGGCGTGGAGCAGCAGGTGCGCCAAGCGGCACGGAGACCTGGGATGTGGTGACAGCTCAAAGAATGAACTGCACCACAACACCAGCCCCAGTTTCTCCCTCTCTGGCTCTCTCTCTCTCACTTTACTCTTTTGAAGTGAATACAGGATTAATTTTCTTTTCTTGAGGGGTCAGAGAATCAATATGTCAGGCTTGTGGGCTACCTGATGACAATTTGTAACTACTCAGCTCTGGCATTCCAGTATGAAGAGGCCATAGTAGGAGACTGAATGGGCACAGCTGGGTGGCCATATACCGTAATCACACAAGTAAAGTAGCACTTTTATGTATAAGATCTGCTGTCTGCACTTTGCTCATCCTAAGTTAAAATACTCTAGAGTTTTCTCTTACTAGACAATTTGGGCTCCTTGAGTCCAATTTGGACTTGAGTCATTGTGATACAACTGAGTAAATACTGGTTGAAGGAACAGTTAAAGAGGGATTTAAATAAATGGCATGTCTTACTTGCACAGGTCCTTTAACAAACAGTGCCATCTACTGAGGAACTGTGAAGAACCGCTTCTGCAAAAAAACGAGTCTTCATTACAGACCAAGACAAAAGGTGACAATTTGTAATTTACTCATTCAACAAATACATGCATTCTCTATGGACCAAGCGTTGTATTTGGAACGGAACTGAACCAAAGACATGATTTGAATGTTTCTGGAGCTTCTAGCCAATAGAAAATGTTACTGTAAGAACAACTGTAAGCCACTGGGGTGGAATTTCCTGCAAGCCATCATTAATGTGCATACACTCCTCATTGCTTCCTTAATGGACATTTTCCCAAAGGTTGTTCTGCACAATGTCATGTGAATACTGTTGTGTAAATATCTTTTTCAGATCCTGCTTTCTACTCTTTTAGCTATATAGCTTGAAGAAGGCTTGCTGGATCAAACAGCAATTCTATTGCTAGTTTTTTTTTTTTTCTTTAAAAGATTCATTTTTACTTGAAAATCAGAGTCAAGGAGAGACAGAGAGAGTGAGAGAAAGAGAGAGGTCTTCTATCTGTTGCTTCACTGTCCCCTCCACTCACTTCCACCTCCTCCAACCCCGTCAAATGGCAGCAATGGCCAGAGCTGGATCAGTCTGAAGCCGGGAGCCTGGAGCTTCTATTGATTTTCCCGTGTGGGCGCAGGGATCCAAGGCCTTGGGCCATCTTCACTGTTTTCCCAGCCACTAGCAGGGAGCTGGATCACAAGTGGAACAACCAGTGTCCACATGGCATGCTGCCACTGCGAGCAGATGAGCAGTCTATTGTCCATTTTTATCTTTTAAAGTTGAGAAAAGGGGGCCCGGCATGATAGCATAGCGGTTAAATTCCTCTCCCTGAGCATGCCAGGATCCCATATAGGCACTGGTTCAAATCCTGGCGGCTCCACTTCCTATCCAGCTCCCTGCTTGTGGCCTGGGAAAGCAGTCCAGGACTGCCCAAAGCTTTGGGCCCCTGCACCTGCGTGGGAGACCTGGAGGAAGTTCCTGGTTCCTGGCTTTGGCTTGGCTCAGCAGCAGCCATTGTTGCCACTTGGGGAGTGAACCACCGGATAGAAGATCTTTTTCTCTGTCTGTCCTCCTCTCTGTATATCTGACTTTGAAATAAAAATAAATAAATCTTTTTAAAAAAATTGAAAAAATGGCCTAGTAATTTAAGTTCTTGCCTTGCATGCACCAGGAACCCGCATGGGACCGGTTCATATCCCAGCTGTTCCACTTCCCATTCAACTCCTTGCTTATGTCATGGGAAAACAGCAGAGAATGGTCCAAAGCCTTGGGATCTTGTATCTGCAGGGGGGACCCGTGAGCATCTCGTGGCTCCTGGGTTTGGATTGGCTCAGCTCTGGCTGTTGCAGCCACTTGGGGAGTGAGTCAGCAGATGGAAGATTTTTCTCTTTCTCTCTCTCCCCCTTTCTCTGTAAATCTGCCTTTGCAATAAAAAAAAAAAAATCTTAAAATTTTTTTTAAGCTTATTTATTTGAAAGAGAGACAGATTTCCCATCTGTTTGTTCACTCCTTAGATGACCACATCAGCTGGGGGACCAGGAGGAGGTTCAAGTCAGGAGCCAGAAGTTTCATCCATGTCTCCCAAGAGCTTGAAGGGTTCAAAGCACCTGAGCCATGTTCTGCTGCTTTCTCCAAGCCCTTAGCAGGGAGCTGCATTGGAAGTGGAGCAGCTAGGATTTGAACCAGCATCCATATGGGATGCTAGCATTGAAAGCAGTAACTTTACCAGATATATCACAGTGTCGGCCCCAACATTTTAAAATTGAGTTACTAATTTTCTTATTGTTTATTTGTAGGGGGTCTTTATTTTTTAATAATGAATTCATTTTATTTTTATGATGTTTATATAATTGAGAAGGATGCATGCCCACGTGCACCACTGATTTAGTGAGAGGAACTGGGGAAAGTGGATGAAACAATTGCTTCCAATATTTTTCTTCCGGTATCTGGGGGCAGAGGAGTTCTTATAATTTGGACATTAACATTTTAACAGACATGAATTCTAATTTTTTTTTTCTGGTTGTTTTTCGAGATGTGCAAGAGTCTTACACTTGGCTGGTATCCAATTTTCCCATTTTTATGGAAAACTCTTTTGAAAGCATTGCAGACCCAGCCCATGAGAATTTGAGGAACTTAAATCCAGGGGGAGAAGGTTGGAGGGAGGTACCTGGCATTTGACATCACATGTCACCCCAAAAGCATGTGCTGATCGGTAATTGGCAGCTGGGGGTGTAAGAGGCTGAGCGGCCATAAGCAGTGGGTGGGAGGTGAAGATGCCAAAGCTGAAATCTGGCAGGCCCCATCACACACCTCCACCATGCTGTCCCCCGGGATTAAGGTGATAAAGAAGAGATCAGCTCTCACTAAAACCCGGCTTTGAATCAGACCATCCTAGACTGACTTAAAGGAACCTGCCCCTAATCTCTTGGCCTCCCATGAGAAACACAAAGTTTTTTAAAAAAAAAAATGGCTATGCCAGGAAATAAGATGAAACATTGGCAAACCGAGAGGAAGAGAAACATCAGAAACAGGAAAGAGACGCACAGGAAATGCAGACGTCTGAATTACTAGAAACGACTTCAGCATTTTGACTTCCTACATTGATAGCTGTTATTTTTAAATGAGGCTGCAAGAATCATTAGGTCAGCCAAGTCTGGAACCTTTTAAAAAAAGGCTTAGCAATGTGGTGACATTCTTATCTTCACAGTGGTTGGTAATGCTGTAGCTTCCAATGCCTTAACTGCTTTCTTGCTTGCTTTACGTATACTCTGGGTTTTGCAGTGTGAGAATGAGTGGTGGTCCCTAAGGTCAGTAAGCAAGTATGTGAGGTCAAATGTAAGCATGTGTGTCCCAAGTGTCCAAGCCCTCATCTTTAGAACCCATGAATATCTCACCTTTACCTGTTTAAGAGCCAGTGAATGTGCTATTTTTACATGTTCAGAGAACTTAGCAGGTATGTCCATAGTAAGATGGTGTGACCCGGAGCTGATCTCAGGCAAGCCAGGTGGGTTGGATGTAACCACAGGAGTGCTTTAAAGAGGAAGGCGAGAGGGTCAGTCAATAGCGGGTACAATAAAATGAGACCTGACTAATGCATAAAAAGTAAACAAAAGGCAAGGGAATGGATTCTCCCCAAGAAAGCCCCGGAGGAAGTAACCCAGCTGTCCCTGGGACTCCGACCCCGCAGGGAGCCTCACTCCGGACTTGTGACCTCCGAACTGAGACAGTTTCAAGCTGTTTCAAACTACTGAAGTGGTGACAATTTGTTAGAGTAGCAACGGAAACGATCACACAGCCACAAAGGGAAGTGCATCAACAGATACATCTTAAGTGGTGGGGATGGTGGGTATTGTGGCATAGTGGGTAAAGCTACCACTTGCAGTGCCAGTGTCCCAAATGGGTGCCAGTTCATGTCCCAGGTATGCTCCAATTCTGATCCAGCTCCATGCTAATGGCAGCAGAGGATGGTTCAAGCGTTTGGGTCCCTGCACCCACATGAGGAGACCCGAATAAAGCTCCTGGCTTTAGCTTGGTGCATTCTTAGCTATCGTGGCCATCTGGAAAGTAAACAAGTGAGGTGAGGTTGTCTGTCTCTCCTTCTCTCCCTTTGTCTAGGCCTCTCCCTTTTTCTCTGTAATTGACTTTCAAAATAAATATTAAAAGACAAGATCTGAAGTGGAAAATAGTGTGGAAGTGCAGGGCTGTGATAAACAGTCCAATCAGATAGGGACCCTGGAGGCAGGGAGCATCCACCGATACAGGGATCCAGCTGATGGAAGCCTTGCAGGCAGGCAGCTTCTGGGGCAGCTGTTCTAAAGTTCCTACGGGCGCTCAAAAGAGCACAATGTCATCCGTATGAAATGCTCCTCTTCTTTCTCCAAGATTGCTGTTCAGCAAGTACTGTGTGACTTAGGAGCAGCACACACTCAGATCTTCCCAGCAGCTAACTGCTCTCTCTAGACCAGGTCTAAGAAACATACCTGTTACCACAAATACTTGCCAGTTATTGGGTGTGCTTTTCTTTTCTTTTTTTATCTCATATCTCACTTGTAATTTTCTAACAAAGTTTAGAATTCTATCATCCGGCACAGTGGCCTAGCAGCTGAAGTCCTCGCCTTGAATATGCCAGGATCCCATATGGGTGCTGGTTCTAATCCTGGCAACTCCACTTCCCATCCAGCTCCCTGCTTGTGGCCTGGGAAAGCAGTCGGGGATGGCCCAAATTGTGCCCTTATGGGATCGTGGTGTGCGTGAGGCGAGGGGTTTAGCCACGAGGCTACCGCCCAGGCTCAGTGAATTCCTTTCGATAGTAGAGGATGGCAAGGCACCTTGGGTTAAGAGAGCCAGCCCAGGGGCTGAGGGCTGAGTTTACACGAGGGGCTGGCTTTGAGTTTCAGGAGGATGCTCTTCAAGATGCCATCTGCTCAGGACTTGACAAAATACAAGACTTAAAGTCTTCATCAGGTTTCACCTCAGCCTCCACCCAGATCCCCACTTTCTGCTCAGCAACACAAACGTTTTCTGGGGTAACCACTGTCCTGTTTGGGGTGATCTGAATTTTTGTATTACTACACACATATGCATTCCTACAGCTTCAAGGAACAAATGTAGCCACCAATATACTTCTGTCTACAACTGTTTCCGGTTGGTCCTCGCCCTTCTATGAATACTCAAGCCGTTCGTACTGCACCTGTACCAAGTTTTAGGACCTTATTCCCTTTGGATAAACACCTTGCGTTTTGTTATTTAAAATCCCACTGCAACGAACCTTCCTGGGTTCTCCGAGTCTGTGTCCGTGCAGTTTGGGGTAAGGCCTGTGGGAAGACAGCGCACGGGCGAACGCACTGGGACCGCACCTTTTCAGGTCTGTGAAAGACCAGCAGGTGAGCGCCAGGTAGGCGCACGAGTTAAGCTCCCGCGTCGGGGTGTTCCTTAGGTAGCTCCTCCCCTCGCACCGTGCCAGCGCGGCGTCCGGAGCGCTGGCCGCGGCCATGGTGCTGGCCACGGGGACCTCGCCGTCCTGCAGCGCTGTCCTCCCACCCCACGAACTGTGCCCTACGTGGGGGTGACCGAGGGAACATCGCCTCCACGCAGCAGACCGACCCTGAGGGCGCCGCCGCGACGCCCGAGTGCGGGCGGAAGACCAAGCCGCAGATGGCCACCAGCCCGGTCGCGTCCGGCATCCGCCGAGGACTCGCTTTCCCAGCGGCCCCTGCGGCCGAAGGGGCGACGAGCGCGGCCGGCCCGAGCGCGCGGGGGCGGGGCCAGGCGCGGGGCCGGAAGTCACGTGCGGTGACAGGCGCCGGGGTGAGGCCGCCGCCGCTGTGGGGGCAGTCGGGGCCGCGTCTGTGGGAGGCTCCGGGGTGATGGCGGTGGAGACGCTGTCCCCAGACTGGGAGTTTGATCGCGTGGACGACGGCTCGCAGAGTAAGGGAGCGTCGGGCCTCCTGCGGGAGGGCTCGGCGCGTCGGGACACTTGCTGTCCCTGGGGATGGGAGCGGGACGCCCCCTCCAGCGTCGCTTTCGGGGGTGTGTGTGTGTATTTTGGGGCAGGGTCCCCGTTAATGGCTTGGCCTCTCCGGGGGGACCCCAGGAGCGGCGTCCGCTCTGTGCTGCCCGGAGCCGGGGCCGGCCCCTCGGGGGTTCTCGGCTCGGAGCCTTTGGGTCTAGAGGAGGCTGGGTTCCTGTTTCGGTTTCCTGTTTTTCTTCCTTTCCTCCCAAACCAACTTTGAGAATCTGGGGTGTTTTTCCTCCTCACGTACCGCTGAGAAGAGCCCTTCACCCGAATACCACTTTGATCTTCTCTCCGGCTTTTTATTTATGCTCCGTAGTGTATTTGCGATGATGTCCTAGATGTTGCCTTCGGAACTACAAAGGTTTCAAGTGTTACAGAAAATCTGCCACGAATTTTGCTTCAGAGAGCCGACTTGTCTAATCTTAACATAAAAGTGCAACCAGAGACATTTAGCAAATTTTCTTTCAGCTCAGTGTAGACGTATTTTAGTGAAACTCGAACTGAGATTAATACGATCGGCAACCTGTTTCTCGTCATACTATTTGTCTTACTGTTAGGAAACGGGGGCATTTTGCTTGTGAATTTTCTTAATGCATCGTTGTCCTCACAAGGTGGAATGTTCATTAAAATTTGGGATGAAGGCCTGTGATGGTTAAAGCCGCCGCTTGGAATGCTGCTATGGGTGCTGGTTCAAGGCCCGGCTGCTCCACTTCAATCCCACTCCCCTACTAATGATCTGGGAAAGCAGCAGAGGATGGCTCAAATTCTTGGGCCTCTGCACCCACGTGCGAGCCCCAGTAGAAGATTCTGGCTTCAGGTTGGCTCGACCCTGGCAATACAGGCCGTTTGTGGACTATACCAGCAGTTGGAAGACCTGTCTCCGTCTTTCTCTCTGCCTTTAAAATAAATAAAAATAAGTCTTAAAATGTCGGTAGGCAAATTGGTTTTATTAGGTCAGGGTAAACTGCATCCAGGATCACTTACAATTTTTCATAAAACGTTCCGTAAGATCGTAACTCTTGAGGCATAACAAACATGTTGTAGGTGATAAAAATCTTTTGTAGAAAGGATTCTGTATTAACTGTTACAAAGGAGACTGCACCTTGAGATGGGTGAAGTTGTATGGACTCAGGTCCTTCATTCAAATCCCTGTGAAACACTGTAACAGGGGCTTGTTAATTGGACTTGAAATTGGAGGGACTTCAGAATAGAAAGATCTGATTTGCTCGGCGGGCCTTTTCTGCAGTGCTAGGGTGTCGGGACACAGATAAACCAGGCGTGCAGTGTGCTGGGAGAGGTGGGCTTGCTAAAATAGGGGTGTTCTGGGAATCTGACTTCTGAATCAGCCTGTAGTTCTTACTTCAAGTTTATTTTACCTTTTGTCAATTTCACAGCTACTCCCAGCAAGGACCTTTAAAGTTATTACAGGTTGTTGTTGCTGCATTGAGAATTCCCCTAACAACTCTGGAAGGGTGGCTTATGGGCCTTTGTTCCTGAGTTTAAGCTCCTGAGTACAGCTTTGGTTGACCATTTCCCTAGGGCTGTAAGAATCTGCACTGTTGAGATGGTCACAGGAAGAAACAGACCATTCTCTGTACCTGCTCTCCATTAGCGTTTGCACTGTGAATCCCACCTGGAGGCTGTTTTCCCAACTGGCAAGTCTAGTAGTAGAATGAGAGGGAACCTTTGGGAGCTGAATTGATCCTCCTGATTCAGAACTGTTTGCAAAATGAGGCAGAGTAAAGGACAGAGTCTCTGCGCTTTCTGCAGTCTGAGGCAAAGCACGCTTGTTATCGTTGCTTTGTACTCATTTGAAGAGAAACTTTCTTTTTTCTTAGAAGGTGAAAAGTGAATAAAGTTAGTTATATCTGTACAGAAATTGGTAGGAGGTGAATTTGTTGCCTTTGAGAATAAGTAGTGAATTCTTAAGTATAAAGTGAAATATTTTCATTAGTTTAGTTGAGCAGTCATTTTTAAATCCAGGATTTTTTTCCCCCAGTGACTCCTTAAATTCCTGTGTATATTTTGTTAGTATTAGAGCAGTATTCCGTACTCAGCTGGTGTTTACCCTGGACCTTTTGGCCTGATTATCATCATTTAATGATTGAAATAGCTTGGTAAATTTTAGGAATTGTGGGAGTAATTATCAGATCTGAAACTTGCATTTTAATAAAAGTCAGGTGTATTTTTAAAAGGTTTACTGTGTGTAAAATATTGCTTCTGTGACAATACATTGTTACATCTGCATGATTTATTTTTGCGACAAAGTTGTTTAGAACCAGAACATAGTGGTTGATTAGTCTAAGGCATCACCCAGTCTGTGTAAATGCGTTACTGCTTTTACAAGTATCTTAGGTATTTGGAGAAGATTGAAGGCTGAGCGGTGTAACTTTGAACTTTTTCTCATAAGTTCAGACCTTCCAAAGTAATAATTAACAATGCCTGATTGTGACTTTTGAGGATATTTTATGTTCTGTAATTCATTACTTGTACTTACCACATACTTTTTTTTTTAACTTTTAAACTTAGAAATTCATGCTGAAGTCCAGCTTAAAAATTATGGGAAATTTCTTGAGGAGTATACGTCTCAACTGAGAAGAATTGAGGACGCGCTTGACGATTCCATTGGCGACGTCTGGGATTTCAATCTTGATCCCATAGCATTAAAGGTTTGATTGTTTTTTTTTTTGGTATGTGTGTATTTTCAGGACATACTAGGTCTTCAAAAGCAATGAAAAGAAACTTGAAGAAGATTGTTAATTTCCATTTCTTTAAGCCATTTAGGTATCTTAATTTCCCTTTTTTTAAGGAACAATGCAAACTCAAAGCCTTTATTGTCAGAGAATGGCACAAAGTCCACCTTTTCAAGCTAGCCTTTGATTTTTATTGTCAAGAAAATGAAGACACCAGGATAGGATATTCAGGCTTTTATTATTGAAGTTATTTTACTACATTGAAATGCACATCTTTAAACCGTATTGGTTAATGCATTTTGCTGGATTTACATGCATAATCATGTAATTTATATCCCAATTAAGATAAGGAATATTCTAATCATTTCCAGAAAGTTCTGTTTGGCTATATAGGGGAACTTGATATATGGATAATTTTTGAGTATGTATAAATTATCTTGCTGTTTCCTTTGACAAAGTCCTGTCTTATTCCGTCACTGTGTTGCTATGTAAGTAATAACTAGTATTTATTGAGTACTTACTGCATACTTGACATTGTCCCTAGTCAGTCATACACGGACTTGGTGAATGACGATTGTGTTGATGTCATATCACACAACTCACCCTTGGGAATTGTACAACTCAGTGGTTTTTTGTGTTTTGACAGCGTTATTCAACCATTACTGCAGTCAATTTTAGAACATTTTTACCACCTAAAAAAAGAAATCTTAGACACATCAGTAGTCCCCTCCTTCCCTCATGCCGTTGTACCTGCTCACACCAGCCACTCTGCTTGCTCTGTGCATGTTTCCTGAAAGCAGACCGTAAGATGAGGTCCTTTCTGGCTGCCTTGAGTGTGTTTATTTCTTCCCTTGAGTAGGAGTATCAGGCATGTTTGCTTTTGTTGTTGTTGTTGTTGTTGCTGCTTTATTCTAAGGCATGTTTTCATTAGTATGCTTACCTATCTTTTGTATGTTTTAGTTTGTAGTAATGTCAGTACTCTGTCCATATGCTTTGGCCATCCAATTTCAAGATGTCGGGCCCTTATTTGGCTGTAGGACTGAGGATGAGGTTTATTTTCTTTTGTTAAAAACCTTTTATTGATTGTAAGTATTGTCGTGTAGATCTAAATATTCTGTCTTAAGTGGCTCCCTTGCATTGCACCTGCAAAGGCCGTGGGGGACCCCAGTGCTTGGGCCCCTGCTGTGTACCTGGAACACCCAGGTGGAGTTCTGTGCTCCTCTTTTGGCCTGGGTCAGCCCTGGTTGCAGCAGCCATTTGGGAAGTGTGAGCCAGTGGGTGGAAGATCTGTCTGTCTGTTTCTCCCTCTATGTAAACTCTGCCTTTCAGATGATGTTTTTTAAAGTATTTCAAAAGAACTTCAAAAGATTATTTTAAAAAGGGGTCGCTTAATAGAAATTTCTAAGTCTTTTAATTAATTATTCCCTTACAGAAGAAAACTATATCAGGCTTAACGAAAGGCATAGGGGCCAGCACTGTGGTTTATTAACAGGTAAAGCCGCCGCCTTCCACACTGGCATCCCGTATGACGCCAGATGTGTCCCAGCTGCTCTACATCAGATAACTTCCTGAGAAAGTCCTGGCAAAAGGCAGCTGATGGCCTGAGCGTTGGGCCCTGTCGCCTGGTGTGAGAGCCACACTACGCTGTTTGACTTCTGCCTTCAGTTGGGTTCAGCTTTGGCTATCGCAGTATCTGGGGGAGTGGAACAGTAAATGGAAGATCAGTCTCTCTCCATCTCTGTAACATTTTTTTGAGGTTTATTTATTTATTTATTTATTTATTTTATTGCAAAGTCAGATATACAGAGAGGTGGAGAGACAGAGAGGAAGGTCTTCCATCCAGTGATTCATTCCCCAGGTGGCTGCAATGGCTGGAGCTGGACCAGTCTGAAGCCAGGATCCAGGAACTTCTTCCCGGGCTCCCACATGGCTGCAGGGTCCCTAGGTTTTGGGCCATCACCCTTCACTGCTTTCCCAGGCCATGAGCAGGGAACTAGATTGGAAGCGGGGCTGTCGGGATTAGAATCGATACCCATATGGGATCCCAGAGCATGCAAGGTGAGGACCTTAGCTGCTAGATTATTGCGCTGGACTTCATTTCTGTAACTCTTTCAAATAAACAAATCCCAAAAGCAAAACCAATTACTAGTGGCTTGAAAAGCATTAGTTCTATAAGTAATCTGATTTGTTGCAACATTGGAACTTTTTTAAAGACTTGCCGTTGGACTGTAAGGACCTCTTTGGTTCTAAAAATCTGTCTCAACCCATTTTGTAAAGGAATGAAATCCTCCCAAAGCTTCATCTTCCTTTCCAGAAGGTTATTTTATTTTCTGGTGCACCCTGTCCACCCTCCCAGCTGCTTTATCAGGAACCTCTGTAGCTCCATTGTTGGGGAGTTACTTACTGTGTTTACATTTATACAAACGGCCTTGCTTAGTGTTTTGGGAAAATCACAAACTCAGACAAAATCTTTGGAACAGAAAGTATGATCTCATGAGAAAGTGTATCTATAGCTTACCCACTTGAAAAGTTAACTGTTAGCATGTAACCAGAAGAAGGATTTCACTTAACAGATAAAATCAGAGTGAGCTGACCTTAGGACAGTGAATTGAGCACTGTATTTTAAGTGTTTCTAAAAATACGTTTTCTTTTTCTATTGTGTTCATTATAACTTTTTATCCATTTAATTGTATATTACTAAACTTATGCATGCATAATAAATTCCAGCATTATGGGAGGCCTTTCACTGTGATCTTTAACTAGTGAAGCTTGTTAATCCCAGTGTTACGTTATTAGCCTGCGTTTTCTAGCACTCTTATTTGCAGTCAACAACCTTGTACCTTACAGGGTAGCTTGATTGTGTCATGTTGACCCTGTTTCTTTCTGAAATGGTTTATTTTTCTTATTGTGTTTCTAAGGAGATGGCTAGCTGCAGTGTCTTAATACAAATTTGATAGAATAAATTTCAGTGAGTTTACAACTAGACATTTTTTACTTTTGTTTTTGCAGCTGTTGCCCTATGAACAGTCTTCCCTTTTGGAGCTCATAAAGACTGAAAACAAGGTACAAAATCCTTAATCAAAAAAACATGTTTTAAAAATGTCTTTAGTTAAAATGTACTTCAATTTCTTTTCTTTTTCTCTTAAAACTAGGTCTTAAACAAAGTCATCACTGTTTATGCAGCGCTTTGTTGTGAAATCAAGAAATTAAAATATGAGGTGATGATTTGTATTCTTAAAACTTTTACAAATAGATCATTTTAAAGCAGTTATGTGTTCGGGGTGCTGTAGCACTTAGGTTGCCTGTGCCCGGCAGGAGTGGACCTCAGTCGGATGCTCTGCCAGGCCCCTCGCTGTAGCTCCTGCTGGTGGAGATCCTGGGAGGCAGAGGTGGTGGCTTGAGTGGCTTGGTTCCGGCCAGCTGCTTGGGAGGCCTGGATTTTGTTCCTGGCTTTTGCCCTGGCCTGGCTCTAATCATTGTGAGCATCTGAGGAATGAATCAATGGGAGAGGATGATGTCTCTTTCTCTCTGCCTCTGAAACATTTTTTAATAAGATAAATATGTACTTATATATGCCCAGTGTGCAATAAATACAGATGGAATATATTATTTATTTAAAGTAATGGTAATACTAAGAATGCAGTTTGTAGTACTAATGCTTATACTATCATTCGCAGAATATTTTGATCCAGAAACACAATTAATGCTTGTAACAACCCAGTGAGAAGGGGAGAGTAGATGAGGAAACTAAGATGTAAGAGAACAAGTGTCACGTTACAATCCATTGGTAGTAACTGGTTGAATGCAGGTCTGCATATCTTTTTCTTTTTAAGATTTATTTTTTATTTTTATTGAAAAGCCAGATACAGAGATGAGGAGAGACAGAAAAGAAGATTTTCTGTCCTCTGATTCAATCCCAAGTGGCTGCAATGGCTGGAGCTGTGCCAATCCAAAGCCAGGAGTCCAGAGCCTCTTCTGGGTCTCCCACACGGGTGCAGGGTTCCAAGGCTTTAGGCCGTCCTCCACTGCTTTCCCAGGCCACAAGCAGGGAGCTGGATGCGAAGCAGGGCCGCTGGCATTAAAACTGGTGCCCGCATGAGATCTTGGTGCGTGTAAGGCAAGGACTTTAGCTACTAGGCTACTGCACTGGGCCCTGCATAGTTTCAGAGTTTGTATTGTGGGCTGTGTCTGTTTTTCCAGATATAACCAAAAGCTTTGAATCTTTAGTATGCATTCAGTTTTGTTTAACCAAAAGCTATTTGGTCTGATAGAGGCAATAGCCTGCTGCTTTTCCTCCTGTGTTCATGAACTAAGGGAAGGGTGTGGGACTCAGTGTGGTCAGATAAGAAAAAGCAAAAGCAAAAGGAACCGTGATGGAGCTCTGTTTATCAGTTGTATCTTTGTTAAGGGTAGATTGAATTAATTTATGTTGTAAGCAGTTTTAAAATTTAAATGAATTTGCATAAATCATCTGGTCCTCTGTTATTAAATATAGAGAATTATAAGAGGCTGGAAATTTGAAAATGAAATAATTGAAATTATTTTAATTTTTAACAGGCTGAAACTAAATTTTACAATGGTCTCTTGTTTTATGGAGAAGGAGGTAAGTTTTACAAGTTGTAGAGTTGTAATGAGATGATGCCTTCTTTGACATTGAAATATTTAGCAGATATTTGGCAAATATTTAGCAGATAATACGACCACTACCATGATTACTCTGAGAAATTAGCATTCCAGTTTTTGTTTATTTGGTTAAATGAGTGGGGGGAAAAGTGATGAAGCAATAGCAGTTTCTCTGAAATTGATTTGTAATGTTTTTCTTTGAATTCATTAGGTAGTGAAGTAGGGATTTTAATTGTATGGTTAATGGTTGCCTTATTTTTTTTCCTACATATAAAAATTGTTTCTGATATTATTCATATTAGGAAATGTCCTAATCAAGGAAGTTCCCTTTTCCTCGTGTTGATTGAGTTTAAGGTAAAAGATGTGAAGGTGACTCTCGATGTTGTCTTCCTAAGCTACAGAGTCCAGCATGGTGGAAGGCGACTGCCAGATTCAGATGGGCAGATTTATTGCATTCCTGCAGGTAACTGAATTTGATTTTATATTGAAGTTTTTTGAGAAGTTCAATCAAATGACATGGATTTTAAATTTCTGTAGCTTTCAGATGCCCAGAATGGTAAGACACTGATGTTGGATTACAGGTTCAAAGATCATAACTCTTAAAACATGCTTAAGCATTTTTAGGAAAATAGGTACTAAAGTAATTTTGTATAATTTTATTTATGGACAGTTTGTCATCTTGCCTTTTTTTTTTTTAACATTTATTTTTATTTGAAAGGCAGAGTCATGGAGGAGGAGAGAGAATCTTCCATCTGCCAGTTCATTCCCCCAAATAGCCACAATGGCTGGAATTGAGCCAGTTTGAGTCCAGAAGCTTCCTCCTGGTCTCCCATGTGGGTGCAGGAGACCAAGGACTTGAGTTTTCTCTGTTGCTTTCCCAGGCTGCAAGCAGGGAGCTGGATGGGAAGTGGAGCAGTCAAGACATACACCAGAGCCCATGTGGGATGCCAGCACCATAGGCAGAAACTACATAGGCCTGCTACACAGCGGCACTTCCCCCATCTGTTTGTTTGTTGGTTTTAAAGATTTACTCATTTATTTGGAAGTGTTAGAGGCAAGGGGAGACAGATACAGATCTTGCATCTGCTGGTTCACTCTCCATGTGGCTGCAGTAGCCGGGGCTGGGTCAGGCTGACGTCAGGAGCCAAGAGCTCTTCCAGATATTCCGTGTGGGTAGTAGCAAGAGCCCAAACACTTGAGCCGTTTTCCACTACTTTTTCCTAGGCCATTAGCAGGCAGCTGTGTTGGAAGTGGAGCAGCTGGGACTTGAACTGGTGCCTGTATGGGAAGCTGGCATTGCCATTCGTGGCTTTTCCCACTATGCCACAATTCCAGCCTCATCATCTTGCCTTTTCAAAGCATTTAACTTCATACCAATAGGAAGACAGGTCATATCAGCAGAAGTTAAATGAGAGGATTAAATTTTTACTTCAGTAACTAGGTTAACAAGCAGCACTTGATGCTTCTAATAGAATGTCTTAGTTTACACATGCTTTTATCTGCATATGTTCAATTAGTCTTTTGTCTTAGTTTCACCAAAAAATAAAAGAACTCCTATTCCCCTGCTGTTATTAAACACAGTGCAGTACTAAGATGAGCATGGGAGACAGGGAAAGCACAGGCTCTGATGGTCCCCATTTCCATGAGTCCTGGGCCCGGGATCCGATAGGCCACCAATCAGGCAGAACTGTGCTCACATTCCTCGTGTCTTTCCTATTGTTTGTCTACTTGACCTAATTGAGGTCATATTGTTGATCATACAGCATGTGAATTCCAGGTCCTTTCCAGAAAACAAATCCCATAAGATATTTTAACAGCCATAGGATGTGAAGTTGTTGCTGTGGTTTGGACAGGATATGGCTCCTTGGAACCAGATAGATATTTAACGTTGAAGCCCCAAAGTTTTAAGTGGTACTGAAAGGTAGGAAGAAGAAGGGTAGAGTTCTAGTTTGCACCAGGAGAACTCTAGGTAGCTGAAATTGTCCTGTGTGTGGTTTGTAGTTAGAGTAGATTTCATCTGTTTTGCCAGCCATAGAGTAAGTAACCATGTGAGAGGATCAACACATTACTGTATCTTCTGGTGTGCACCTTAAACAATGCTTATTTTGAAAGGATTATTTATTTTTATTGGGAAGTCAGAGTTAAAGGAAAGGAGAGACAGAAAGAAGACATCTTTCATCTGCTCATTCACTCCCAAGCTTCTGTAACAGCCGAAGCTGAGCCAGTCTGGAACCAGGGGAGTGTCTCCTTCACGTCTCCTATGTGCATTCAGGGGCTCAAGGCCTTGGGCTAGTCTCTGCTGCCCTCTCAGGCCACAAGCAGGGAGCTGAATTGCCAATAGATGAGTTAGGACCTCAACTAGTACAAATGAGATGCTTGTGCTTCAGGCTGAGGTTTAGCTGGGTGTGCCTCCACACTGCCCCCTGATTTTTTTTTTTCATTTGTTTGTTTGAAAAGAGAAATTGAATACAGAGTTGGTTACATAGGAGTTAGAGGACTGCAAGAACTGAGAAAGCACTGAGGTGTAATCTATAGGAAGTAGACATACCTCTTTTGGGAGTGAAATGGAGAAGGTTGGCGTTACCACAATCTGGAATCTTAGAATAACTCCCAGGGGGTTGACACCCATGCCTGTGTGGGCTGACACTGCAGCTGGCGCCTTGGAGAGGGCAGGTGGTGGTTGGTTCTGGAGTCCTGCAAGAAGCTAGGGGCTGGAGTGAACTGCACTGCCGCCGTCAAAGTTGGCCTGCCAAGATCATGGTGACCGACAACAGAAAGAAGTAGATGTGCCTCATGTGCCTCGTGGTCTCCTTTCCAGGGCCATGTTTTCACAGAACCGAGCAAGAATGGTGGGGCCCAGTGAGTGTGTCAACTTACTCTTTCAGTTTTGTCAAATTTTGCATTTCTTATTTGGAGTACGTTCAGGTTTAGAATTGTTAGTGACTCCTGATAAATGTGATTTATGGTCATTGTGAGAGACCTTGTTAAGCTATAATTATGAATATAATATATAAATGTGAAAATACATATTACTTAGCACAGGTGGAGCATCCCTAATCCAAATATTGGAAACCTGAAATGCTCCAGAATCTGATACTTTTAGTGCCGATGTGATGCCAAAAGAAGAAAATTTCTTAGTGTAAAACTTTTGTTTCATGCACAAAATTAATAAAATTGTTGTAGAAAATTACCTTCAGACTTTAAGGTGTGTATGGAACATGAGTGAATTTCATGTTTAATTTTGGGTTCTAACCCCCAAATATCTCAGTATGTATGTGCAAATATTTCAGAATCCAAAATACGTCTGATATCAAGTATTTCCGAGAAGGGGTTCTCACTCTGTGTAGTAGCTAGCTACAGGAAACCTAATAACATCTGTTTTTGCACTAATATTGTTGTGCTTGGTCCTTTTGCTTAATATTTATCTTTTTCCATTTTTTCAACCTTTCAGCGTCATAAAATGTAATGTTTTAGTTGTGTTTCTTTGACATTCCAAATATTGCCATGCACTGTGTGATGTATTTTGCCGAACAGTGGGCTGTGTTTGTGACAGCAGTTCTGTAGATTGTCCCGCTCGTGATTTCATAGCTGTCTCATGTTGAATGGAGTCTGTTTGCACAGCAGGGAAGCTGGCTGAAGACTTTTCTCAGAACATCTCCTTGTGGATGTGTCGTGTGTGGCTATCTGAGTGAATGAACTCACTAATTCCAGAACGATTGCTTTTTTCATATAATCTGCCAACCGCTGCCCATTAAGTAGTTCATTTATTCAATCTTTGGTCTAGTCATTTAATTGCATTTGCTTCTACTTTTGTATTTTGTGCTTGCCCTGAGTCCTTTATTATTGGTTCTTTGCTCTTGTTAAGCTTTTAGAAGTTTAATAAGAAATGTAATACCAGAGCTACTTAAATAAAATGAAAATGAATTATATATTTCCATTGTCAAAAGCTTAGTTTTTGGATCTCACAGCTGGGTAAAAGTTTTATTTTTAGACCCTGAACAAGAATGTTTGTGAGCCTAGATTAGTTAGGAACTGATCTTGATGTTGGGGGAGAGCCCATAAAGCTTACCATTTAGAATAGCTGTGGGCTTTACCAGGTTCCAAATGCTTTAGATACAGACTTCATACAGTCTGCAAGTGAGAGCTTCTGAGAAATTTTCAGAAGACGTGGCACATCGTGGATGTCAGTTAAGTATTTAATGACAAAATATTTCTGGAATAATGGATATTTCATCTGTGTGCAAAGGCTGCTTCTCGATATGATTAAAGAGCATTGAAGCTGTCTCATTGTGACTTTTGTGAACTCCTGTCATTGTCTTACTTCATATAATGGCAGTTTTTGAGTGCCTTTATTGATGCAGATATTCATTTATTTAATAGAAAAAACTTACCAAGAAATGGTAACTACTGCATTAGGCAAAGGAATGAGCTGGTCCCTGACTTGATGGAATTTCATGAGTCACTAAGATGTTACCCTTAAAGTGGAGTGTAACTGGAATGCAGTAAGAGCACAAGCAGGCGTGACCCAGGGTTGCAGGAGTTATGTTCAACATTGTTTGCTTGGGGGATGCTTCAAGCTGTCTGGCTGCTAGACATTTGACTGAAAATGACTTATAATTTTTAGAATTTTTACCATAAGACTTAGTAAAACAAAAATGGTGATGTTAAAGATGACTTTGTGACGTACACTTATTTCTTTCATTTCAGGAACTGTCCTGTTTTGTTACCAGGTGCTATGAAGTGGTGATGAATGTGGTCCACCAGTTGGCTGCCCTTTATATCAGTAACAAGTAATGTCTTTTAGAAATATTTTTGCCTTGAAGATGCCCTAAAGATAAATGTTCTGAAATTACATAATTATCTGAAATTATTTCTGTTCGTTCATTCAGTAATCTTTGAGCCCCCAAGATGTTTCAAACACTACTTGATATGTATAATACTAGGTTAATGTGGGATAAGGAACTTATTATTTTGTTGATTAAAAAAACTTTACATTTGATTACATAAAAGAAACCTTAAAATGAAATTAGTGCATGTATCATGTTATCTTCTTTCCCATTTATACTAGTGATTGCCTGACTCTGTAAAATCACATGAAGCTTTTTTATACTGAAGGCATGCACTTGACTTTTATTTTTAATTTATTTTTTACTTTAATGTCTGAGTTAGAGAGAGAACAGGAGGCAGCAAGGGACAGGGGGATCTTTTCATCTTCTAATTTACCCCCCACAAATGGCTGCCGTGGCCAGAGCTCAGCCCAGTAGGAGCCAGGAGCCAGGAGCTTCTTCCAGATCTTCCACATGTGTGCAGGGGACCCAAGGCCTTGTGCCATTCTTGCTGTCTTCACAGGCTGTCGTCCGGGAGCTGGATGGGAAGTGGAGCAGCCAGGATACGAACTGGCACCCATATGGGATGCCAGCACTACAGGGGGAAGATTATTCGGATGTACAATTGTACTCGCCCTTAGACGTCTCTTTTTTTAAAAGATATATTCATTTTTATTTGAAAGGCAGATTTTTCAGAGAGGAGAAAGAGGCACAGAAAGAAATCTTCCATCCACTGGTTTACTCCCCAAATGGCTGCAGTTGCTGGTGCTGGGCCGATCAGAAACCAGGAGCTGATGTATATCAGTTTTGTTTTCCTGCCTCCATTCCAAGATAGATCTTCTGGTTTAAATGGGTGAAGTTATTAAATGGGTCCTGTGGCATCTTAGCCCTACACTTGAGCTGGCTGTCATCAGCAAGGACAGCCCAGACCCCTGTAGGTACGCGTTGGTTCCTTTCTTGGGAAAGTGGAGTATCATAGTGATTCCTTAGAGTTTTAAAACTTTAATAAGATAGAGGTATATGAAAATCCTAAGAGCTCACAAAAAATTGCCTTGAATTAAGAATTAAGTATAATATAAAAATTTACCTTGAGGTTTTTTTTTTTCTTTAATAGGATTGCACCCAAAATCATAGAAACAACTGGAGTTCATTTTCAGGTAAACATATTTTAACTTATAACTAATTTCTACTGTATTTTATTTTGGAGTGTGATTGGCCAGTACAACAGCTCCAGTGAGACTCAAGGGGGCGTTTTGTTTTGTTTTGTTTTGTTTTGTTTTGTTTTTGTCTGATCACTGGACACAGTCTGGGTAACTCTGGCCCCTTAGTGTCTGAGTGCACATTCTTCAGATTGTGTTGGGAGGGAATCAAATATGCAGTGTTACTATTTAGATATACTGAGAAAAGGACTCTCTGTTTAAGGCCAGTAGTCTATTTGAAGATCAAACCTGTAGCTTAATATATTGATCTACCCCCGCTTTAGTTAATTCAGCTTTGATCCCAAATGAGTTCTTTTAAAAAAAAAATCCACATGGGGCTTAACTTCTAACTGGTGACTAAATGGTAATCATTAAAGGTTTTTTGACAGACTATGTATGAGCACCTGGGAGAACTATTAACGGTTTTGCTCACCCTGGATGAAATCATTGATAATCATGTCACTCTGAAAGACCACTGGACCATGTACAAAAGGTATACCTGTTTAAGTATTCTCTTAGTTCGGTTAAGAGTAAAACAAAGAAAAAAGTCAGATCTTCCAGAAGACTTGTAGACTTATACATAGAAGGAGGTCCAGTCATGTTTAATTTCTGATGGGTTTGCTTCAAAGTGTGTTATGCTTGTATAAAGCATACTTATTCTACTAATTATTTTTTTTAAGATTTATTTATTTTTATTTGAAAGGCAGATCAGATTTTTTGGAGAGGAGAGACAGAGAAGGATTTTCCATCTGCTGGCTCACTCTCCAAATGGCCATAGTTGCCGGAGTTGAGCTGATCTGAAGCCTGGAGCCAGCAGTTTCCTCCAGGTCTCCCATGTGGGTGCAGGGTCCCAAGGCTTTGGGCCACCCTTCACTGCAATCCCATGCCACAAGCAGGGAGCTGAAGCCTCCTAATTCAAAGTGTACTAATAGGTTAATTTGTCTACTTTACAACTCCTTTATTTTTATCCCTGGGTTCTAGTTAAGTGACAATTTCTTGAACTTGGTTTCATTTTATTACATAGATAATGGAAATACAGATAAGTACAAAGTTTTATTATGTTCAGTTTATAACTATTTTAAATATTTGATAGGTACAGTTCATGAAGCATCTGATTGTAAGATAATATAAGAAACCGTAAGAAAATTGAATGCTGGAATTGCTTTGCTTAAATTTTCAGACATGTAAACTCCAGCAAGAATAATGAATATAAAAGTTTAATTTCTGGTGAAATTTTTAATGTAAGAATTCACTAGGTAGATTTAATAGTTTCTAATCTTCTGCAAGGTTACTGAAATCTGTCCATCACAACCCTTCAAAATTTGGAATTCAGGAAGAAAAACTGAAGCCATTTGAGAAGTTCTTGCTGAAGCTAGAAGGGCAGTTGCTTGATGGAGTGATATTCCAGGTATGCAGAGTTGTGTCAGGCTGTAGCAGATGCGCTTGTATAAACCAGCTCAGAATGACGGAGCTTTGCCACCGGGTGCTGCTGAATATGATTTTCCTTAGGAAGTGCTTTGGCTTCAAATCATTGTTGGTATATATTGAAGTATGTGAGTTATTTTAGTGTCTAGTAACAAACGAAAATAATAATGTAGAAGATTGTAAATGACATAAAAAGAAAACCAAGAACTAAGCCCAAGCGTTCTGTTAACCTCTGGACTCAGGTTTGTGTGAGTACTTTAAGAGCAGCTTACTTTTAATGTTCCATTGGGCTAAATTTGTCATTATAAATGCCTATTTTAATTAATGATATTGTGCTTAGAATATATTAGCACAAGTGACAAGTGCCTGTTTTAGGAATGATAGCTAATAAGGTGCAATTTTGACTACAGATGTTCTGATACTTACTTAGTTTAATTGTAATCATTTGAACTTTTCTGAAAATATTAAGTTTTTGGATTCTTTCTGAAAAAAAAAGTGTTTTAAAATTTTTTAAAAAAAAAAAGAAAGAGCAGCTTACTGCCTCAGGAAATGTAGTCTGTCTTCACTATTCTGAATGGGAGCTTCTAACCATGTTTGGCTATTGAAGTAACTGATGCCAAATTTCAAAGGAAGTTCTCTTTACTAGTCTCACTAACCACATTTCTTGTGCTTAATGCTAAACATGTATTTCCTGGCTTTCCTGGCTAGGCCATCCTGTCAGCACAGATGTAGAGAATTTTCTATCACATCAACAGAGAAAGTTGTGATGCATTGGTAATTTCCAGCAGAAGCTACACTATATTTCATTTTAAGTTGTTTTAGGGTTACCTTTTGTCCATATTTTATATGATTATGGTTTTGTCAGATTGACTTGAAGGAAGTATAAAGTGAAAAAAAAATACTTTCTGGTATTTCATTAGAAAGATGTTTTATGTGTCTCCCAGGATCACATTATCTTTTCATATAGAAGTGTAGGTTTGAGATTGAATTTTACTGTTTTCACATAACTGGTACTCAAAAATACACATTTCCCTTCAGAAGGATTTAGATGTTAGATTAGAATGAGCTAAGAATATGAGATTTTAGTTTTAGTAAATTGCATGATAAATGTAGACATTAATCACACACTGTGTGTAAGTGCTTAATAGTTTAATATAGAGTAAGTTTCCCTTAAAATGTTTTCTTATCCAGGCTTGTATAGAACAACAATTTGATTCTCTCAATGGGGGAATATCTGTGTCAAAAAATAGCACTTTCGCTGAAGAATTTGCACATAGTTTACGCTCAATTTTTGCAAACGTGGAAGCCAAACTTGGTAATGTAAATTATAATTTTTTGTATCTGTCTATAAAGTTTTTTTTTAAGTGTTATTTTAGTATATTGTTCTGATTTTCCCTGGTGCTGTTTTAATAGGAGAACCTTCTGAAATAGATCAGAGAGAGAAGTACGTTGGAATTTGTGGGCTCTTTGTACTGCACTTTCAAATTTTTCGAACTATTGATAAAAAGTTTTACAAGTCTTTATTGGACATTTGTAAGAAGGTAAGAACCTAAAGCTTTTATTTTCAGTTTGAGTAGATTAAATATTTTGAGTTTTATTACTACTTACCAAAAAATAACACAATAGTATTCAGCTTTAAAATTCACACATTCCAGAAAGAAGTAACATAGTGGATGCAAATGTTCTCTAAATCCTATCTCCAGTGAATGTGTGTTGGTGGATGCTGTTGATATTTTTTCCTGTGAATTAAGTGTTTATTGTTACCATGTGTTTGTCTTTCTTTTTCCTGTAGTTTGTTTCTTTCTCTTGTTCTTCATTCTCATTACTGTATTTTCTGCTGTTTCCATGATGCTACCCCTGGTTCCCAAATTGAGACTTGTTTGTGTTATTTTGGGTACGGGATCTCAAGGATCTGAGCATTGTTTTGTATTTATTTTTTACGTTAGAGTGAAAATAAAGTTTGTAAGGATTCAAATTTCCATTTGCTTTTTAAAATATTTTATTCCTCTGAAAATCAGGAAAGAATGAGTGAGATGTACACACACCTGTGTGCTTTGTTTAATATATAGGCAAAGTCAAGTGTCATCTCAGCCCCAGATAGGGAGATGCCCTCACTCTGTGTCAGAGGAAGATATTTGTTTGAATGTTTTTAGGATTATTTTTTAATTCTAGACAAATTGCCTTTGCTGTGCATTGTAGAACTAGAGTTTATGTGTAGCCTGATTTTTAAATTTTAAATTAAAAAAAAATTTTTTTTGTAGCTTGCATTTAATAATTTCCCCTTGCCTTTACTGTTTCAGGTGCCAGCCATCACTCTCACTGCTAATATTATTTGGTTTCCTGATAATTTTCTGATCCAGAAAATTCCAGCAGCTGCCAAACTCCTAGACAGAAAAAGCCTTCAAGCCATTAAAATGCATAGGGATACTTTCCTACAGCAGAAAGCTCAGTCACTTACCAAGTAGGTTTTATAAGCAATCATAATAAACTTTTGATATCTATGTTTTCAAATCTTGTAAATATGTGAAAAGCATTTCAGTCGTATGATCAGGTGTACCTGCTCATTACCAGGGAGGGATTGGATAGTCTCATATTTCCTATTTTTAAAAAGATGACTTATTTGAAAGAGAGAGATGTCTTCCACTGGTTTACTTCCCAGATGGCCACAGTGGCCAGGACTGGACCAGGCCAAACTTGGGAGCCGGAGCTTCATTTCATTTTCCCGTTTGGGTGTCAGGGTCCCAAGACTCGAGCCATTTTATGCTTTTTCAAGGTTCCTAGCAGGGATCTAGTTCAGAAGTAAAGGGACTGGGGCACAAACCAACACCTGTATGGAATGCCGATGTCACAGATGAAAGCTTTACCGGCTCTGTTACTACACTGACCCCAATAAGCTAGTATTTAATATTGGAAATATTGCTTTAAAAATACAGTATGTATTTAGATTGTTAATAATTATAATATCTAAGTTTTGGAAGCTAGTGATTATAATATGTGGACCATGGGGTTTATAGTTCCGTTGAACCTTTTTTTTTTAAAGATTATTTTGTTTTTAATACAAAGGTAGATTTATAGAGAGAAGGAAAGACAGAGATAGATTCTCCCTCCACTGGTTCACTGCCCAAGTGGCGGCAGTGGCGGGAGCTACACCAATCTGAAGCCAGGAGCCAGGAGCTTCTGCCAGATCTCCCACGCAGTTAACAGGGTCCTGAGGCTTTGGGCCGTCCTCAACTGCTTTCCCAGGCCACAAGCAGGATGGGAAGCAGGGCTGCTGGGATTAGAACCGGTGCCCATATGGGATCCCGGTGTGAGCAAGGTGAGGACTTCAGCCATTAGGCTAATGTGCTGGGCCTCCCTTAGTGCTTCTCACACATCAGCCAAGGTGATGACAATCCTGAAAAAAGCAAAATTAGACTAAGTCATTCTGTTTAGAATCTCTCATGCTTTCCCAGATGCCTCAGTTGAAGTCCCCACTTCCCACAAGGCCTTCCCCACATATCTTCCCCACCATGTTGCCCTGGCTTCTCTCTCTGATCTCCCTGTTTTTTTGTTTTTGTTTTTTTTTTTTTTAATCGTGGCTCTTCTGTGTGCTCTGGTCGTGTTGGTTTTCGTTCTTGCTGCTGTTACACAAGCCTACGTTTGTTATGTATTTTCCTAGCATTCTTTTCTGTCATGGATTTACATGTTATTTATTCAACTGCTTCAAATATTCCCTCAATATTCTACATAAGCAGCCTACTTTGATTATTGTTTAAAATTGTATTTGCCACTTCAGTCCTTGTCATTTTCGCTGATTTTTTCTCATAACATGTATTACCTCATGTCTTCTAAGATTTCAGTTTTATTATACAGTTCTTTCTAGAATGTGGAAAAAATGGGACCAAGGATTTTTGTGTTTTGTTTACTGCTGGTTTCTGTTAGTTGGCGGTACGGAGGTAACACTGGTTGGCCTGTGTGGGCATTAATTGGTTTGGTGAGCATCTGTTGAACGAGTGAACTCTATATGTCCATTTAGTGCCTTTTGGAAACCTATTGAAAATGAAATAGCTGATAAAAGGAAATATTCTAACCAATGTGATGAAATAGAAATGTATTTTTTATTTTAATCGCAGTATTTTCCTTTGTTAGAGATGTACAGTCTTACTACGTCTTTGTGAGCTCATGGATGATGAAAATGGAGTCTATTTTATCTAAAGAACAGAGAATGGATACATTTGCTGAAGACCTCACCAATAGATGTAATGTCTTTATACAGGTAGCTGCATCTTCTTACTTAAGAGTTTTGGGGACATTTCTTTAATTTATAGAAATTGCAGTTGGATAAAACCGGGCAAGGATACAGCAAGCTTTCATTTTAAAACAGATTGACTTGGTTACATTTGGATCTTTTGACTTATTTAGATTTTTCAGATATACCTATTCAAAGCTCCACATCCCCTTCGAACAATGATTTTTTTGGGGGGGTTGAATCATTTAAGTTTTAATATGTTATGTTTTTATCATTTAGTTCAAAATATTTAAAAATTTTTTTGACTTGGGAGTTTCTTTGGTGGATGTATTTTAATTTCCACATATGAGAGTTCTAAGCTACCTCTTATGATTTGCAGCAATAATAACACTCGTATTTTGAAATTTGCTTTTATCGCTCAGCATGTAGCAGGAAAGAATATCTTAATTTGCATTTGCGAGTGGTAATACACATGATGCATGATGGTGTCCATGGCAAGAAAAACAAATGAGTTTTTTGAATCCCCCGTAATTTTTGTGTTTATCCATTTATCTTTGTGGTTCTGTCAGTTTTTGTTTAGTGTATTTTGAGACTAAGTACATACCATTTGAAGTGAATCAGACCTTTTATTAAGAAATATTTCTTTGATATCAGTTCAGATGTACAGGTTTCCTATTAGTGTGTGATGTGTTTTTTTGCTTTTTATTTTGATCCTTTCACTTGGAACCTTTCTGACTCTTTACTTTTTGTATGTCTCTTATAAGCAGCTTGGATTTTTCTCACAATCTGATAATCTTCAGGATTTTTTTTTTAAAGACTATTTTTATTGGAAAGTCAGATTTTACACAGAGAAGCAGAGACAAAGAGAAAAATCTTCCGTCCATTGATTCACTCCCCAAGCGGCTACAACGGCCGGAGCTGAGCTGATCCAAAGCCAGGAGCTAAGACCTTCCTCCAAGTCTCCCACACGGGTGCAGGTCCCAAGGCTCGTGCTGATATAAACTGCCCCTCCCAGGCCACAAGCAGGAAGCTGAATGGGAAGCAGGACCGCTGGGATTAGAATTGGCATGCGTTATGGGATCCTGGCGCATGCAGGGCTAGGACTTTAGCCACTAGGCTGTTGTACTGGGCCAAGATTTTGTTTCTAATGCACCTTTAAAAGGTGTCATTGTTTTCTAGCGTTGTTGATTTAGAAATACTTCTTTGGTTTTGTTGCTTTTTAAATATACCTTATCTGTGTTTAATTGCTCATTAACTCTTTTTTTTTTTTTTTTAGCCATATAACTAGTACTATAGTGCCCCATGTGTGGTTTTGTGTTTGTGGTACTTGAGTTCTATGGAGCTTCTGGAATTTAAGAATTTTTCAGTCTTGTACTGTTTGTTTTCTGTTCTCTGTAACCTGAGCATTGTCTCTCGGGGCAGCTTAACCTCCGGCCCAGGTTTTTTAGTTGTGCTTTGCAAAGGGGTGGGGGGTGTTATTTTATCATTAGCAGTAGAGTGCTAATACAGTGCTCCCCAAACCTAGATTTTATGTGTTTATCTGTTTTATTGATTTATTTGAGATCAGAGACAGAGATTTTCCATCTGCTGGTTCACTCCCCAGTTGGCTGCAGTGGCCAGAGCTGGGCCAGTGTGATGTCAGGAGCTTCCTCCAGGTCCCTTGCGTGGGTGCTAGGGGCCCAGGTACCTTGGCCACCATCTGCTGTTTTTCTTGGGCCAGAGGCAGAAGGCTGGATTGAAAGTGGAGCAGTCGGAATCCAAACTGGCACCCATATGGGATACTGGTATTGCATGCAGGCTGCACTAACAGTGCCACAACACTGAACCCTTTTTTGGATTTTAAAGTACCTCTTTTATGAATATGCTTCAAAAATCAGTGCTCGATGGGACTAAGTGGGCCCTAGGAGTCCTGTACATACAACTGCCCTGCTGAAAAGGACAGTGTGCCCACCTACCTCTCCTTTTCTGCCTTTCTGAGAGTTAGACTCCTGTTGTTCTTGTTCTAACTTTGCCCAGTGCTAGACTGGGACAGAGTCTGGTGTAGAGTTCTGTAGATGATACAGTAGGACCTGTGGCTTTGTGCACAAGGGCCCCAGGTTTTGGTCTTAGTGCCTCCTCTTTACGGAAAGTACCCTCTCTTTCACTTTTGAATTCTCTGAATTTCTCTCTTTACCACAGGGCATTAATGGATCACAGGAACTGCCACTTGCCACTTCGTGTTGGGGGTGATTGTTAGGGGCTGCTGTTACTGATTGGAGAGTATTTTCTCATTCATGGTGAGGCACAACCAGTGAGACACATTGGCGCATTGGCCTCCAGCTGCTTTCCACCTCCTTGGGTGTACCCATCCTGGAGTTCAGGTTAATCTTAAAACTACATCTGCCTTTTGAGGACTTCACACGCCCCAAATGGCTCCATCTTTATCTTACTGTTTCTGTGTGTTCCTCTGGGTTTAAATGAAAACCTTTGAAGGTTCATACCTTTTCTCCTGCTTTCTTATTCTGCGTTGTTTCCCCAGTTTCATGTTACGATGAAGACTTGCTCCTCTTTCACGAATGGAGAATCTGTACTCTTTGGGCTGGAAGGCGAGGAAGCCTGATTAGCACCTGAGGGCAAAGAGCAAGTGCACAGATCACCAGTGGGAATTGGTTCCTATTGGGTGGGACTAAAAGTGGTGCCCAGTTAGGATGCTGCTATCCAAAGGCAGTGGCTTTACTTGCTATGTCACAGCACTGGCCCCTCTTGTGAGTTTTGAGGTTCTTGGCTGCCTAGTCTTTAGCTTAGCTTTGTCTTAAGAGACAGCAAAAGGAGTCCTCCCCCCTCCTTTTTTAAAAAATTCATTTATTTGAAAGGCAGGGTTAGAGACTCCTCCACTCTCATTGTTACAGTTGCCAGAGCTGGTCCAGACTGAAGCCAGGAGCCAGGAGCCAGGAGCTTCATGCAGACCTTCCACATGGGTTCAAGGGTACAAGTACTTGGGCTGTCTCCTGCTTTTCCAGTCACATATACAGGGAACTGGAGGTGGAGTAGCTGTGTGTGGCTTGACTTGCTTCACCGTAGTATTGGATCCTACAAGTGGAAGTCTTGATTCTCTTCCTAGGTGAAATAAGAATATGGAAATACTGTCCTGACATTTATGTGGATTTTCTGAAGATTTCTTTTTTTTAATAGCAAGATTATATAATTGTGATTATACATTATAATTTTAGCAGAGCTGAACTCCTGGTGTGTAATAGGGTAAATAAACTTGTCAGTCCTGCTTTAAAAATAATACCATGTCTCTGTGAGGAAGAATATTTCAGAACATAAGAGTTGGCTTTAAGATGAGCCTAAGAAGCATTAGTTATTGGCAAATTTAAGGAATAATTGTTACTATGTACAGAATGGAATCCTGTAGAAATGAACTCTTTTTTTTGTGATTTTAATTAATGTGTTATTTTCTTTTCCAGGGCTTTTTGTATGCATATAGTATTAGTACCATTATTAAAACCACAATGAATCTGTATATGTCCTTGCAAAAACCAATGACCAAAACCTCAGTTAAGGCATTGTGCAGGCTTGTTGAACTTCTCAAGGTAGGTTTCAGTGGTTATTATTTGTAAATGCTTATTGATTTTTCATCTACTTGGAAAGTAGAGCAGCAGGAGAGACAGAGACATCTGTTGGTTCTCTCTCCAAGTACCTGCAACAGAATGGGCTAAGCTGAGCTGCAGCCAGGAGCCCAGAACTCATGCCAGGTCTTCCATGTGGTGACAGCGGCCTAGGTACCTGGGTCATCTTCCTCTGCCTTCCAGGTGCGTTACTGGGAATCTGCATTGGAAGCAGAGCAGGACTTGAACTGGTGCTCCTCAGTTAGGAGTTTGAAGTTAACTGTTGAAACCAAGATGCCAGCCCCATATTTAAATGTGATTACAAGTTAATTTAGTGAGAGAAAAGGTGGAAAATGGAAATTATCTTCAGGATTACTAGTGAAGTTTAATTCATGAATGTTTTAACTCATGAGTTAAAGAAAACATTCACATGGCATCCATTATTTTTATTTTTTGAAAATTTATGTTACTGTGCTTGAAAGGCAGGCAGACACTCAGAGAGAGGGACTTACTGACTTATTTGAAAGAGTCATGGGGAGGGGGAAGATGCTGAAATGTCTTCTGTCCAGTGGTTCAGTTTCCAAAATCCCACAGTAGCCAGAGTTGTGTCACCCCAAAGACAAGAGGTAGAAACTTCATTGCAGTCTCCCACATGTGTAATGGCGTAGCTGGGACATGACCCAGCATTCATAGGGGATGCCAATGTTGTAGATGGCAGCTTAACCCGCTGCACCCCAGGGCTGGTCCCAGGTCTGCCAGGTTTCTGTGTGCAAATAAACCTGCCGTTCGTTCCATTTTCTGTGGACTTTTTGAAGCACCCTCATATTTCTCAACTATATATATGAAATGTAAGTAGAAGTGTAGATGTGTGTCAGTGTGAGACTACTGTCCCCCCCGAGGAAGTGGGATGTTAACAGGGTTTTCAGGACCCTTGTGGGCCCCTTCTTGCTGGCACTGTGCTGCCGCCCTTAGAGGAAACTTCATCCTGAATTTGCTCATCATTTGCTTGACTTTGTTTTTGACTGCCTGTGTTTGGATGATCTGTAAACCCTTCATCATTGTCTCTGTTTTGAAGTTTGTACTAATAGAGTCATAGTTTGTGTTCTTTGGCTTGATTGTTTTTTATTCAGCATTTTGTATCTGACCATACCCATGTCGGAGTGAATAGCTTAGAACACTCACTACTCTAGCTTTCCTATGGAGTTTTTGTACTTATAAGCAGTGCTCCCGGTGTTGCACAGGATTCACAGTGTAATTGTGCACGAGTTTTGCCAAGAGGGAGTGATCTGCTGGCTGCTGTGTTCAGCCGAGACGATGCCCCATTGTCACATCTACCACACTGTTAGACATGGCCTTTTCCCTGGCCGGCCAGCACTGGTCCTGTCAGGTCTCACGTGTTTTTCTTGCCTTATAAATTAGTCAGTAGTTAGGTTTGCTTATGAATTTTAGTGTTCAATCCCTACTGGTTAATGATGACTACTTTTTCGATTATTTACTAACTATAGTTAGTCACCTAATAGTGACTACTGTTTTGATTATTTATTTATTAACTATATGTCTTTTCTAAAAGCCGTGTTTCATTTACTAGAATACGTGCTAGTGGTTCTTTCTCTGAATCTTTGTTTCATTTGGGGTCTTTATCCTGGACACTGCTTCTTGTATGGGGCACATATTTACATGTGTGTGGCCTTCCCTTTTGTTTAATTTTTTTTTATAATACATTTTGAGGAACAAAAGTTCTTACTTTTAATGTAGTTGAATTAGTCAGTCTTTGACGGTAGTGCCTTCTGGATCTGCTTTACAGATTCTTTCACTGGGCTGATGACATAATGATATTCTGTTATTAGTTTGGCAAAAAGTTTGACTTTCACCAAATTGTGTCTGCTTCCTCCTAGGCCATTCAGCACATGTTCTACAGGAGGAGCATGGTTGTGGCTGACTCTGTCTCACATATCACGCAGCACCTTCAGCATCAGGCTCTCAGTTCTATTTCTGTGGCCAAGGTCTGCAAATTGCTGTGTGCTCATAATTTTTCATTTACATATTTCTTTGTTTTTGTTTTTTAGGTTAGCTTTTTTACTGCCATCAATCATAATTTTCTCAGTCCTTTATCACTGTGATTTTTAGAGTTGTAAAATCACCTTTACTCTGAAATTGTCACATGTAGTATGTACATTGATACACCTCTACTACAAATGACATTAAATCTGCTTTTGAACGTAGTGTCATTTTGGGGGGACATGATTCCTTATTAAATTAATTAATCCCTTATTAAATTAAATTAAAGTATACCTGGTTTATTTGTTGTTCCTGACAATGCTAAGAGATAATGTCGCAGAAGTTAAATGCAAAATATTTTTGGAAACTTAATGGGTACAAGCCTTTGTCTAATGCATTCTGAAATTGAATCATGGAAAAGATGGTTAAGTTTTTCTTTTTGAGATTTTTTGTTATTGCCTCAAAGACAAAACTAATAGTTTCCTGTTTTCTTTTAAGAAAAGGGTAATTTCTGACAAAAAATATAGTGAACAGCGTCTTGATGTGCTCTCTGCTCTAGTTTTGGCTGAAAACACTCTGAATGGACCCAGTACAAAGCAACGCCGACTCATTGTCTCCTTGGCTCTAAGTGTTGGCACACAAATGGTACGTGTCTTACTATTATTATTTATGGGATGAAAATGAAATCCGAGATTTCACAGTTCCTTTGCTAGTGTTTCAGGAAATCTGTTCTTACCTTGACTGCAACTTGTCTTGTGTTTCTCCCATTCCCTGATAGAAAACATTTAAAGATGAAGAGCTCTTACCACTGCAGGTGGTTATGAAGAAGCTGGATATTATCAGTGAGCTCAGAGAACGGTAAGTAGGGCCTGCATACCATAGCGATGCTCAAAACAGAGGGCTAGTGAAACTTAGCTTTACTTTAAATAAAACCCCTTAGTTCCTCCTCGATCCTCTTTAACATGACCACAGTGAGACTGTAACTAATGATTCTAATTATTTAGCTTTGCTTCTGTGGAAAGCCTAGCCCTGGACAAGCTCGCAAAGGAGAGAGCAGAGCAGCTCTGTGCTGGCTGGCAGACTGTGCTGAGTTTCCACTGGTCTTAAAAATTGCACTTTTATGAGCAACCTTTGTGAAGCGCGACTTGGAGATCCATCACTGACAGTGCTCTGTAATTCATCTGATATGCAAATTTGAATTTTGTTTTCAGTGGCCAGTCACTAACTTGAGTTAGTTTTTGGAAGACTTATTTTTAGTTACTTACGACTTTATTTTCTTCTTATAGAAAAAGTGTAAGTTTCTTAAAGGAAAAGTGAGTCTTCTGAATTTTAAGCCTTAGCTTAATTAATTAAGGTTAAAGCACAGTTTCTGACTTAATGGGTTTTTGTTCTTGTAAGAAACTGACTTTTTTTTAGTTAGTAGCATTTAACTTCCTAAGCTTAGAAGAAATATTAAATCTTACAAGCTGTTTAATAATCACCTTGTTGCCTCATGAAGTATTAAATAGTCTCAATGGCAAAATGTTATGGACAAGTTAAATGTGACTTCTTTGTGACTGTGGGTTTTTTCTTTCTGTGTGTGTGTGTGTGTGTGTGTGTGTGACCATCGTTTTAAAAGATTTGACTTTCCACTTTGGAGACTGGTAAGATAATGTCTGTGATGGAGACAGTCTCATCAAATGTAACAATGAAAGTAAATTCAAACACAATTTGTGGTGTTTTCATGTCTACTTTGAAAATAAGGCAGATGTGTAGAATTCTGACTGTATCTACTACTAGTAATATTGTTAGCTTTCTTCAGCTTGGAAGATAACTATTTTGTGATCCTTTTGCTAATGATGGCTTTAGTGATGTAGGGAATGTGAGATGAATATAAGCAAGGAGTCGGTTTGTGAAGTCAGCCCTTTCCCATTATTTTGTATAATTCTTCGCTGTCGGTACTGCTAATTGCTGCTTTACATTGTAGAGTCCAAGCTCAGTGCGACTGTTGTTTTTTATACTGGCATCGAGCTGTCTTCCCAATTTATTTAGATGATGTATATGAAAATGCTGTGGATGCAGCCAGGTTACATGTAAGTAAAGAATAAGGCATCATTTTTAGTCATTGTATAAACCATTGTAGTTTTCAGTGTTTATCTGGTTTACTAAATCGTTTTAATATTAGCTGCTAATGCTATTTGGTGCAATGTTATGCATACATAATAAGAATTTATACAATCTGTAGCTAAATTTTGTATCAGGGACCAGACTTGGTGGCATTGCAAGTTAAACTACTGCCTGCAACACTGATATCCCATTTGAATGCCACTTTGAGTTCTGGCTGCTGCTCTAATCCAGCTCCTTGCTAATGCACTGGGAGAGCATTGGAGGATGGCCCAAGTGCCTGGGCCCCTGCACCCACATGGGCAACAAGGGAGAAGCTCCTGGCTTTGGTCTAGCCCACCCTTGGCCATTGTGGCCATTTGGGGAGTGAGCCAATGGGTGGGAAACTCTTGACTTTCAAATAATTTAAACATTTTGTATCAGTAGTGAAAAGGTAATGTACTTGACTCCTCCCCTCCCATTTCATTAGCTCGTTTCCCTCATGTCTCATAGATCGCCTCATTCTCCACGGTTTTAATTTATGTTATAGCAGTCTGGCCTCTACTCAGAGCAGTGTATGTTTCTCAGGCTTTTCAATTCCTTTATGATAGGTGTGTTTAAATTCACAAGTTAGGAAAGGACAAATTAATGCAAATTTCAAAATATGTATATTTTTAAAAGATTTATTTTTATTGGAAAGGGAGAATTACAGAGAGAAAAGAAAAAAAAAAGAGCGGACTCTCCCATCTGCTGGTTCACTCTCCAGATGACAGCAGTGGTCTCAGCTGGGTTGATCTGTAGCCAGGAGCTTCTCCTGTGTCTCCCACATTGGTACAAGGGCCTGAGGACTTGGGGCAGCCTCCGACTGCTTTTTCAGGCCATAAGCAAGGAGCTGGACCAGAAGGGAACAGCTGGGATTCAAGTTGTTGCCTATATGGGATGCTGAAGTGTATGCTTCAGGTTCTTTTATTTCGAAAATGAAGACCGGTCAATTATGTGGAAAAGTGTTCTTTAGGCTTGGGTTTTCTCTTTCAAGGTAGGCAAGCAGTCTTTGTAAAAGTGCTGAGGTACTGTTCTAAGTGTGTGTCTTTTTGTTTTGTTAGTACATGTTCAGTGCTTTACGAGACTGTGTACCTGCTATGATGCATGCAAGACACTTAGAGTCGTATGAGGTACTTCTGGATTGCTACGACAAGGAGATTATGGAGATTTTAAATGAGGTAACCTCATATTGGAAGTTGAAAAGCAGTGTGTTTTGGGAATGCAGCATTTGGGAAAAAATGTTGTAGTGAAGCGAACGTCCACTGTATTAAAGTTATTTGTAAATCACTGTAGAACTAAGGAACTGTGTTGTGTTACAGTGTCATGATCCTGTTAAATTGGTCTGTAATTCCTATTTAGGAATTTGAAAAATTTTAATTTGATTTAGTCAATAGATTGTATTTAAATTTATTCATTAGAAGACTACAAATGTAAAATAAGTTTAAATATTAAAGCTGCTAGTGCTACAGTTAGGACAACTGTTCTAGTCAATTTCCTTTGGAGAGCTCTTAAGGAAATCAAATACTTAAAAGATGCAGTATGGTGTGTTCCTCCTTTTCAATGAATAAAGTGTTATAGACACTGAAGTTAAATTTGTATCTAGTGAAATATTTATGTGGAGGGTGCAATTAAAAATGAGTTAACCAAGCTGAGCATTTGGTCTGGCAGTTCAGATGCCAGTCGGGACGCTTGTGTTCCACATTCCTGTACCGAAGTTCACTGCCTGTTGCTGGCTTCTGATTCTGTTTTGCTGGAGTAGACTCGAGGAGGTAGTAGTGATGGCTGAAGCAGTTGAATTCCTGCAGCCCACGTGGGGGACCTGGGTTGAGTTATTGGCTTTTGACTGTCCTTTGGTTTTGACTGACCCCAGGTTGCCTGTGCAACAAGCATTTGGCAAGTGAAACCATTAGATCTTCCTCTCCCTCTCTCTGTTATTTGTAAAATCTGTTGCAGAATTTAAGTATCAGTTCTTTTGTGAACAGCATTTGCTGGACAAGCTGTGCAAAGAAATTGAGAAGGATCTGCGCCTTTCTGTGCACACTCACCTGAAGCTGGATGACCGGAACCCTTTCAAAGTCGGCATGAAAGACCTGGCCCTCTTCTTCTCTCTAAATCCCATTCGATTTTTCAATCGTTTCATTGACATTCGAGGTAAGCAATCTGCTTGCTTGCTAACATAGTGGTATTCTAGGTCTTTCTACCCTGTTCAAGAACAAATAAAACCTTGAGTGGATCTTTTTTTATGTGTTAATGTATTTTTTATTTCTTGTCTCTTTTATTCCTAGCACCTTATTTTAAAGGAAGAAATTTGATGTTCAAAGACGAAAGTCCTTGTTTTTTCCTTTTTGGTTTTATATCTTTTCTATTTCATGAGTTGAAACTTTGGATTTCTTGTTTTGTTTTTGTAGCCTATGTAACCCACTACCTAGACAAGACTTTCTACAATCTAACGACAGTAGCTCTTCATGACTGGGCCACGTACAGTGAGATGAGGAACTTGGCTACTCAGCGCTATGGGTTGGTTATGACAGAGGCGCATCTTCCTAGTCAGACCTTGGAACAGGTGTAGTATAACATGCTTCTGGCAGAGTCTGACTCTAGCATAATGGGATTTCTTTAGGATTTTTTTTTTTAAGTTTAGTATGTGTGTTTATTTAGAGAAGAAAGCATGCTTCAAGAAGTTTGTCGGAAAAAGTTAAGATGTAATTTTACTTTGTTCTCCAAAAATTGCTCTGTGTGTGTGTGTGTGTGTGTGTTTTAATATTTTATGTTTTGATTAGTTTGTCAGCTTCATTGTGATTTGTAGATACAATTTTAAGAAACTATAATGCCCTTCTTTCCTCCATCCCAATCTCCCTTGGTCTCCCTTTCTGACTTTTTTGGTTTTTGAGATAACTTTCATTAAATTTATATTACAATAAAAACACCTGATACTTCACTAAATAAGTTTTACCATGTCAAAAGCAAAAAGAATGTAATTTTGTGGAATATATTCAACAGCTATAAACAATAATTGACTGGAAAAATGACCATTTCACTCATGCAGTAAATTTTGTAGTAATTAAAATAACCTTTTGTGTATGTAATTTTATATGTAGCTTTTCAGAAGCGTAAGGTATTAGTGACTTGTACAGTTGTGGAAAGTTGAGTCAGGGTTACAGCTTAAACTGTATTATTGTCAACTTAGTATGTAATTTTGCTAAATATATAAACTTAATGTCTTGGAAATAGGATCAGTTTATATGATTAGAAATGTGTTTGGCCTCAGAGTGAGGAATGCAAAAAATCATTTGGCTTTGCTAATTCAGTTAGCCAGTTTATGATAGTCTCTAGGTGTAGCAGTGTGTTCAGACTCGATTTGCTTGGAATTCTGAAATAATCCATGTTATATTCATCCGGAAACACCATGTCAGACCCAAAGTTTTCCTTCATCCTGCTGCTCGCAGGGATTGTATCTGGGATCAGTTTGTGTAGACTTCCACTCAATTATTTATACACATAATGTTTGTTGAAAACATGCTTTGCATTTGGCTGTCTGGAGATACAAAATTAAATTGGAACGGTCCAAGTCATGCATTCCTAGTCTTAATGGAAGGAAAAGAAAATATGTAAATTAATGCTTAGATTGAACATGGTAAAAGCTTATACAGACTTGGAAGAGCCATTGTGTTGCTACTTTGACCTCAATTTGACAATCAATGGAAGAATTTATGATACTACTGTGAGCTAGTTTCGGAAAAATAGAGGATTCTTAGTAGAAAACACATACATTAAAACTGGCATCTATCTGGACATTGGTTTGTGTCCCAACTGCTCTACTTTTGCTCCAACTGCCTGCTTATGGCCTGGGAAAGCATTAAAGGATGGCCCATAGCCTTGGGACCTTTCATCCACATGGGAGACTCAGTGAGGCTCCTGGCTTTTGGTTTCAGATTAGCTCAGCTCCAGCTTTTGCGTGCAGTTGAGGAGTGAACCAGCAGATAGAAGATCTTTTTTTTTCTTAAAGATTTATTTTGACTTTTATTGGAGAGGCAGATTTACAGAAAGAAGGAGATATATAGAGAAAGATCTTCCATCCGCTGCTTCACTTTCTAAGTGACCAGCATTGAGCTGATCCGAAGCTAGGAACTAGGAGCTTCATCCAGATCTCCCATGCCGGTTTAAGATCCCAAGGCTTGGGGCCATCCTCTACTGCTTTCCCAGGCCAGGCAGGGCGCTAGAAAAGAAGTGGAGCAGCAGGAACACGAACCTGTGCCCATATGGAATCCTGGTGCATGTATGGTAAGGATTTAGCAACTGAGCCATTGCACTGGGGCTGGAAGATCTGTTTCTCTCTAAATCTGCCTTTCCAATAAAAATAGATTTTTTAAAACTGATATGACCAAAAGATTGATAAAAAAAAATTTTGAAATTAGAGTTTCTAAAACAATAGGGTTCTGCACTTTCTTGGCCATTTCCTCTTAAAGAGCTCCCTTAGTTTCATTTTTCTCACCTGTGGAATTTAGAAGGCTAATATACTTCATTTGTTGAAAATTATATATAAAATTATATATAAAGAACTCTACATAATGCCTAAAAAATATTATGTGTGTTTTGTAGGTGTCATACACATTCTGACTGTTAAAATCTGACCATTAATGTTCTTAGAATGTTTGGGATAACTTTTGTATGGCTTTTAAAAATAAACAGAAATATTGTAATCAATACAGTGATGGCAAGTTTTACTGACTAATAGTAATAGAACTTCTGTGTGAATTATGTTTTAGGGCCTAGACGTTTTGGAAATTATGCGAAACATTCACATATTTGTATCTCGATACCTCTACAATCTGAACAATCAGGTGAGTGATTTTAGACTTGTTCTTAAATGAGAGCGAATTTCTTAGAAGATTGAAGGACAAGGGATTGGTTATTAAGGGCGGAAATTAATAAGATTAAAAAATCATTGCATAGACATCTTGTTTGCTTGAATTGTACTGTCTTCATATGACTTTTCAAGTAAATTATTTTTATTGAAATGTATTCTGACGTCTTAAGTGTCTGACCAGTTTACCGTTGGTTATGTTGCTACTGAGAATATACTCATTTCATTGCAGATTTTTATTGAACGAACAAGCAATAATAAACATTTGAATACGATTAACATTCGCCATATTGCTAATTCAATTCGAACACATGGCACAGGAATCATGAATACAACAGTAAGAACTTTTTGTGGGGTTTGGGAGGGTGATGGGCCTCTGTTGAAGTTGAGTGTAGTAGTTTGGAAGGTCTCATGGGATAGCTTAGCAAATCGACTGCTTGACGTGATGCAGAGTGCCCGGCACTGCAGTTGGGCTGGATGAGATGAGGACAATGAGTCACCTGGTTCACCACCCAACACTGCGCATGAAGACGTCAGAGTGTTGTATCTGGTTGAGGCTCTGGCTGCTTTTTGAAAGCAATTAGTGTCATATACTTTATTGGGGAGAGGCCTAATGATTTGACATCCATAGAAGTGGAGCTTCCTAAAAATATTTTGAATATTTTTGGAAATAAACATTCAGATTTAGTCTCCTGAGGGAATGACTGGCCCTTGTTTATTGTTTTTCTGTCTCTGAAGAAAGACAAGTTTGAATTTACATGGTCTTGGAGCACACTTTCTCCTTGAGGGGAAAAGAATGTGTATTGCTAACCAGTGAATTTTTATGAAATTTTATGGGTAGAGTGAAGGAATATAGGAATAAGATGAAGAAGCCGAGTTTAGATCTTAGCATACAGTGGTAAAGACTGACGTTTTTCAGCTGATAATGATTTGTTTGGAGTGATATTTTAGTTATTACCAATATTGAGATGAGATACTGATAACATTTAAAATAGTCAACTCTTTGAGATCTTGTCTGAACCTTGAGGATGAATGGACTCTGAAGCTCTGTGACCTACCGAGCCCCCGTAGCAGAAAAGGGCATCTTGTGAGTCTTAGCACTGTATGGGGCACAGGCATGAAAGAAACAGACATTTCCTGCCTCACGGTGATTACGAGGATGTAGATGTCAGGTAATCACGTCGGTGAGTGTAGGTTACAGTAGCTGCTGCTCATAAAGCAAGCAGAGGAGGATGTGCACCCACCATTGACAGGGAAGACTTCAAATGAGAAAAGCAGAAAAGGAGCAGAAAGTACATGCTCAATTTAAAGAAAACACCCATTGCTGCACCTGGGTAAATGAAGACTGAGTAAGAACATGAATGAGGGCAAAGCCACTGGTGATAGTTGAGAATGGTAGCAGTGAAGGTGAGGACAGGGCTTCAGTCTGTGGGACATAATTGATCTGTGCTATGGGATTGCCATCTGTGCTCAAATCGAACATTGCCACGCATTTCCAAGCCAGGGCAGGACCATTTGCTGTTCATTCTTAAAGCACCCACATTTCTGACTTTAGAGATGGGACTTGTTTGGGATGCTTGTTACCCCTGATAGAATGTAAACTTAGGATAAGGACCATGTGTAGCATGAAAGCAGTTACATTGTAAGAGGCATTTAAAGTCTAATGTGAATTTATATATTATTCAGTAACATTGACTTGAAATTAATGTGTTTTAACTTTTTTCAATGTTTTGAATTTTAATTTATAGGTTAATTTCACCTACCAGTTTTTGAAAAAGAAGTTTTATATATTTAGCCAATTTATGTATGATGAACATATCAAATCCAGATTGATTAAAGATATTCGGTTTTTTAGGGAAATTAAGGATCAAAATGATCACAAGGTATGCCACCTATTTCTATAAGGGTTCAGTTGCTGGTTGTATGGCAGACGGTTATGCTAAAGCTCAGTTTTTATTTATCCTTTGGAGTTTTGGTTTCCTTCTTCATTCTTTTAGCTAACACCTGCATCTAGTTTCTGAGCTCCTTAAATTTTCCTTGAGACTTTCCTAGTCTTTGCGTTCTCCACAGGCAGCAGTGTAAGGAGGTGTCTGATTAAGTGACCAGTGTAATCATTTATTTTAAAATAATACAGACACTCATTTTGAAACAAGTTAAACAGTCTGAAACACAGAAAGTAAATAATCTTTCTCATTTTTCTTTCCTCCCGATTCCAGTGTTTGGAAGTAGTTGCCGTTCCCAAGTTAATAACATGTTGTTAAGATATGTTTGTGTGTATTTAAACATATGTGTTGCCTTTTAACAGTAAAAATCAGTAATTAATACATACCGTTTTGCAGAGTGCTCATCACATATCAATATATATAGATCTACCATTTTTTAGGATCAGTAGTATAGATGTAACATAATTGTATCCTGTTGACCAGTATTTAGATTTTTCACTGTTATAAACAGTGCCACAGGTGACATCATTACACATGTGTTTATGTAATTGGATACTATTTCTTAAAAATTGAGAAACTTCTTGGTCAAAGAATGAGTATTTTAAATTCTGGTGGACATTGCCATATATATTTTGCAGAACTATTGCCATGCCATGCCATATTGCGAAAAACATTGCCCGGTTGACAGTGCCACCAATAATTTATTAAGGATGCTGCTTTCCAGTTTACCTTTTCTGGGTTGAGCTTTTCCATAGTAAAGTGAAGAGTTTATTGAATTAAACAAAGCCATGTGGGTGGAGAAGTACCAGGCTTAAATGATGCCATGCATAGAACTTCTTTAGATCGTCCAGTTAGAGTCCTTTCATGTAATTGATCGTTCTCTTCACTTTCAAGGTGGCAAAATAATAAAACTACAGGTTACAAATGTCAGTAGAGAATTGTTACCAGCTATTTCATTTTTCTTAGAACAGGAACTGCTAGTGTCCGAGATCAGTAACCATGCTAGAGCGTCAGAATTGCTTGCTTTTGTTATTACTATCAATGGGATGATTTCCCAAATCTCTTCATTAACCAAGAGTAGAAAAAGTCATTTTTTTAGGTCCTGGCACAATAGCCTGGTGGCTAAATCCTCACCTTGCATGTGCTGGGATCCATATGAGTGCTGGCTCATATCCTGGCTGCTCTGCTTCCCTTCCAGCTCCCTGCTTGTGGCCTGGGAAAGCAGTGGAGGACGGCCCAAAGCCTTGGGACCCTGTTCCCATGTGGAACCAAGGAAGATGCTCCTTGCTTCTGTCTTCGGGTCTTTGGGTCGGCTCAGCTCCAGCTGTTGCGGCCACTTAGTGAACGAACCAGCAGATCAAAGATATTTCTCTCTGTCTCTCCTTCTCTCTATATCTGACTAAAAAAGTCATTATTCCCTTTAGCTAATGTCACAAAGCAAATTATATTGACCCTGAATATTAATGGTTTTGTCCTCTTTAAAGTGAAATACAGAAGTACTTAAGCAGAGTGATAATGGCATTGTTGATTTAGTAGACTGTTTATGCTTTAAGGGCCCTTCTCAACGATTAAATTTTTGTCTTTAGTATCCTTTTGACAGAGCAGAAAAGTTCAACCGAGGCATCAGGAAACTTGGCATAACACCAGAGGGGCAGAGTTACCTTGATCAGTTCCGACAGCTCATCAGCCAAATTGGTAAGTGATGATGGTGTTGAGAACAAAGCACCAGTGCCAGGGACCTCCCACACAGTAAACATGGTCTCCAGTGTGCGTGTTACACGTGTCATACCTGGGACATTCTTTATTTTATGAATTGCTCAGCTTCTTACCGCCAGAACTAAAGGATGATTAGATTGTTGCCACAGAAGTAATCAAAGACTGTAGACTAATTTAAATAAATAAAAAATTTTCATGTAAAAGTACATTTAGCAACTCATCTCAAAGAACATATTCATGTTTGTCAGCTTGTAACTACTGCCCTGCTCTGATAACTCACTCTTCTGGACTTTTAAAAAGAGATTCTTTGAAGTTGCAACCTACATGTAAAAGTGTAAAATATTTAAATGAAAAGTTAGTTAAGTTGCATATATAAGATAGAGTTAAAACATGAAATGTCTTTTTTGTTTGCTACACTATTTCGTACTTGTGCACATAGCTTAAGTTCAGACCATTGTCTTCAGCAAAGCAGCAAGGTGTATTTAAAAGCAAGTAAGGGCAGGTATTTAACCTGGTGATGGAGACGCCCATATGCAGTGGCCGAGTCGGTACTCAGCTTTGGCTCCTGGCTACAGCTTTCTGCCAGTGCAGACCAGGGCAGGCAGTGGTGATGGTTCTGGCCACTGGTCCTGTCCTCCATGTGGACGGAGCTTTTGCTGTGTGGCCCAGGCTAGTTCCTCTGCCTTTGTTGCCAAGGCTGGTCATGGAGAAGGAAACAGCAGATGAAGAAGATCTCTTTCTGTCTCAGATTAAAAAGAAAATTTACAAATTAATCAAGAAAAATAGTTGAAAATAATTAACATCTTATACTCTCTTGAGTTTTTTTTTAATGTATTTTATCTGTAACCCTGTGAGATAGACATTGTGACCATTTTGAAAATGCAGAAACTCGGAGAATTAACCGGTATTGCTTAGATTTAATCTGAAGTGATTTGACTTCTAAATCCAAAGATGTTCTGTATTCTGCAGTTTATATTAACTCACAACAAGCAGGTGGCATGAATTACCATGTTTTGAGAAAAATTCATGAATTGAATGTGTACTGAGCCAGATCTCGTAGGTGCCAGGTTGCAAGCAGCCTTTGCTCGCATGGGCCTGGAGTAGACTGGCAGGGAAGACACTGCAAGCGTTGAGTTACGGGGAAAGCCACTGATTGACAGCTTGTGTTCTGTGCATTCATTGATTGGCTTGTTAGATGGTTCTGTTGGAATACAAAGGAGAATCTGTGACTTTCCAATTTTGAGCCATTTAATATGAGATATTGCTGAAATCAGTGTGTTCTTTTCCAAGGATACATCTAATATATTAGATGTCGGCCCCCCGTTTGAAAATCTAATGAAATGTGAGTTTACTCCCCAGAACTAATGCTCCTAAGCACGGATAACTGTGGCACACGCGTGCGTCCACCCAGGGCCTGCGTCCACCCAGGGCCTGCGTCCACCCAGGGCCTGCGGCCGAGGGCTCAGGGCAGCCCTTCCACAGCCTGTGACTCCAAGTATATTTGCATACTACTGTCAGATGTTTTTTGTTTGTTTTCACATGGCTATTGCCTTAGTGTTACTCCCTATTTATGATAAAAGAATATGCTTTTATCCCAAGAACCAGCCTGTGTTGCACAGGCTCTAATGTCTGCATGCCTCCCATGTAATGTCACCTTCACACCGCAAGGGTGTATCCACAATCCAGCTGCCTGAGCACTTCACTTTGTTCCAGTATTTTCACTGCTGAAAAAGGAACCAGTATTTATTGAGCATGTACTAAGTACCATGAGTTTATATGGTTTTTAACTGGGGAAACTTCTCCCAGCATCATAAAGTGTAATTCCATTCATTCATTGATTCCATAGCTCTTTATTTAAGACAACAACTATCCCTAGGTGCTGGTGGTACATGTGACAATAAATAAAGACCATGTTCTAATTATTACATTAGAGCCAGTGTAACAGGTGAGGAGTCTGACACGCTGACCCACATAGTTGCATGTAGGCCTTACAGGTAACAAGTGGCCTAGAGTCGGAATATGAACACAGGTAGTGTATCTTCATTCTTAATTATGTTCTAAATTAGCCTCTCATGGTTTAATCAGCTGGACATTGGTTTGACAGTTTAGAGGATAACAGTGAAACTAGGTACTTTTTTCTCAGATTTTAATGTCGTCTATGATATTCACATAGGACCTTAAAATAGATTTAGTGATGGGCCCGGTGCAGTAGCTTAGCATCTAAAGTCCTTGCCTTGCTCATACCTGGATGCCGTATGGGCTCTAATCCCAGCAGCCTGGCTTCCCATCCAGCTCCCTGCTTGTGGCTGGGAAAGCAGTGGAGGACGGGCCAAAACCTTGGGATCCTGCACCTGTGTGGGAGACCTGGAAGAAGCTTCTGGCTCCTGGTTTTGGATCGGGTTAGTTCTGGCCATTGCGATCATTTGGGAAGTGAGTCAACAGATGGAAGATCTTCCCCTCTGTCTCTCCTCCTCTCTGTATATCTGACTTTCCAATAAAATTAAAAAAAAAATAGATTCAGTGATACTTGCTTTGTGGGGCTAATGTGAGAAGATGCTACTGTAGTGACTGTGAAATGGTAGCTGCTGCTGGTTTTTGTCTGTACTCTCCCTGGGTAATCTCCAGGCTGCTCAGTTACATGTTGAATTCCTGTGTTCTGACACATGTTGGCGGTAGTGATGGAGCACGAAAACAGTCAAAAGCTCTGCTGAGAGAGATCGTGCACTCCAGAAGAGGGAGGTGGGGCAGTGAGCGCCGGATGCCATGGGGTCTGGGCAGTGCTGGGCAGTGAGGTTCAGGGAAACTTGTCAGGAGATGGTGTTTGACTAGGGACCTAAGTCATATGAAGGAACAAGCCAGGAACATATTCAGGAAAAGAGTACAGACACAGGTGACAATAATTACAGAAGTCCTTAGTCTGCCTAGTATTACTGAGGAACAAGGGGCCAGTTGGAGCTTGTGAAGACCTAAGTGGTAGAATGTGCCATCAGAGCAGGCTTAGCGTGAACACATCAAGACTGCATTTTATGAAATGGAAAACCATCATGGAGTTTGAGGAAAGGTGGGGTGTGCTCCAACTCAAATCTGTAAAGAATCACTTTCTGCTATGTGAATAAAAGATGGGAGGATGTGGCTGGATGCTGACGGTGGAAGCAGGGAAGTCAAGAGACCACTAGGAAACACACTGTTGGTCTGGGCCCATCACTGGATACTGGACACAGTGGTGATGACTTGAAATGTGGGGTGTCTGTGAAATGTGGGGAAGTTGGTGGATTCTGGCTGGTTTGTCAAAGCAGAAGCAACATAATCTGTCCACTGATTGTGATAAAGTGTGATAGAAAGGAGTAAGGGATGACTTTCAGATGGTCTGAGGAACAGGAAACATAGAATCGCTGATTTCTGAGATGGGAAATAGGATTAGGGTTAGTTTGACTTTGACCTAGGAAGTTTAATAAACACGGAATAAAAAAGCCTGGGGTTCAGGAGAGGACTCCAGGCTAGACACACAGGTTTGGGAGGTTGGAGTGAGGCTTTCTTGATGCCACTTTGAGTTGTGTGGGCAGGGACAAGGAAGGGGCGGAGGGAAGGCTGATTCTCCCTGTGAGTGAGGAAGTTAAGTATAATTTTAAAAATTTAATCACTTTAGTGTAAACATTTAGTGGATTCAGCGAATCAATTGAAACAGGTATTTTTCTATTTATCATAGATGTGTATAAGAGTGTATTTTAAATATAGAAATATATAACCATTTTACTTTTTATGGAAGAACTGAAGTAAAATATAGCAGAATATTTTGACTCTTAGGAGTGGAAAGCTTGTATGTGACCTATATATAGCTATTCCTGCTTATTTGAGTTTAGAGTTATTTATATAAAGATTTGACTTTTTGTGTGTGATTTTTAAGGTAATGCAATGGGCTATGTGCGAATGATAAGATCCGGTGGCCTTCATTGTAGCAGCAATGCCATTAGGTATGAATGCAAACATCATTTTTGCCTTTAAAAATTGTACCATTTAAATCTATGTTATAAATGATATGCTAGAAAAGGTGTTTGTACCTGTTGATGTGTTTTGAAATAGAACATGGAAGAAAACCATTAATTGTACTAGTTGTAGTTTTCCTGTTAAATTTTACAACTACAGTAGACTTGAATATTTATTCCTCTTAAGGTAAGGCTTAACTTATTAGTATAAAGATGGGCATGATTTTAAGGAATAAAATTTAATTATCCATTTCTAAAATTTAACTTCAGAATTAAGAACATTGCCAAAATGCAAAGTTGATTTCTGAATATGTAGTTGGATGTTTATGAGTTCTGCAGTGCCACTTCTGCATATGTCAGTTGCATATACTTTACACGTCATAATTAATTCTCTTCCAAATTCTTGTATAGATTTGTTCCTGATCTGGAAGATATTGTAAATTTTGAAGAACTAGTAAAAGAAGAAGGCCTTGCGGATGAAACACTGAAAGCAGCAAGGTAATATAATTATGGAATAATTTAGAAATTCAAAACATTAGAATAAAGATATAAAGAGGAAGACTAGAGGGTAAGTATAACTTATATACTAGTATTTTATGAATTATGGTTTTGATAAATGTATTGGGTTCTGTAAAAAAGGCTTTATATTCCAAGATCTTTGTTTTTCTCTGTACTGCTGAAGGGGTCCTTTAAAATAACATGCTGCCCATTACGGCAGCCGTGAGCCACGTACTTGATCACCTGAAACGTTGCTAGTCCAAATAGCTTATCCTGAAGATTTAGTGTAAGGAAAAGAATGCCAAGTTGTGAAACTCAGCCTGTTTTTTCTTGCTTCTTCACATATTCCTGTTCCCCGGTAGCACCCCAGAGTGCCAGTTCTTGCTCTCATGCTGTCTAGAACAGCGCTACCCAACCCAGTAACCGCTGCCACATGCTGTCTAGAACAGCACTGCCCAACACAGTAACCACTGCCACATGCCACTGTTGGGCACTTACAGTAGGGTGAATGGCCTTGGCGAGCTGAATTTTAAGTTTTATTTCACTCTGATTTAAATCTAACTAGTCACTGTGTGGTTGGATAGTTTGGATCTGCCATCTTGGTCAGTGGTTTTTGTAATATAAAACTTGAAAAAGGCATGTGGGATTGGTGAAATTTGTCTAGTGAGCTGTGGATTTTATTTTTAGTAATTATAACAGTTGATTGAGTTAATTATGAAGGATCATTCCTTGACAGAGTGGGACACTTTGAATATCAAAAAAAATAACGGTGGTGGCCAGCACTGCTGAGGAGCAGGTTGTCTGCCTGGGACATACGTGTACTAGTTTGAGACTCAGCTGCTTGCAATCCAGCTTCCTGCTAAGGGCCTGGGAAAGTATCCAAAGGTGGCCCAAGTGCCTGGGTCCCTGCACATACACAGGGACCAGAAGAAGCTGCAGACACCTAGCTTTGGCTTGGTCCTGCCCCAGCTATTGCAGTCATTTGGGGAATGAAGTAGTGAATGGAAAATGTCTCTGTCCCTCCTCCTATTTCTGTAACTGTGCCTTTAAAATAATTAAAAAAAAAAATAATGGTGTAACTGGGTGATGATACATTCAATAAACAAAAAAACTCCATGAGTCAGTGGCAAGCAGCAGAGGTTGGAGGAGAATCAGAGATCCCTTTTACAGAAGAATGCCAACTGCTAAATGTAGAAGAGATGAGAAATTTGGTGGGTGTGGAGGGGACATCACTGTCTTGAAACCACAACTATAATGCTTTTAAACATTGAGTGAGACTGTTTTTCCAGAACATTCATTCAGAAAATTATACCACTAAACTGCATTCATCACAGAGGGGAAATTGGCTTCACAATAGAAGGGAGAGAGGAATTCCTTGACAAGTAGTCTGGTAGACCATCATTAATAATGGCACGTTGACATTCTGGCCTCTAATGCGATGTAATGGCAAGTGTCTGGTGTATATTCTTGCCGGAAATGCCTACTCTGAATTTATTACAAAAAAAAAAAACAATCCTAGAAACCTAAAATGTGGGTCCTTCTGTGAAACAGCTGCTAGACTCTTAAGAAACGTCAAATGTTACGAAAGTCAAAAAGACAAGGAGAATGAGGAGAACTGACGAGCACCTGTAGTGGGTGATGCCTCATCACAGTCCAGGAGGGGTGGGTGTTGAGGCCAAGACAAAGCTATAAATGGCATGTAGGGATGAAGTGGGAAAGACTTGGATGGACTGTGTGTTAGATATAGTTCTGTACCTCATTGTTAGTGCAATAATGTGTCTGTGGGAAAGCGCCGTTCTTGTTAGACTCATGCCAGGGTATGTGCCAAGTGACATGAGGTCAACAACTTTGCCCATTGTTAGCTGGGCAAATCCACTCTAAGAATTACAGGTGTTCATGATCGTATATTTTTGATAGGCTTGGTTTTTTTTTGAAATAAAATATTGTACAGGGTAATATGTTTACATTTTTGTGAGAATAAAGCCCCCAGCACGTAAGTTTTGCTCTGGGATATCCTATTAGGTAGCCTGATTATTTACCTCGTTGCCAAAGCCATGGTTTATGGCTTGCATATCAAAGGAAGAAAACTGGGCCTTTACTTATTATTATTTGTAAGATCTATTTATTCTTATCGAAAAGTCAGATTTACAGAGAGGAGAGACAGATTTTCGTGTGCTGGTTCACACCCCAAGTGACCGCAGCACCTGGGAGCCAGGAACCATCTCTGGGTCACCCATGTGGGTGCAGGGTCCCAAGGCTATGGGCTGTCCTCGACTGCTTTCCCAGGCCACAAACATGGAGCTGGATGGGAAGTGGAGCGGCTGGGATTAGAACCAGTGTGTATATGGGATCCCAGCGCATTCAAGGTGAGGATTTAGCCACTAGGCTATCGTGCTAGACCAGGGCCTTTACTTCTTAGGGATGGTTGTCATTTTCTACAAAGTTCGTGACCATTTAAGCAAGATTTGAAACAGCCTAAGGAAATCAGAGAATCCCAAAGGATTCATAGACAACGAGACATTTTCTTTCAGGATTTCCATGCTAAAGCTAATTGCGAAGCCCAGATCTGTGCAGGAGTGAATAAGTGAAGGAGGAAGTGTCACCACAGGTGAAGTCAGGGAGTTGTGGGATTGTGACAGTGATGAGTTTGTCCATGTAGGGATGGACAGCCTTTTTTCTGTTGGCCATTTGGATGTATTTATAACATTTGCCGGGCCCAGCGTGATGGCACAAGTGGTTAAAGGTCCTCGCCTTGCACGCCCGGGATCCCACATGAGCGCCAGTTCTATCCCAGCAGCCCCGCTTCCCTTCCAGCTCCCTGCCTGTGGCCCAGGAAAGCAGTCGAGGACGGCCCAAAGCTTTGGGATCCTGTACCCGTGTGGGAGACCCGAAAGAGGCTCCTGGCTATGGATCGGCATAGCATCGGCCATTGCGCTCACTTGGGGAGTGAATCATCGGACGGAAGATCTTCCTCTCTGTCTCTCCTCTCTGTATGTCCGCCTTTCCAATAAAAAAATAATAAAAATAAATCTTTTAAAAAAAAAACATTTGCAGTGCATACAATGATCCATTTGAAGAGTAGTCTGCTATGGCCGTTGTTGTGGTACAGTATGTTAAGCTTCTGTCGTGAGACGCAGGTAGCCCATATTAGAACAATGGTTCAAGTTCTACTGGGACCTCCAGTCCAACTCCCTGTTAATATACCTGGATAGCAGTGGGAAGTAGCTCAAGTGTGTGGCCCTTGCTACCCTCGAGCCATTGAGAGAGAACAGGGTAATGTTACTGGCTCGTGGCTTTGACTTGGCTCAACCCTGGTTGCCCTGGGCATTTGGGCAGTGTACCAAATTCTGCCTCACAAGTCTGCCTTTCAAGTTAAAAAGAATTTGTTTTTCAGTTAACGTGGTGCAGATGTATTGAATTTTTAGTCCCACCTGCGGTTGTGTTAGCCAGATCAGATGATTTTGTGGGCCTTGTATGGCCCAAGAGTCAGACATCCCCACCCTGTGACATAGACATTGGAAGAGAATTGAGTGATCCTGGTGTGAACTGATAAAATGTGGGTGGTCTAAAAGGTTGGTAGAAGTCTGCTTTGAGGAAAAGGTCGTTGGGTCATTGGATAAACAGTTTTTGAGTTAGGATTTATGACTTTTTAAAAAAACTGTGATAGTGCAATAAAGTATACTCTGATGATACTATACTTTGGATTTTGATATTTGTTCTTTTCCTCTGGCAGTGCCAGCAGTGGTACAGTGAGCTACGGCTCCCAGCCAGTGAGCAGCAGGGTAAAGCATGGCTAAGCTGTGATGTTCAGGGCCTGCTAAGGGTTGTCAGGCGGTGTAGTCAGCTTCTGAAAGGTGGAACTTGAGGCAGATTTGCTGGATGTCATCTCATCATGGGTTTAGGGGCATCTGCACTTGAATCATATTTCACTGTTAAAAGAGTAATAATTTCAAAGTGTGTATCTGTAACATGAAAGATTAAGGAGAAAAAGTTAAAATTTGAGAGAGAAGCTAGGTTCTTGCAAGTACCAGGTTTAAATTGGCGGAAGGTGGTATAAAAGCACTAGTGAAGAGCTTAAATTGGAGAACTAAAGTGAAGTGAGATACTCTAAGTTCATGGTGGGAAGAAATAAAGAACTCTGCTGAGTCCCAAGATACTCCACATACTCTGTTTTTGAAACTAGTTTTAAATAATATTGATTACTTTTTGTACATTAAAAAATGAATTCATTCTGAACTTAGAGATGCTCTCTAGCTTTCAAGCACACTTATCCAACCTAAGGAGAGATGGATTTCTAAAGCCATGTCTTCTGTTGAGAAAGGATCCCGATGCCTTTGCTTTCCTTTTTCCTTGTAGACATTTGGATTTAGTCCTAAGTGATCACACACGAAATTCTGCTGAAGGTACAGAATATTTCAAAATGCTTGTAGATGTTTTCGCTCCAGAATTTCGAAGACCAAAGAACATACATCTCCGAAACTTCTATATCATCGTTCCACCTCTGGTGAGCATGTTCAGAACCTAAAATGAATTTATTTTCCAAAGCAAGCATTGGTGACTAGATCTGGTTTCTTTATAAGTTGAAATGCACCGACTGTCGCTGACTGTGGCAGGTGAAAGTGCGTGTGATCTCCAGGACACAGCCTGTAGCCGCACTCATTAGTTACGCTGAGGGGATGTCGGGAGGATCTACCTGTTAGTGACTCCCAGAGGAAAGCTAGTCTTTTTATAACCATTGCTAAGTGGGTACTGTTGACACGTCTCAGAGGCATTGTTGGAAGAGAACTTGGTCAATCCCAGCAGTTAAATCCTTAATATTTTTTTCCTTATTAGAGGATATAGTGTTTTCTTTTCTAATCATATAATTACCACTTAAAATAATCTTAAGATGTAAAAGCAATTTTTCAAGTAGGTAAAATGGTAAAAAGGAGGTAATACTTTAGAGAGATATGTATTAAAAATAAGGATTATTTCTCCTTACTGTTTGTTGTTTCTGGTAGTAATTTTCTTTAAAATCTTAAGTGAACAGCTCTAAAATCTGAGTATCACCAAGCAGGTGTAGCTTTCGGCTGTGTCTAACTTTGTCAATACCGTTGTCTTAGCACATCTTCTTGTTTGTTGCAAGTATTACTCCCTGTTGAAGATAGCTAACAGTCTGTAGACAGGGTTTTTTCTTTGTGAATCTCCTGTTTCTTTTATACACTTAGTGTGATCATAATTATGATTTGTATTTTATTTATATTTATTTGTAATTTATATTCCAGCTATCATTAGCATAGAACTCCATATTCATTTTACCTTAAACTGGTGTTGCACTGTATGTGGCTGACTCAGGGTGAGGTTTCCCTGGCATCTGCCGGGCAAAGTGTGCCAGCCGTGGGAAACAGCCGTTAACCCTGCCTGGGGGAGTTTCGAGTCGGTGGCTTTGCTGGACAGCTGTCAGCGCGCAGTCAGTGAAGGAGAGACACAGTGGGTGAAGAGCACAGCACAGACACCTGGGACACTGTCCTGTGTGTGTGCAGTTCCAGAGAAAAAGGGCAAATGTAAATGAGGTGTCTGTGGAGGAATTACATAGCAATTAGTAATTTACTAATGTGTGATTCCATAGGCAGTACTATAAGCAAAGCTTATACCAGAAATGTTCAATAACTTAATGAGGAGTAACTAATCTTTTTTTTGTTTTTTCTCCCTACTCCCCAAGTAACTAATCTTTGTGTCCCACCTAGTAGGGTATATGTGAGTCCAAGCTGACTGCTTCCTATCTGTTCCAAGCTTTACTTATTGGCCTCTGCCTATCTGATCTAATTTTGGGGGGTTTCTGGAGTGACCCTGATGGTCATTGCAAGAGAAGGTGGGGATGCAAAGTTGGAACTAAGTAAGGACCAGAGCATACAGCTTTTTCAAAAGTGCCCTCGTTCCCCTGCGACCCCGAGAGGCTGACTGGGTGGAGTCAGAGTTGAATGCCTCTCAGCAATGGCTGTGCTTCGTGCTCAGGTGCTCACGCGCCTAGCACCTTACCGAGCAGGTCGGTGCTTGCTGCCAGCTGTGCTCTCTGTGAACTCTGGGTGGAAGTTAAGTACTTATTAATTCCTGGTATAGAGTTTTCCTTCAGTGAGTCTTTGATGAATAAGTCTTATTAGATGAAGAGTGATGGACGAGCTAAATTTTCCAGTGAAGTACTATTTTGAGGAGTCTACCCTTTAGCCAAAGGGCTACAGAAATAATTTTCTACTAGGAGCTTGATAAGAATAGTATTCTGAGCATGCCCTATATCCGGGACCTGGGGAGGGTGGGAAATTGGGTGGGCTTCTCCCTTAAATACCCCCCTTTGAATATGAAGCTAACAATATGGAAAACATACTAGTATCATCCACTTTCCTGTAGCCCTTGAACCTTCTTACCCTAATTAACTATGTAAAGAATGTCAAAATAAAATTTATTAATAAGAAAAAAAAAAGAATAGTATTCTAGAATGGTTTGAATAGGTGGAAGTAACCTGCTATGCATATTTTTTTTCTTTTAACATTTTTTTAGTAAGTTCATTTATTTGAAAGGCAGAAATAATCCTCCTTCCCCGTTTCACTCTACAAATGGCCACAAATGACCAGAGTGAGGTTAGTCTGAAGCTGGGATCTAGGAACTTCCTGGTTTCCCACATGCACGCAGGGGTCCCTGCACTTGGGCCTCCTCGGCTGCTTTCCCAGGCACATTAGCGGGAAGCTGGATCTCAAGTGGAGTGGAAGAACACAACTGGGGCTTTTGTGGAGCGGGCTGCACTGCAGTGTCAGCTCTCCGGGTGTGGGCTTGAGAGCATGCTGTGAAGTGAAGCAGGCCTGCTTTCTGAGGGGAGCACTCACTGGGTGTGCCACATTGGAAGAGATCTCACACCTCACAGGCCGCAGTGTCCACATCTCTAAAACACATGTCATGTTTTACAGTGAGGTACAAAAGCACTGCGCTTGGCTTAAGGAGTGACGAGGGCGTACCTGGATTTGAAGGACTCGAAAAGAAAAAGCTGTCAGGAGCCGTGGATGTTGGTGTGGACCGTTCACCTGGCTGTGTGTTTAAGAGCCAGGGCAGGAACTAGGAAGCACAACTGTTTATGGTTCTTGAAATACTTGTTTAAGGAACTAAATACTGGACATTGTCTTCAGTAGTTGTTTCTGTAATATCCTTGTTATATTTTTTAGACTCTCAACTTTGTAGAGCATTCCATTAGTTGCAAGGAGAAATTGAATAAAAAAAATAAAATTGGAGCTGCCTTTACTGATGATGGCTTTGCCATGGGTAAGCTTAATGGAATCATTTTCCCATTTTATATCAACTCTGCAGTAGAATCCTAGAAACATTTGCCTGAGAAGAGGCCTGTGTGTTCCTTATGGATGTTTTTTTCATGATTAGCATTCCTTGATTGTTGAGCCAGGCCATCTGAGTGAGTGTCCATGTTTCCCACCATTTGTAGTTGTTGTGGAATGTCCCTTTGGTGTTGCTAGTCACCTGTCTGGTTTGACCTAGTGCTTAGGATGTGCTGTGGCTGCTTAGGTATCTTGAACTTGACTTTACTTGTAGCATCTTCATTAACTATCTGGTTAGCAGTGGAAATGTTTTAGCCTACTGATTTGAAAGGCAAAATGACAAATTTTCCATCTGCTGGTTTGTTCCTCCAAGTGCCTTTCACAGTCACCCTGGGCCTACACAAGAAGGGAGCCTAGCACTCTGTCCAGACACCCCACGTCGCTGGCAGACATGCAGTTACATGGGCCTTTGGCCAGTGCATCTGCAGAAGCCAGATCAGAAGCTGGGCAGCAGGACTCAAGTGGGCGCTCTGATGCAGAATTCAGGCCTAAGAGCCGGTGGCTTTCCCACTAGGCCACAGAGCTTGACCCTGGAAGCTTTTATTCTCTGCGCTTCACAACAGTCTGCTTTCTCTCATGTAACATCTGTTCCAACAATATATTTTTTTGTGACCATGTTATTTATTCACTTAATTTGCTAAATTTGAATTTGTCTTTAGTTTTTTATACTTCTGCCTATTTTTCGAGGTGTTAAACCATTTTGCTAAACTTATTTATGTTGTAAAATATATTTGTATGAGAATTTATTCAAAGTGATTAACTTAGTGCTGGAAGTTATTTGTGAGGGGATGTAGTATACAATTTGTGTACATGTTGTAATTTAACTTTGGTTTACTGATGACCTCAGGTGTGGCTTACATTCTAAAGCTTTTGGATCAGTATCAGGAGTTCGACTCACTTCACTGGTTCCAGTCTGTCCGGGAGAAATACCTAAAGGAGATAAGAGCAGTTGCTAAGCAACAGAACGTGCAGTCGGCTAGTCAAGATGAAAAGCTGCTGCAAACCATGAACCTCACCCAGAAGCGACTGGACGTCTACCTACAGGTGAGGAGCAGGGTGGGCTCGCCTGCTCTGACTTCCTTTCTGACAGCCAGTCAGTTTTTTGGTATGTGAAAAACAGAAGCCATAGGGACAGCCCCTATTTTAACAAGTGATGAGATAAATCATGGTGGAAAGAATGCATTTCAGGATTCATGGTATTTGTAAGCCACTGGATTCAGATCTTAAGAGATCAGTTCTTTAGCTTCTGCGCTTGATTTCTCTTAAAGTTTTTTAAAGTAATAAAAAGACATTAAAATTTAGATATCTTTACCATTTTGACATACATTATTTTCAGCTTGTGCTTCCTTTTTGGTTTGTTTGTTTAGGAATTTGAGTTGCTTTATTTCTCACTGAGCAGCGCCAGGATTTTCTTCAGAGCAGACAAGACTGCAGCTGAAGAAAACCAGGAGAAGAAAGAAAAGGAAGGTTAGTAAATGGCTTCAACTTGGAGAAACCAAGAAATCTCTCTTTAGGAGTAGGCACCACTGTTCAACCTCTGGTCAGACTTCCGGCTTTCCTGTCCTTTCGGAGAATAATACAGGATGAAGTATAACAAAAAGGAAAGCCTGTGCTTAGATTACACGTGACACTGAAAATTCCAGAAAGCTTCATTGTTTATGCAGGTCACTCTGTCAATTCTTGACTCAGTTTCATCTTCTCATAATTTAAGTAAACTGAGCAAGATCAATTTTTTCCTTTCACTGCTCAGTTTCCATCTAGTTAGAGGGAGTGGATTAGGGGAGACAGAGCTGCTGGTGGTCACACATGGCAGAATGAGAGGGCGGCTGATTGGCGAGCACTGAGTCATCAGTGCTGCTGGGAGGTGTGGCTGGCAGCCTCCTGTTCCCTCCACAAGCAGGCCCTGTAGGACAGGGCAGCATGGCTAGGGCAACAGCTAGTCACCTCCGCTGGTTTGAGCCCCAAAGGAGAGGGTTGTACCTAAGCTCTTCTGTTCACAGTGGTTAGAAAGTCTTTTTAAAATTTTTTTAAATTTGGAAGGCAGACTTAGAGGGCCCAATGTGATGGATCAGTGGCCAAATCTTTGCCTAGCAAGCACCGGGATCCCATATGGGTGCTGGTTAATGTCCTGGCTGCTCCACTTTCCATCCCGCTTATGGCCTGGGAAAGCAGTGGCGAATCTGGCACCCATGTGGGAGACCCAGAAGAAGCTTCTGGCTCCTGGCATTGGATCAGCTCAGCTCCAGCCATTGCAGCCACTTGGGGAATGAACCAGTGGAGAGAAGATCTTTCTCTTTGTGTCTCTTTCTCTGTAAATCTGCCTTTCCAATAAAATAAGTAAGTAAATCTTTCATCAAAAAAAAGAAAAAAGGAGGGAAGGCAGAGCTAGAGGCAGAGAGATCTTCCATCTGCTTGACTCCTTAAAAGGCCGCCTGACCAGGGTTGGACCCTGCTGAAGCCAGGCGCTCTGACGGGGTCTCCTCTGTGCTTGGCCGTTACTTTCCCAGGTGGTTTAGCAAGGAGCTGAATCAGAAGTGAAGGAGCAGTAACTTGAATTGGGGCTTGTATGGGATCCTGGCCTCGCAGGTGGCTTTATGTGCTATGCCACAGTGCCTGTCCAGGTGGGGAAGTCAGTATATGCTTTCAGTGCTGTGAGCATTGCAGAGTATTTTATATTTAATATCTCCATGATGCACTGTTTCCAGATTTGACATATAGGACCAGCTGGGTTTTTTTTTTTTTTTTAAGATTTTATTTTTATTATTTTTTCATTGGAAAGGCAGATATACAGAGAGGAGAGACAGAGAGGAAGATCTTCCGTCCGATGATTCACTCCCCAACTGAGCGCAACGGGCCGATGCTCAGGAGCCTCTTCCGGGTCTCCCACTTGGGTGCAGGTTCCCAAAGCTTTGGGCCGTCCTCGACTGCTTTCCCAGGCCACAGGCAAGGAGCTGGAAGGGAAGCGGGGCTGCTGTGATTAGAACCGGCACCCATATGGGATCCCGGGCATGCAAGGCGAGGACCTTTAACCACTTGCGCCACCGCGCCGGGCCCAGGACCAGCTGTTTTTCCTGAGAAATAGATGGCTTCCCTTTTACTGTCATAGAAATGATGTAACTTAACATTTTTCTATTTACTTGAATGTAGCAACTAAGTGATGTTTATGTTTGCTGTCTTCCATTTTTCTTGTATTTCATTCTGTCACAGATGTCACTAAGTTCAAGTGGAAAGGGCTTTTTACTCTGGGCAAGCTTTTTCTACCAGTTTGGAACCATGTTTGGCAGTGCCCTGGGATGCTCGTGTTTGGCCTGGCTGGGGGAACAAACTTAGGGGAGAGTGCAGTCCTTGAGCCAAGCAAGCAGATTCCTCCAGAACACATCCCGCCTGTGTGTGGTGTGGCTTCACATCCACTGAGCTACACTGCTGGTATCCTTAACTCCATATGCCAGTTAAGAGTGCATTTTACCTGTCAACTTTACCTTTTTGCACTTCCTAACTATTTGTACCTTTCTCAATAAGATCTTGTGATGTAATTCATTAATCGGTCATCCACAAGAGACTAATCACCTGAGATTGCTGATGTCCCTTTTATCACTGTATTGATACCTCTCATAAGCAGTGATGTTCTAGTCTGTATCGTACTTTCATGGGTCACACCGGCATCTATTCCTACATGAAGATTCTTGACACTGTTTTTCACTGCCCTAGCGTCACATTGATATCTTTATTACATGCTGATTAATTCACGTGGATGAAAGTTCACTGTTTTTCTCCCCGTTGTGGACTGTGTACACTGGCTCTGTATTTAAGGGGATACGTAATGGAAGTATAGCGGAAACTGATATGTTCATAGGTATGCATACAATACAAGGATGGGGTCCCAGCGAGATGGCTGATAATGTCGGATAGATGTTGGACTCTGGTGGTAAGACGTGGTCCACGCTTACATTGTTGGGAGACACCTTACTGGCAGCATGATGGACGTTTGAAAGTCCACGAAAGACACCCATTGTAAAACTGGAGGGGGAGATCAGTGGGAAGGGAAGGGGCAGGGGAAACCCCAGTGCCTATCAAACCATGTCATAAAACAAAATAATAATTAAAAAAAATTTTAATTAAAAAGAAAGAGCCAATTAGTATGTTTGCAATGTTTGGCCTAGGCTGAAAAAAAAATAGATACAATTTATAATGTTGGGAAAGTATTTAACAGATGCAGCTTTGTCCTAACTTGAAATTTAGGAATACAAGTCTTCTCAAATTTTACTTACTAAAATTAATTTTTACAAATGAGAATAAATATGTCCATTGTTATTTTCACTCATGCTTCCAGAAGAAACTAAAGCAAGCAATGGAGAGCTGCCTGACAGCACCGTGTCCGGCGAGGTGGTGAAATGAGGCCGATGCCGTGCAGTGCCCACAGGAAATCATCAGAACCGCATTTGCACTTCTGCCAGTCGGACAGGGTTTATAAGCTATTGAATTCATTCCTGGGTCACATCGCTGGAAAATATTTAAGTATTGTTAACTCTTTAAAACAGAGCTCGAAAGTGAAGTCTGTTCTGTTTCACATGGCGCCATTTCCAAAGGTTGAGAATGGGATTTTAGAGTTAAATTTTTGCCTCAGGTTGAGGCTAGAAGATGTTTCCTGGGACAGTTATTCGACACGAAGTCATCAAAGGACAAATCCTGATTTCTAAACTGAGACCTCGGGTCTCACAATGTACATGCTACATGTTTGTAACTTGTGTTTGCCTGAGTCTGTGATCCATATTGGTCTCCGATCATTGGGAATTCAGTACATATACTATATACAGACAGTAAATACATATTCCAGAAAGGAACTGAGCTTGCAATTCATGTGGCGCATGTATCAGTAGCCCTAAAGGGACATTACAAAACTGATGTTGGTACTAGAAGTGACACACAGATGTTCCCTACCCTTTGTGTACAGTTTAACTGTTGGTCATCTGTGCATTGTTAACTTGATTTGACTTGCAAGAGCTGTTGGTGACTTCTGTGAGATGTGTTTATAACTGGTTTACAAAGCTTGGGGAACATCTGCCCTCCAACAGCTGCTTTCAGTTTAAGATTTTGTTCATATTCAAAATTCAGATAAAGCCATAGAGATTGCTTGAAGCTTTGCTTCTGGTTGGAGGAAGGTGCTCCGTGTGACAGGACAAGATGGAGCCAAGTGCTTCTACATGCACGCTCGGGCTGCTTCTGTGTTCAGCTGAATTAGAGCCGTGGTGAGGGCTTGGCAGATGTTTTTGTATCAAGTTTAATCTCAGACATTAGACTAAATAATAATTGTACTGTGCAGGCTCTTCTTCTCAGTAAAACTTAGCACAGTGAGAATAAAACTCTAATAAAATATATCACTTGCTAATTCACAAAATACAGAGATTTAGAATAATTCAGTTCCCAGCAAGCTACTAGCTTTATTTTTGTCAAGGTATGTTAGTTAATAATTAATGGTTCATTTTGACGTTTTTTTTTTTTTTACAGTTTAATAAATGATATCTTCACAGTGAAAAGTTGAAAAGTTCAATATGAGCATCATTTTGGAAAGTGTTTTTTTTTTTTTTTTAACTACACTTGATCTTAGCCAAAAGGCCGAGAAGCGATGGGAAGTGGGTTTTTGTTTTTGTTTGTTTTTTCCTATTGCATTTGCCTGCAAACATTGCTTTGGGTAAATCCTGTAAGAAGTTCTAACTTTGTTGGAATTCTTATGTTATTCTTTGACTTCAGCGTTGCCAGTGGGTACGCAGTGCCTTGTATGTACTTCCTGTTTGGGTTAATGTCTTTCAGCCTGAAACCAATCCTACTTTCATGTGAGAGATTTTTTTTTTATTGTGTCAACTTTGGTTACAGTTACTGGAAGTGAATGAATTAAATGCATTTAGTGTTCTTTACTAATTATAGAAATGGCCCTATAGCATGCTGCATAATTAATTTATATTTTAATTGCAATTGTTTATATTAATAATCTTACATTTGGATATATCAAAATAGTCATCTTTTCATAGCAACAGGATTGCTTTTTCAGTTTTTTGTTCCCTGAGTCGGGTTGCAAGTTGTGATTTAGCAGAGAATCACATGTTCCCTGCTCATTGTCCCCACACATGGAAATTGTTTTATTAATACTAGTGTTCACATGCTAACTCCCTGGTGTCTACAACTCAGAGAAAAGTGACAGATTATGTAACCTTTAGTAAAACTTAAGTGTCACTGTAGACTGTATTAACTATAGCTTCCTGTATTTGAAGTAAAATTTCTGAGACTATGAAGTTATTGAAGTTGTGTTAGTCTTCTCACAGGCCTCAGTGTGTCCGCGCTGCAGTGAATGTACCAGTCAGGGGGACGGCCTGCCTTCCCAACATACTCATGTTAACGCTTTTTTCAGACATTTTAATTTAAAAATTATGTGAACATTTGTTATAATCTCACAGAAAACAGGATGTTCAAATTCTCAGGAATCAGGAATGAACTGTAACATTGTAAAGGATGACAGATGTGTTGCCTCACCTGAGTGTGGCTTCCTCCCATCACTTCGGAGGCTACAATGTTTAATAAAACCTAATAAACACAAATTCCTTCCCTTGTATGGTTTATGTTCAAAATTGTGTTAAGGCTAGAGGTATCACCAGTATCCTTTTTGTCCTCTTTACTCAAATCTGTGGAGTCTCTTTCAAAATGTTTGCATGCACATGGGTCAGAACTTGGAGGTGTCAACCTGGGATTGGGTCCTGTCTGTGTATCCCAGATGAAGGACCTTATTTCCTCTATTTATGTCTTATCTCTGTTGCTGACTGTTTTCAAGTCAAGAGATCAGCATGGAGTTATTTTTAAATCCTAATCCCAGAAAACAATTCATAGTACAAAAAGTAACTGCAGTGCTGCGGGTGGGTGTTTGGGTGTTAAGGATGCTGAGTGGATGTCCCATATGGGAATGCCTGGTTCAGGTCCCAGCTGGACTTCCAATTACAGCTGGTGTGGACCCTGGGAGTGAATGTGCTTGGGTTCCTGCACCCCCACAGGAGACCTGGATGGAGTTCTTGGCTCTGCTTTGTCAGCCCTGACCTGGCCCGGCCGCTTAATGTGTAAACCACATTATGGGAGTTTACCTGCTCTCTGCCACTCAAGTAACTTTTTTAAAAAAGATTTATTTTTATTGGAAAGGCAGCTATACAAAGAAGAGAGGCAGAGAAGAAGATCTTCCTTGCTCACTTTCCAAGTGGCTGCAATGGCTGGTGCTGAGCCGATCCGAAGCCAGGTGCCAGGAGCCTCTTCTGGGTCTCCCACGTGGGTGCATGATGCCAAGGCCTTGGGCCATCCTCAACTACTTTCTCAGACCACAAGCAGGGAGCTGGATGGTAAGCGGAGCCACCAGGATTAGAACCAGCGCCCATATGGGATCCCAGTACATGCAAGGTGAGGACTTTTAGCTGTTAGGTTACCATACCGGGCCCCATTCAAGTAATTTTTTCAAAGAACTATGGTTGTACTCTGGCAACACCATTCTCTGCTAAGCTTGTGTGCGTTCTGTACTTTTAGAGTTCATGTATGAGTGAAATCTTGCAGAACTTGTCTTTCTGTGCCTGGATCATTTCACGCATTTCGGGCAACTTTGGTTCATTCCAGGTTGTCACAAATTAGGCTTTTTGTGGCTGGTTTGTACTCCAGTTACATTTTCTTTATCAATTCCTGTGCTGATACACTTAGGTTGTTGCCATTTCCTGGCTGTTGTGAGTGGTGCAGAAAACCTGGGAGTGATGAACGGGGTGGCAGGGCTGTTTGTGACTTTTGAGGAACCTCCCTGCTTTCTGATGGCAGCATCATAACCGAAGGAAGATGACACCTGCGATTTGTAATTTCTCACCTAGTGATGTTGAGCAACTTGATGAATCCGCTGTACATTTGTTTTGAGAAATGTCTATTTTGATCTGCTCATTTCTAAGCATATTTTCCTATAGGACCTAAGTGGTTTTCTCAGGCAAACAGCGGGATGGTAAATTATATAACTTGCAGGCTTATGAGGTTTTGTTTGTATAAAGCAGCTTGTACATGGACACATTTATAAATATTAGTTATTATATGTACCTTATTTCTACTCCCAGGTAGACATGCACTTGGCATGTGAATGTTGGCTGTTGTTCTATTTGATGGAATGTCTGGAATAGTGTTCCGTAGAGTGGCTCTTGCAGTTGGCCTATTTCTGCTTCTGAACTCGTATCTGTTAGTGGATGACCCATCTTTTGATCTCTACATCCTTTCAACTTATTCCTAACTGTAGGCTTTTCTGTGTATTCCGGGTATTTACTCATGGTCCTGTACTTGCTGGCACCTTTGTTTCTCTCCAGTGTTTTTTGATTACATCTGGTTCGGTACACTAAGCTTTGGTTCTTCATGTTTTCCTTAGGCTTTTCGTGTTTTGTGTCTCGTTACACCATGTGGTCTGTAACAGTGCTTTGGTGTTTCTACCTTGTAATTGTTTTAGACTCAACATCTTACCAGGACCATTTCTGACACTCTGGCTCTAGTGGCCTGTTGGAGAACCCGCTGGTCTAACACAGGTAATACACGTGTGTAAGGTAGACGCTGGGTGCTGGGCTCCTGTGCCGTGCGAGTCCCGCCTGGCTCAGCTCACGGCGGCTCTTCAGTTGATGATGGTTACAGGAGCGGGTGCTTCTCCTGGGCCCTGGGACACTGCCTGGCTTTGGATTTTCTATGTTTGTTTTAAATCTGCTGTTTTAAAGTAAGCAACACTTTAAACATTTTTGGTAATGGGATAACATTCTATTCATGTTGAACAGAAAAGTATTTATGGAACACTGATTTTAATTTTCTTCAAGGAATATTCTAGAAAAGAACCACAGCAAGACACAGAATGGCAATTTTTATTGGTAGGTTAAGTTATTACAAAGATAATGACATAATTGTCACTGAAACGGATTACAATGGGACATTGTACCAATTCACGATCATTCCACCTTCTGTAAGTAGAAGGGCTAGGGGAGTGGCGAGGCTTCTGGGAACCGAAAAAATCAGGCTGGAAATGGGAACTTTATTCCAAGTGCCACAAGCAGCTGTGCTTCAAGTGACTTCTAGAAGTAACTGGTCCCTTCTTAGAGAAGGGTCTGGCTCAGCAGAAACAGGAGCTGGCACAGCTGCCCTGGCACGGCGACCTGCCACCAACAACGGTCCTCTCTCCGGGACCGTGGCCTTGGGAATGCTGGTGTGGTGTGGCTCTACTGTGAAAGCAGCCAGCTGTGGGCACAGCTGCCAGTCCTGCCTGTGCATAACGTGTGCAAGGAACAGTTATCCGAGCTAGACCTGCATCTCAACCAGAGCTGGGGCCTGGCACGAGTGCACACAGCAGTGTCCCTCGGTCAGAGCAGAAGCTGGACGGTGAGGACAGTTTCGGAACGACAGGCACGTGAAGCTTGTTAAGTAAAGTACAAAAATAGATGATATTAATAGGAAATATTTAGTGCTTATCAAATTGTAAATCTAGACTTGCCATCTTCTAAAAAGGTCACTGGAAACGGAAAGGATGACATTCAGATAAAGTGAACAATGCATTTTGTAGAACTTTCTTTGAGTGCTGAACAATGCAATCTAAGGCCAGGACTCACCACGGAGCACCTAAAATAGCATTTGTAGATGGACAGCAGTGCCGCCGGCCACCTCTGGTGTCCCCTCGGCTCTCGGCACCGAGAGGCCATTCTGCCACCGATTGTCACATCCTGAACCCAGTCAGCGTGCCTGTGAGTCAGAGAAGTGCAGCCCTTAAGCATGGTGCCCTTGGCCGGGCACTCGCCCCACACGCGCAGGCGGCTAGGCTTCCGACTCGGCGCCTTGGTTCTCGTGTGGACTTCCGTCACTGTCGTCTTGCTGATCGTTTAATAGTACGTATTTCCCGTCATTGGTTAGTGGGACGGACAGCATTAGTTGAGCCAATGCCTCTGGGTCCTGAAGCTAGCAGCATTGAAGAGGGAAAGAAGAAAAGGCTTAAGATGTACTTGACCTCTGGGCTTGCTGTCACTACATTCTGTGTGCCTCGCGCTGGGTCTCCTTGCTGCTCTATTTCTTCTAGAATCTAGACTGTGGATTGCATAGCTCACTTAGAGTCACTTCCGGAAGACAGGCCACGGAGCGGAGTGGCTGTGATGGGAGGCCCTTTATGGAATGTGGGACCTCTGACCCGCACCTCTCGTACCTGCTGCACTTGGCGTCATTCATGAATTTGGTCACAGGCCTTGTTCTACCTGCTCACCCCAATAAGCTCAACTGTGTTCATTAGCCTATATTATTTAAATTAAAAAAATAAATGGAAAAATCCAGTTCGCAGGTCGCACTGGCCACATTCCACCTGCAGGCCTGGGTTCCTTCCCTTTCCACTGCTGGACAGTGCCGCCTGAGAAGACCCCTGGAGGCAGGCACCTCCATCTCCCTTGTTCGCACCACTCAAATCCAGGATTTTTCCTAGATTATTTTAGGCTTTCCAAAATGTACTGAGTGGATCAAAGGCTGTTAGTTGCTGAAAGACAGAGTCATCAGAGCTCTGAAAGGACACAGGGGCTGCAGGTGGAGGAGCATGGCCTCGGCACAGACAGCCAAAGCGTGGCCAGTGTGAGAGCAGCCAGGCAGCAGGACGGAAGGGGAAGCCAGCCAGTCACAGGGCAGAGGGTTCAAAAGCCTAGAGGACATTGCAAACTGAGCCGCCACGGCTAAGGCATGAGCAGCATGCTTGTCTCTGAGAATATATATAGAGATATTTTTAGTTCAGTCAATGCTAAGATGTACCTTACCTTCTGAACTTCAGTAATTTCTTTCCCCAAATTAATAGCGTAACATATCTGCAAGAGACAAGGAAAGGTAAAGGTACAGAATGATGAAACAACTTCAGGAAAAGCTGCTCTTGGAGTTACAGTGGGGTTACCTGTCTGCTCACGTCACACTGGGAGAAGCCCTGCCTGGCTGCAGGAGGCTCACCCGCTGGGCCCTGGACCCTTCGCGTCCACGGACCTGCCCACCTGCGGCCGCACTTTGGCAATTTGAAAAATAACTTGGTATTTAAAATTTGTAATAGGGTATTTTTCCCCTTTTCTGTATTCACTGGATTCTACCATTGCATGCTCTTAAAGGCAGTGGCAATTACTGAAAGGATGGTTGACTGGATTCTAGGTAGTGTCATCGTTTTCCACGTGAAACATGTTCTCCCATCTCTCTTGCTGACACTTTGAGGCTACTCTGTCAGTTTAATCATTGCCCGATTATCCACTGTGAAACGAATGTCTTGCTATTCAAGGTCTTGCTCATTCACTCTGCTTTTTTGAGTATTTTTCCACAGGGAAATTTTTCATGCAGTTTTCTTTTAGTAGGGACACACATAAAAACCAGCAGTGAATGCTCTGGAGGGAGATGCCAGAACCCTCCTTGCACAGAGGCATCGCGGAACGCAACAGGGAAGCAGCGAGACCTTTTCGCCTTCGGAGTTGCTTTCAAAGACGTATGTGCTCAGGGACGGGTCTCCGGCGGCCTCGGGGGCGCGGACGACGAAGCCAACCAGCCTCTTGTTTTCTTGGTGAGCAGCAAACTGTGTGACACTGGACAGTTCAAACTAGGGGGGAGGAAATGGGAATACTCAGACAAGGTGGTTTTCTCTGCAGAGTGGACTGCCGGTGACAGTCATGACATCTGACAGACACTGCGGGCTGAGGTTGTATTTAGGGTGCAGGCAGAGGGCAGCTGGGGTCATCACTTAGCCGGCCTGGCACGGTACTTACACTGGCCCTGGACACTTGAGTCTGAGGATCGATCAACCTGCAATTGGGAGAGAGGCACTACTTCAGAAACAGGCTGCACCAGAGAATCCATTTTTACCTGAAGCAGATATGAACATACATTTCCACTATATTCTTCCACTTGGGTTAGAACTGACATTATGGCACTAGGTGTTGAAATTACCAAAGTGCTGCCTTACAAGTGGAACAAGAAAGTTACGGTTTACAGAAATAGGTTCTATTTCTGGTTATGTGAGGTGTGCATAGACAAATCTGTAGTGAAGGCAAGACGAGTGCCTGCTGGTTGCCTAGGGCTGTGTGGGGTGCAGGGGTTCCTCTGGGTGTAGTACAATCGAAAAGCAGCTGTGGCTGCATGACACTGCGTATACTGTCGTGAGAAGTGACTCACGCGGCTGGTGCCGAAACTGCATCTTGAAGTTACCCCTGCAGGCATGATGCGGTGCAGATGTGTGCAGCTGTACCACCATGGCACTTGGAGCCAGAGGGTGCACGCTGACGAGAGAACCGGGCTCCTCACCTACACTGGCCAGCCCTGCACACACGTGGGCCGCCCCTGCACAGCTGCTCAGCCAGGTGGCCGAGCCCACTGCTGACGCTGACCGTGCCTGTGAGGGAGTGGCACTAGTCTCTACTGCTGGGTGTGAACTGAAGAAGCCATTACCCTGCAGGGAGAGTAACTTTTACTTAGGAATCTGGTGAACTTTGTCTACAGCCGAAAATTTTAAAAACATGTTTTGTAAAAAACCTTCAAGTGATTGCTTTAATTTTCTGGTTTTCTGATTGATCTCTACACAAAATGGTCCCAGAACATCAAAGTCCACTGCAGGTGTGTTTAATGGAAAATACCCCTTGGAAATGCCACTGTGCTTGCATCCCTTACCGTGTACCCCCACTGCCACCCTCACCAGAATATTCCATCACTGCAAGGAGTCTCTGCCCACTGATCTCTCCTTGTTCCTGCCTCCTCTGCGCCTCTGGCAATCTAGCCTGCTAGCAGTCTACCGCTCAGCTGTGACCTCACTGCCAGCGGCTCTCCCTCGGCTCAGCGTCTGATGCTCACCACTGCGCCAGCTTCCAGCACCATGTGGTTGCTTCTGAAGCTGTGTCTTACTGCGTTGTGTCTTACCCCTGCTGCTTATGCACTTGGCTGTTGGACATCCGGATTGGCTGTCTTTGGGTTATTGTGAAGAGGACTGCTGTGAATTTCTGCATTCAGGTTTTGGTTTGAACACCTATTTTTAATTATGGTTACCTACTTGGGAAGAGAATCCTACAATGATTTTACTCTTTACTGGAATAACTGCGATCTATTTTCAGTAGCTGCTGAACCAGTTTCCATTCAGTGGGTTCCAATTTCCCCACACAGTGCTAATCTTGTTTTCCTTTTTAAAATTGTAACTGGTGGGTGTGGTGTGCTCTCTCATGATGGTTTTGGTTTGCATCTTCCTATGGCACTCAGCATGCCATATGCTTGCTGGCCATCTGCATATCTTTTCAAGACCTTTGCTCTTTTTCTGAGCAGGCTGCCTTCGCTCACTGTTACAAGCTTGTTATGTGTTCTGAGTATTAGATCCTTACTAGAGTATTCCTTGGGTTTTTCCACTTTTTAAGACTTATTTTTTCCTTGAAAGAGAGAGGGGGAAAATAGAGCTCTTCTGTCACTGCTTCACTCCCCAAATGGTCGCTGAGTTGGCCTGAAGCTGGGAGCCAGGAGCTTTCTGGGTGCAGGCAGGGGCCCAAGGCCTGGAGCCATCCTCCACTGTTTTTCCAGGCTATAAGCAGTTGGATCAGAAGTGGAGCAGCTGAGACTCTTAACCAGTGCCCATATGGGATGCTAGTACAGCAGGTGGAGGATCAGTTTGCTGTGTCACTGGGCTAGCCCCATGTTTTTCTACATTTTTGGATAGTATTCTCTGATGTAGTACAGTTTTTCTCAGTCCTTTTACAGATCTGAGAAATAATTTTTTAAAAAATGGTATGGAAAATATATATTGAAAAACTTCCCAAAGCTGTTGCAGTACAGTGGGTTATACCAGCATCCCATACCAGAGCTGCAGCTGGAATTCTTGGCTGTGCTGACCCAGCTCCCTGCGGATGCTCCCGGGAAAGCAGCAGAAGATGGCCCATGTGCATGGTCCCCTGCCACCACACAGGAAATGCAGTGGTGGGGCTGTTATTGCCTTTAGCCTGGCCCAGCTCTGGCCATCTCGGCTGTGAACCAGGGCACGGAAGGTATCTCTCTCTGCCTTTCCAATAAAAAAAATGTTTTTAAAAGATTGTGCATGGATTGCAATTCTTTTTTGCATCAAAATATCTTGTAATTCCACTTTTCATTAAGCTCTTTGTTAAGGCTCCTTTATTTGACATTTTTGGTGGATTTTAACCATGTGGTTCGTATGAACAGTAAACCAGTGTGTGTACAGGCCTAGGGCTCTGGCTGTGAGGTTATTCCCCAGCAGCTCCTTCTCAGGCCGGTGGCAAGGAGGGGCTCTTGGAGCCATGGAGAAGCCTGCCCCTCTGCCCCTCGAGCCCCAGCCAGCCCTCTAGAACTCATGTTTGCAGAGTGTCGCCTGTGTCCATCAACTGTAACTGGTTCGTGTGGGTTATCTCACTATGACTACGACTGAATGACCTTGAATATGAAGCTCCAATAACCTGCCCAAAGTCATGCGGCTGAGAAAGCTAATGCTGGCAACAGACCTAGCTGTGCTGGCTGGTCCACAGCACTCTCCGGGCCTGCTAAAGCATTTTGGGCTCTCCAGTGGCCACATTAAACATGCGCCTGGGAACATGTGAAATTATTTTGATTTTATCTAATAGCTGAGATATAAACAGTTAGACAAACTGCTACCCTAGGATTTCAGGAGAAGTTTCTGGGGCTCTGGGGTGGACTGGCACCGTGCAGTTGACATGACTGATGCCACAGGGGCTCCCTGCAGCTGTGCTCTGGGGAGTGCAGCTCTTCAAGCCGTGGCAGCTGTGACTGCGCTGTCTCGGCCAGCCTTCGGCACATCCTCCACATGCAACTCACAGCACTTGGCCTCATTACTTTGAGCTTCTCCACAAATAAGCCTGTTTCTCTTGTAGTGTTCTGGTTATTGCAGACAGAACCAACTCTTCCATACTGAGGAAAAAAGCCAAAACCTTCCTTTACTAAGCTCACAGACAAAACACAGAGAGTACAAAGCGACAGCATCTTTCTGAAGTTGGCCAACTCAGAACTGATACCTGAGGCATCACCTCTCATCTTCAAGGGAGCTGCTTCCATCCTGTCCCCGCTGCCCCGGGGGGCAAAACTTAGGGCAGCACCCCTGAATCCAGTCAAGGCCATCCCCAAGCCCTGGCATTCTGGAGGGCTGACCCTGTCTGCAGTGGGTATGGAGGCTGTGGAGACGGACGTACCTCAGAGCCTGGCTGGTGACCACCAGGTGCGACTCCGTCATGCGGAAGATGTTATGAATGGCCCGGGCAGCTAGGACTTGTCTCATGGCTTCGTAAATCACTTCGGCAGTGCTGTCTGTTTTAACTGCCATCGAGCCCAAAAACCGCACTACGAACATCTGCTGCAGGAGAGAGTCTGCAAGAGAGAGTGTCCCACTCTGGGTCATCCGCTTCCGACCTGCTGGGGACACTCCCAGCTGGATGCGGCGTCACCGGGCTGGCTCCTTCCCTGCCACCTGATTTCTCGATGCTGCATGTCCAAGTAAGCCTGACCCAGCCAACGCTCTGAATGGCCCGTTCACATTCCAACACTGTATTTACAGCTGTTTGATATACACGAGTCACATTAGGTGACCGTGCACTATGATGGTGGAAAGTAAGAGTTTTCCACTGGACAAGTGGGAATTCACCACTTGGCCCATTTTCTTCCTTTTATGGATGCAAGGGGAAAAAAGACCTCATGTTGCCATATGGTTCATTCGCCATGTGTGCTGCTAAAGGCAGTGGTGGCACTTCATCACCATGAAGAGCTCCACCCTCACCGAGCAAAGCCCGATCCCCCAGGAAGCAGGAGGCCTTGCTAGCACTTGCTGTCACTCAACTACCTGCCCTGGCTCGAGATCCCTTCAGTGGAGCAGACGCAGCCAGCTCCACTGGCACATTACAGAATGTAAATGAAAAACACACACTGTATCCTGCGGCCATTGTGTCCCACAGGAAGCTGCCACTTGTGCTACCCACACCCCAGCCCGAAGAGTTCATCTGAGTCCCAGCTAGTCTTTTCTTTTTTTTTTTTTTTCTTTCTTTCAATTTGAAAAGCAGATTTTATATAGAGACAAGGACAGAGAAAGAAAGTCTTCCATCCACTGGTTCACTCCCCAAATGGTCTCCACAGCCATAGCTGAGCAGAGCTAGGCTGGGACTCAGGAGCTTCTTCCAGGCCTCCTCTATGGATGCAGGGTCCCAAGGTCAGGCTGGGCAGTGTGGTGCAGTGGGTTAAGCTGCCACTCATTGTGCATGTTCCATATTGAAGCAACAGTTGATTCCAATCCAGCTTCCGGCTAATGCCCATCCTGGGAGATAGCAGATGGAGGCTCAAGTCCTCGGGCCCCTACCTTCCATGTGGGAGACCTGGACCGATGGTGTCAGCCTGGGCCACCACTGACTGTGGCAGCCATCTGAGGCTAGAGTTCTCTGTCTCCTGCACCCCCAATCGAAAGCTTTTAACCTTTTAAATAACTCACCTGGTGCCACTATTTAAAATAAGAAACGGACCTTGTCACTTTGTGCACCCTACCAGGCACGCACCTTCTGCTTCCGGAAGTGATCCGTCCTCTGTTTCCCCGAAAGGGTTGACGCGCCTAGGGGAGGAGGCAGAGTCAGGCCATCCTGACAGCCCAGGAGCCATGCTGCAAGCTTGGCAGGCTCAGCGGTGGGTGGGGACAGGAGTGGCTTCTCCCAAGGACAACCTCCCTTGGCCCATACCTGCTCCCTCTGTTCTGATCAAGGAATTCCGAGGCAGGTAGGACAATGTCAAACTGAATTGGTGTCCCAGGGGCGATCAGTTCTTCCATGTCAGTTGCACTAACTGTCGCTTTGGGAACGAGCTTGGCACCTTCCATCTCTGAATTGGTCAGATTCTGGCTGGAATATACACAGAAAGGAGAAACAGATGAGCTACAACCACTTGAATATTACTTAATGCTGCTGGGATCTGAAGACTGTTGATTTGGATGTACTAGTAAGGCAGAGCAATGGTGAGCTCTGCCAGTCTGGCTCACTCTCCAACTGCCTGCAATGACGGGAGCTGAGCCAGGCTCAAGCCAGGAGCCAGGAGGCTGGGACCCCACCTGGGTTTGCCAGGCGTTGGCAACGGCTCAAGCACTTGAGCCATCATCTACTGCCTCCCAGCACACACTAGCAGGGAGCTGGGTGGGACACAAGAGGAGCCAGGACTTGAAGCCACACTCTAATATGGGAATGCAAATGTGCTGTGCCGCTACACCCAAAGGTGGCTTACAAATGGAAATGCCATGGAGAAGATTTTGATCTCTCACCCCATCATCCAAATAAACCTTCCCAAATCTCCCTATCCTCCAGAGCCCCCCGCTCTCCCTGCTACCTCCAGTTCTGAGCACAGCACTCTGCTATGTGTCAGGCTGTGCTGAGTGGACCCACCCCTCTTCACTCTCCCTGGGAGATAGGGGTCTGCAGGTTACAGCTTGAGTCATGGTTCCTACGTGTCCCCTTGGCACACACTCAGTCGCTGAGGGAAGGAAATACCTGGGCTTGGTATTGAACCACAACCCGGCGTCAACTGCCAGCCGGCCGCCCCTTCCCAGGCCCTGCACGCCCTGCACTGCAGCCACACTGTGGCCTCTTCCAGATGTCCCCCCCGCCTCAGCTGCTCCCCCACCCCTCACGGGCTGCGGCCACCAGCCCAGATGCCTGCTCATCTGCTCTGCGGCCACGCACCTGCCCCTCCTTGGATCCTGGCGCTTTCTCTCGGCCAGTCCCAGGGACGCAGTCCGGTGGCCCTGTGGACTACTAGAACTTGTGTCCAGATGCCTGGTGACCCAGACCGGTTTTATGAGGGTTTTATGGCAAAGAGCACCGTGTCTCTCCTGCCCTCGTGGCAGGTGGCTATGAATTGGCTTTCCACTTCTGAAAAATCTTTTCTCCCCAGCTATGGTGCGGCCTCCTCCGAGGGGCACAGAGTGTCACACACTTGGCTTTCCACGTGCTTGGGGCCATGCACAGCTCTCTGTTCTCTTGGTTCCACGCGTCTCTCCCACATCCCATGCGCCTGCTCTACACAGCTCTCACCCCGGTGGTTGTCCTGAGTGTCCTGCGCACAGGCGCCACTCCCCAAGACCCCTCAGTGAATCTCCAGAACGAGCAGGAAGGAACCCAGCGCCTCCAGGGCAATGAAGTGAGTCTGCAGCCGCAGCCATCTGGGGAGTGAACCAGTAGATGCAAAGACCTCTGTCTCTCCCACCCTCTCTGTAACCTCACTCTGATTTTGAAATAAATCTTTAAAAACACAAAACAAAACAAACAGCTGGAGTGAGCCTGAAAGCCAGGTGACACACAGTCTCCCTATGGCCAGCACTGCTGTCCCAGGACGTCCCCTGGCACAGCAATGCCACCTGTTGTGTGACCCACATGTAAAAGAACACAGGATGCCAGCAGTGCTAAGCAGGAGGGCAGGAGTGGGAGTTCAAGGCAAGAAGGCCACTCGCAAACTTTGGCTCTGAACGGTCAAAGGGCAGGTAAGGAAGGAAGAAGGGAGATGAGAAGAGGGGAGGAAGGGAGAAGGAGAGGGTAGAGAAAGGAAAGGCACAGGGAAAGATGGGGGGGAAGAAGGGAGGGAGGGAGGGAAGGCGGGGAGGAAGGCAGGACAGGGCGTTGCTGGCATGGGACTGGCTCAGAAGTCAATGACAGACTGTTTCTAACGACCTGATTACTATTTTTCCCCACTTCAATCAAAACATGTTTGTATTCCTATTGACTCTGACCCTAAGAGCACTGCCCTTAACCCCTCTCGGGGGCCATCTGACTGCCACATCTGTCACCCCTATAATCCCCAGGTTCATCCAGCTAGCGGCTGGATTCACTCCTGCCCACCCCACCAGGATTCTTCTGAGTCCTTTTGTGGCTCCTTCCTAAGAATACGCTGATTTACTTACTCTAGAACAGGGAAGAAAAATCCATTATTGAGTAATTAAACCTGAGCTGCCTTCAAACTCGCTCCTCACTGAACTGGCAGGAGCACCCTGGGCAGGTGTCATGTTGGGGTGGGAAGGAGGCCTGGGCCATGTGCTTTGTCAGATGACACATTGTCCAGCTGTACACACAGCAGCACTATTTCTGGAACCCTCTGTCTCCCACTGTAAGGCCAGCATTTGCCCCCCTGGGTCCCGTGAGATTTCTGTAGCTTTGCCAACAGCAGATAGACTCAGCTACCCAGGGAAGCCTAACAGATGAACCTGCAGTGGCCACAAAGTTATTTCCATTTATTCTCATGTTCAATAATACTTCCAAAAACTTGTGAGAAAGCGGAATTAAAAGGTAGTTTATTTTGGTACAAAAGCACTGTGCAGCCTGGGGTGGGCACTGTGGCCCAGCACGTTACACTGCTGCTTGTGAGGTCCACACCCCACATCCGAGTGCCTGGCTCCAGTCCCTATTACTCCGGGCTTCGATCCAGCTCCCTGCCAATGTGCCTGCGAGGCACAGGATGCTGGGCCCCTGCCACCCACATGGGAGACCTGGCTTCAGCCTGGCCCAGTCCTGACTGCAGGCATCAGGGGAATGAACCAGTACACATGGCTGCTCGCATCCAACCCTGATCCAGCCCTGACTGGCTCCATGAGAGCCAGTGGCTCTGCCCGCAGTTACCTGGAGCACGAGCTCTCCTGCTTTTTGCCGAGGCTTGTGATGGGAGTCACAGCTTCCAGTGCCGTCTGATTGAGCTTGATGGCGACTGCCTGCAAGCCACAGCAGTCGGGCTCAGCCCACAGGTGGTCCCTCGGCTCTGAACTGAGGCAAGGGCTGGGATGTGTGGGGTTACCTCGGGGTTGTCGGTCAGGTAGATCTGCCTGGAGATGTTGTTTATGGCACATATCCACTGCAGAGGGCATTGCAAGAACAAACACACGCTGAGCCTCACTCCCAGGCGCTGGCCACGCTGGCCACAGGCTCGGGAGAGAAGCAGGGCTTTACCTCGTCATTCTCCTTCCTGCTTTCTGCCTGCAGGATGATTCCCCTGGAAGGAAACACACCTGGGTCAGGGCCTGGGATCGCACGGCCCAGGGTCACTCTACAAACGTGCAGCAAAGGCCTTTGCTCTCTAGAGGGGCACGGCGCTGGTGGTCGAGGCAGAATACCAGCCTTCTCACCAGTCTGCAGGAGCAGCTTAGCAGCAGCAGCCAGGGCACCCTCAGCCCCAAGCCACTGCCCTCCTCAGAGGAGGCAGCACCTCCATCTGCTCTGTGGGAGGGGGCGCCACAGGCTACCAGCCGCAGCTGCCAGCAGGTCAACCCCAACCACTGCCTGCAACTGTCTCTGAGACAAGATCCACAGACCAGGGTCACTGCAAACCAGGCCACCAGCATTCAGAGCAGGACCTGGCCACGGGGACAGCGCGTCAGCAATGAGTCAGCTACATGGAACATGCCGTCCCCAGCTCCCAACCACTTCACCTCACCCCGCCAGCCAGAAAGCAAACAGCAGTGCTCACTCACAGCCAGTAGGCAGCAGCCAAGAGCTTCACTAACATGTGTGGGTCACCTCCGGATGCCATAGCAGGCCCTCCACAGAGCTCCCTGAACAAGGCACCTGCATACTGCATGGTTCAGGCCACGGCACTTGCTCACTGTGGCCAAGTCCCCACCCTGGTCCTCCTCCCACACAAAACCTGCGAGGCGTACGATTTCCCGTTGGGCGTGGTGATCTGGAAGCAGTATCGGCGGTCCTCGCAGTCCACAGCCATCACGGAGCAGTTGTCCAGGTCCTGGATCAGACCTCCGGCCACGGCGCCGCGGGGCTGGCACATGAGGTTCCCACCCTGCGTGAAGAAGTACAGCCTCTCCCAGGTGGTGGTGACCAGCCCCGTCTTGCTGTACGGATTGTGTCGCAAGAGCCCATTAGTGCTGGGAAGCTGGGGGCAGCTTAGAAATCACTTCTCTCGATATTACAACAAAATGGCCTGGCAAGCTGACCAATGGAGGGAGCAGCAGAGGCCTGATTCAGTTGGTATGATCCCGGAAACCAGGGGGTCTGCTCACACAGCCCCAAACCCAGGATACACAGACCCCACTGTGGCCACACCCACGGCCTCATCTTTAGTCTGCAAGTGCAGCGAGTCCAGTGCCACTGCGTGGATGGATGGTTCCTGCAGGACCTCACAAAGTGAAACTGCTTCTGACCCGGAGCCAGTCTGCCCATAGGGTCACCTCTGCTGGAGCTCACGGGCCATGGTGCTCTGCAGCCCCTGGAGGGGGTCCTGCCATCACAGGCTGCTTTATAAAAAGAAAAGCCGGGTCTTGGCTTACACTACCAGGACCTCAGCAAGCCGTGTTTCCCTGTGGGACTCCTAGAAAGTCAGCTGTGGTCTCCACCTGGTACAGACATTCCAAGGACCCCACCCCGCTGAGGTGGCAACCGCTCTTCTTTGGGGATGGCACACACTTCCACAGGCTGAGCCACTCTCATCCCAGACACCCGGGACCACAGGTGTTCTGGAAGTGGGCCTGCTTGGTCTCTGACCACCTGTACCACCTGAGGAGGATCCGCATTCCATGCCTGCATGACAACACCCTGGCCCTGCCTGCAGCCGCACGTTAAGAAACACAAGGGTCAAAGATGGCATTCCGTTAGATGGGCCTGACTGCAAAGGCCTTGGCCCCCCCGAGCTGTGTGGCTCTCCCACGGGGCAGTAGCTCCAGTGTTTCCAAGAGGACAGTGATGAATGTCTATCAGCACTGTGGAGAGCAGAGGGCAGAGCGGCTGGGGCATCTCCCAGACCCCAGCGCTGGGTCCTCCTCAATGCCTCCAGCCCAAGGGCAGCATGGGGCCGGGGCTGGCCCACTCTTGGGTGTCACCAAGGGCCCTCGTGCACTCACTTTCTGAGGTTGAGGTAACCGGCCTTCTGGATGAGGTTCCTGTTGATCTGAGGCGCAGCCACGTCCGAGTCCGGAGTGTAGACAGCTTCATCAACAGAGAGCAGCTCCTGCTGCGATACCCGCATCTTTTCCGCTTCTGCTTCCAGCTCCACCTGAATGCTTAGGACGGAAGTTATCAGTCACACACTTGTCACCTGTCACCGGGCAGCAGGCAGAGTGCCATCACTCTACCCCCAGGCCTCCTGCCTGACAAACAGGACAACCAGGTCCCAGGGACTCCGTTATACAGGACTGCAGGTGTTCATGGATAGCATGAGGGGCTGGTGCTATGGCCTAGTGAGCTGAGCTGTAGCTTGCAACATCAGGATCCTATATTGGAGCACCAGCTCAGCTCCCGGCTGCTCTGCTTTTGATCTGGCTTCCTGCTAATGCACCCGGGAGGCAGCAGATGGCCCAAGTGCTTGTGCTCCTGCACCCACATGGGAGACCCTGAATAAGTTTCCAACTCCTAGCTTCAACTGGACCCAGCAACTCTCTGTTGTAGCCATTGGGGGAGTGAACCAGTGGATGGATGGAAGAGCTATCACACTGCTTTTCAAATAATTTTTTAAAAATCTTAAAAACAACATACAGCAGAACATAAGGTATACTAGGAAAGTCTGCCCGAATCCAGACAGTTTTGCTGCTGACACGGTTTCTCAGCTCAGCACCGTGGATACAAATTTCAGGAGCCAAGTTTTGCAGGCCCGCCCTCGAGGGCCATGTGCACAGCAGCCCATGACAGTCCCACACTGGACAGGATGTGACATGTCACTGCTGCCCTGTCCTTGGTCTACGCAGGAGTGGCAGGAAGGACTGCTGTAGACAGAACAGCAACCATGAGGCCACCAAGGCAAATGCAGTACCTCTCCCCTCACAATAGCCAGAAGCTGTGCCGAGCCGCCCGAGGCCCACTGGTCAGGGGCTGCCACAAACACACATCAGGATGGTGTCCATGCTGGGGAACATGAGCCCCTGGCTCCCACGTGTGTGTGTGCTCTAGGAAGCCATAGCTGCAGAAGGCCGCCGCCCTTGGGCCCAGAAAGTGACTCCCATCCGGCCATCCCACCATGGTGACAGCCTGACTATGAAGTGCTGAAGACACAGTGCAGCCACCAAGACAGCCAAGACAGCCAACCGTGAGCAGACACCTCACATCCACCTGAGTCATGGGCAGAGCACAGAGTGACAGCATTCTGTTGGGGTGGACCAGGGGTTCTGCTCAGGAGGCCCCTGGCTAGTGAAGTGAGCCTTGGCCTGGCCATCCTGTGCCTGCTCCTGTTTGGCATAACTTGTGTGGGCTCCTCTGCCCGGGAGGGATGCCACCATGAGGGACCTGACAAGCGGGAAGAGCCCACACGCCACCAGCTCTGGCTGCCTATCCCTGCCGAGGCTGAGATAGGGTGGGACCTCGTGGGCAGGGTGGGACCTCTTGGACTCTTGTGGGACAGAAGCCTGTGGGAAGAGCTGCCGGCAGGGGGTGAGACAGCAAAATGGGGCCCCGGGCCGGACTGAGCAGCAAAGGCAAAAGGCCCACCCAGGGCGCAGCATTACCTCTGTACCATGTCCACAACGGAGGACAGGAAGTTGTCCATACTTTTGGAAAACATCTCTGCTCCCTTCTTAAAGTAGTTGATCTGAAAGACAGAACCCTCTGAGAATGACCTGCAGAAGATGATCATGGAACTCATGTGATGGGAGACAGACAGTGTGGAGGCAGCCAACGCACACATGCGCCCCAGGCCTGCCAAGCCAGCCACCACTGAAGCATCCATGTGTAGTCCCTGTTACAGCAGTGGAAGGGACCCAGTCCACCTGCACTCATGCTCTGGGGGAAGCGAGACTTGGCCTGCAGACATCAGGCATGACATGAGTAAAGCACCCAGTACGAACCATATACAGTCTACAAAGGTGTAAGAGGAGCAGGTGCTCCTATAATGGGGGCTTTTTAAAGATGGCTGACAACCTTTGCTGAGCATCATTTTGCTTCCCCACGTGCCCTTCTGCTTCTCGAGCATCAAGTGAGAGAGGATTCCCAAGTCCACCTCCTGAATTCTGAGCTCAGCCCGAGAAGGGTGCCACTGCAGCATCAGTTCCCATCCTTTATCTGAGGTCCCCTGCTCTCCCGCTGTGAGACAACAGTCAGCAGACACTACACCGCAATGGGAAGCCACACGAGGAGACTACCTCCAGGCACTCACACTCCCTGCACCCCAGGTGGCAAGGTGCCAGCCACGGTCACCCAGATCACCTGAGAATAATCCCAGCCAGGGTACCCCCACGCAGAGCAGTAAGGGAACCTGGGATTCAGGCTGCAAACCTGCCACCCCACACTGGCAGTGAGCTTCTTCCGGGAGAAGCAGACCATGCTAAGCCTTTCCTGGGTCAGAGACAGGGCCGGGCAGGCTCTTCCCCGATGCAGCCCAGCGATCCAGGCCATCGATTCCCCAGCCTGGGTGGCTTGGCCCAACCAGGTCTGCTAAGGATCACCCAGCCCAGGTGCCAAAGAGTAGGTGGTTTCCCAAGAGGCCACATGTTTTTCTCCAGGATGATGCCTCAGTTTCTCCGAAACGTTCTCTTGGCAGAACGTGACCACTGGCTGAGGTTCGCTCCCAGAGGAGGAGCCCTACCTGTCCATGGGCAAAGCCTATCATGGGCTCCATCATGGCCATCCGCTTGCGGTACTGCAGCGCGTTGAGGGCACAGTAGTACTGCAGGGATGACAGGTGCTGCTTCCGCCGGGCGGCTGCCACCTCCTTCCCAACCTCAGTCTTCACCTGGGGAAGGGCAAGAGAAACAAGGTGTCCACTGTGGGGAGGGGCAACTCCCCAAGGGCAAGCAAGTCTGAAACGTGTGTTGATCCTTTTGGGGACAAACACAGTAAGGAAGAAGACAAGGTTCCACCTCAATTAAAAAATAAAAAACTCAACCAAAAGCACCCAGGTAAACAGCACCCCAGGGCTCACGAGGCTCCACTGCACCAGGGCAGACACTTTCAGCACTGGTGTCCGGCGTCACCACCCTTTTGGGTAAGCAACGTGGCACCAGGCACCAAGAGCCACCAACGCTTTGGTTCACTCATGAGATCCTATGGCATGGAAAGAGCTTAGCCCGAGAAGTGCTGTCACAGAGGCACCGGGTCACATACAGGCAAGCAAACGACACCCTCAACAGCAGCAAAACGTTCAGATTGGGGGGGGGGGGGGGTTGGCGGTATGGCTCCTGGCTAAGGGGTCCCTGGCTGTGAGTCACACACCCGCCCCCATCACTGCGTGACCAGGATGTCACAGCAGTTTCAAGCTGGTGCTTAAGAAGCCAGATTGAGGCAGAAGTCCACCTCAGTACGTTATTTAAAGTCCATGTACAAAAAAAAAAAAAAAAAAAAGGGCAGGGGGAAGTCACTGAGACGCTGTTAAGGTTGGAGATACAAAAGGAGCTCAAGAAAACAAAACCCAAGCAAGACGTGCTTACCTTTTCGTTCTCCTTTTTTTTGGGAAGCCTGCTGTATTTGGCCATCGCGAGGTCATGCTCTAAAATACAGACACAGATGAGCCAACCAGCCGGGATGAGCAGCAACAGCACTCACTCGGGCTCCGCCCCTGCCTACGTCACACCTTCCCCCCTAGTCAGCAGCCCTGGCAGCAGGGCTGGGCAGGGTGCTGCCTACCGTTGCTGGCGAGTCCAAAGAGATCCTTTAAAGTGCTTATTTCTGAATAAGAGAAGAGAAGACATCTCAGAGTAAAGAAAAACAAGCACGGCAACCCAGAGCCTTACCCTCCCATAAAGCTCAGAGCATAGACGAGTCTATGTACAGAAGACGGAGGCCCTCCAGCACCCAACACCATAAGCAGGAAGCTGGATAAAAAGTGGAGCAGCTTGGACTAAAACCAGTGCCCATATGGGATGCCAGCAATGCAAGGCACAGGGCTTGCCTGTGGAGCCTCCAGTACCCAGGCCTGGCTGGGAACCCTGGTCCTGCTGGAACAAATGGCAGCAGGTGCACCCCACATCCAGCCACCCTGAAAACTCAGGCAGCTCTTCATCTTTAGTGATTGCTTTAGATCTAGGCAGAGGGTACCCCGGGGACATGGCGAGACAGTGTGCTGGCCAGGGACTTGTCACGAGACCTGGAATACACATTTTTTTTAAAGATTTATTTTATTCATTTTATTGGAAAGTCAGATATATAGAGAGGAGGAGAGACAGAGAAAGATCTTCCGTCCAATGATTCACTCCCCAAGTGAGCACAACAGTCAGTGCTGTGCTGATTCAAAGCCAGGAGCCAGGAACTTCCTCCAGGTCTCCCACACAGGTGCAGAGTCCCAAAGCTTTGGGCCATCCTCAACTGCCTTCCCAGGCCACAAGCAGGGAGCTGGATGGGAAGTGAAGCTGCCGGTATTAGAACCGGCGCCCATATGGGATCCCGGCGCGTTCAAGGTGAGGACTTTAGCCACGCTGCCGGGCCCTGGAATACACACTTAACATCTAACTGTTCAGCTTCAATGTGGTGTGTCTTAATATATTTCTTCAGGATGGAGTAAAGACTATACCCAAATTTCCTGCTGTTGTACTTATAATCTCTAATTCAGAGTCACCATTGGACAAAAGAATTACAGTACTTCTTTCATGAGAAACTGATGCAGCTTGGTTGGTACAGTGTACTTGCAATCAGCTGACACCAGTTAACTCTTACCCCATATGGGGGTGATACCCACCATGCACAAAGTCTGTTTAACTAACTATAAGACCAAAAAAATCTGTGACAAGAGCAGTGATTGCCCAAGACTAACAACCTGGAAGCAGAGACAGCCAGCTGGAAGACAGTGCTGCCTGCCGCAGGTCTGCCAACAGTCCCTCTTGACGTGGACAAAGCAAGGCACTGTCCACTTCCAGTGCTGCTTTTCACTTGTCACCAAAGTGTCTTGCTTTTAAATTCTGCTTCCCGCTCGCTCCCTCACCTCCTACCCAGTTGTCTCACTTTCACTTTTCAAACACATACATCTTTAAAAGGGAGTGGGTGCAAGGCGCCACAGCTGGCAATGCTTTCATCCCATATGGAAATGTTGCTTTACAAAGATTCCAATATAGCTTCCTGCTAATAAGCCTTGAGGAAGCAGCAGATGATGGAGATGATGGTCCATGTTTGGACACCTGCCCCATATGGGAGACCCGATCTGAGTTCAGTTCCTACTACAGCCGAGCCCAGCCTTGGCCGCTGCAGGCATCAGGGAAGCCAGCCAGCAGATGGACACTCTCTGTCTAGCTGTATCTTTCTATCTTCCAAATAAAATGAAAATCAACAGAAATATTTTGGGGGCTGACTCAGTGGCCTAACAATCTACCTTTTGGCATCCGAGCATCAGCATCCCCTGTGGATGCCAGTTTATGCCGTATTCTTCACTTGCCATCCAGCTCCCTGTCCCTGGGAAAGCAGCAGACGACAGCCCAAAGCCCTGGGACCCTGCAACTGCATGGGAGACCCAGAGGAAGCTCCGGGCTCTCAGCTTCAGATGAGTTCAGCTCAGGCTACTGCAGCCATATGGGGAGTAAAGGAAAGAATGGAAGATTTCTCTTTTGGTCTCTCCTCTTTGTAAATCTGCTTTTCAAATAAATATCTTTTTTTTAATTATTTTTTTTATTGGAAAGGTAGATATACAGAGAGGAGAGACAGAGAGGAAGATCTTCCGTCCGATGATTCACTCCCCAAGTGGCTGCTCCACTTTTTATCCAGCTTCCTGCTTATGGTCTAGGAAAGCAATGGAGAATGACTCAAGTCCGTGGAAGACCCAGAATAAATTCCTGGCTCCTAGTTCCCAATCAGCTCAATTCTGGCCATGTGGAGTGAGCGTATGGGTACAGGATGCCTCTCTGTCTCTTCTTCTCTGTGGAACTCTGCCTTTCAAAAAAATAAATAATTTTTTAAAAGACAGACATTTTCTTTAAAAACCCACCTTGGGGAGAGTTTATCCCATACTGCCTTGGGCCTCAAGAGGTCTTAGCTCAGGGACGTACGGGACTAGACCCATCACTTTTAAGACCTGCCCTTAGAGTTATTGCCATCTTTTCTGCCTATAGAATAGACACAAATTAAGGTGTAAAATAGAGAACAGCATTCAAGTTTAGAGCTTTTCTTAGCTGGCAATTTCTGTATGTTCTTCCAGAAAAAAACACAACCATGCTCTGAACTTGTCAGTTCCTGGCCCGCTCAGTGTGAGCCCCCCAACAGCACAGACCTCATGTGCCTGCTCACTGCCCTCCCCAAGCTGGCACAGGGAAAGCAGCGCCTCCACTCTGCCCTTCCCTCCCAAAATGCCAAGCAGCTGAGTTCCCTGCAACAGAATGTCTACATGTGTCCCTCACCAGCTTGTCCAAATCCAGCACAGCCATCTCCTTTTCCAGGGAGCCCTTCCTGACACCCAAACCCCAAAAACGGATTTCTGTCTTTCAGTGGGCTGCTCCTTCCCATGCCTCTGTCCTGTGCCCACATCACACAGTGTTGCTTTGCACCTGTCTTGTCAGCCTGGGACTTGCTTCGGGTGAGCCAGGATGCAGCAGGGAGTAAATAAGCTTTGCCCATGGAGAGGCCCTTGCCAGTGACCTCCAGGCGCAGCAGCACTGCTGCAGCAGGAATCCATCAGTGAACAGTATTCCGGAGCTCACCACCGGTCCACTTGGTCATCTTACCTGTGAGATCCTTTTCTCGAAACTGTATGATGGGGAGGACCATGGTGTCTGCCAGCTGTTTGGCCAGCTCTGTGTGGAGAACATTCAGCTGAAAGAGAGAGAATTGTACTGAAGACAATTATCTATGTGAAGGCCACCATGATCTCCATTCGCCGAGGAGTCACAGTGAACAGAAGCACGAATCTGCCGAATGTCCCCGCACATCAACCCCTCCTAAAGCAGCAGATGGCAGAGGCCGAGGGGCACAGCATGCCAGGCTGTAGCTGACCCGGGCATCACTGGCTAATGGTGCTTGGGGCCCACAGCTGCTACTCTGCTCCCGGTGCAATCCGGGCTCTGGGCACTTGGCCTGACCACACAGCCTGGAGGAACATTCGTGTGTAGCAGCAGGGATCACCACTTACCATCCTGCCAGGCCACCGTTAGCTATCAGAGGCAGGAATCACACTGGGAAAGACAGGCCTGCCGGGCACCTAACTGGAATCTAACTCCACGGCTAGCTGTGGGCCTGCAGCTCAGGTGGGAGCCAGAGTGTCCCCTGCACAGTGGGAAAGGACATTCGCCAAGATCACAACACCAACTACAACAACAACTGCATTTGAATAGGACCCTCCCTGGACACTTGTAACAGCTATTGATTCTATTTAACCCTCAAAGACTCAGTAAATACTGTCTCTGTAAAGGTCTCAGAGACACAAAAATTACCACCATCCATGTTACCATTTTTTATTTTTAGCACTTTTTGCTGCCAGCTTTACACGCCTTATACCACCCACGCTGTGTTAGGCAACACTTATTAACACTTCTACAGACTGGCAAAGGACTCTAAACTCCAACATCACATCACCAGCACAGCTCGACTGTTCATCCCAGCTGCCAAGATCCAAAGCGCATGTTCTTTCTGCCACGCAGCCTCAGGCTCACACAGCTGCCCACCCTTTATCTGTCCAGCAGGTTCGACCATGTCAATGAACACAGAGAAGGGTTCTCTGTGGGCTGTGGGCACACACACATCCTAGTGGGTGTCTGGAGATCCATGCTGGCTGAGGGGATAGCACCCAGGAGTCTCACTGGCAGTCTACACTCGGCCACTGCCACACACACATTGGCCTGTGCCCACAGAATTCCCGAAAGGCTTGGTCCTTCTGGTCTGGAGCTGCAGAGGCCCTTCTGATAAGCTTAAAACTAGATGGGAAATGGGGCACATGACGGTCAACCATTTTCCAAGTTAAGCCCAGCCATTCTTGATCACCCTTCTGTCAACCATGTGCAAGTCCGACGGCTTTCTCCTGGGAATGCAAGGAGACAGCCATGCGTAAACTCCATTGCTGTCAACTCTTTCCTGACATTGCTTCCCCGCAAAACATCCCATTTTCACAAAATTGAACTGAATAAACATCAACAGGTACACCTAGTACACACTGGCTTCCGTGAACTTTACCTACACAACAGCCCCACTGGGTAGGTTTTCCCACCTCTGCCACTTAACAGGTGAAGAAACCAATGCTCGGCTTCCCAGTGCCATGCAGAGACACATGGCATGCTTCCCATCTACTCAGCTCGTTCTTGGGGAGCAAGAGGTCTGTGTTGTAACTTTCTGACTCAGTGCTTCTGTGGCCTACAGGTACTCGCTTGAACCGGAGTTGGGTGAAGCATGCTCATGGCACAGGTGAGCACTTGAGGGCAGCGCTTCACCTGGGCAACACTGCCCCACGTGGCGACTGCAGGTGACACAGGAGCAGAGGGCTGGTTGGACCAGCGGCCTCTGAGGACCATGACTTCCTGCTTAGGTGCATGCCAAGCATGGGAACCCAAAACCTTGCTGTTAAGGAAATCACTATACATGGAAATTTGTCTCAATTCACAGCATGGATGATCTCATTCCACAAAGCCACACAAACCTCTCTCAGAGTGGCCAGTCACTGATCTCCCAAAGGGCTTGTCCTGAGAACTTTTCCCACCTGACTTATGCCGAGAAAACCACCTCAAATAACCCCTCCTCTTTCCACATCCAGGCCTGAGGCTCGCCGCTCCCACTCGGGTCTCCCCATCAAGAGGCTGCAGGGAAAGTCCTCCGAGGCCCACCTGGCAGGATGCACCCTCCTCCCTGTGGAACCACAGGTCCCTCCTTCAGGACGTGCCATTTCCCTGCAAAGAACTTCCGTTCCCACCCATGAACATATGGCTGTGAGCAAATATTTTCAATTGGAAATTTTGGTGCTGTGGTTTTGACAACCAATCACACTTCCTTGGCAACTCTCAAGAAAACAAAGGACTAGTGGGCGCAGCCTGTGGACTCTCTCTGTGGGTTATTTACTCACTGGTAAGGAAGCAAAAGTTCTCCCCACCTTCCTGAAACCTTTCTGTGTCTCCACAGCTACATCTCTTTGTGTCCCACATTCACTTCAACACACATTCAGAGACCCACAGGGCTGGGTCTGATATTGCAATACAATGAGATTTGTATCTGGCCTCTGCCTCCAGCACTGCACATGACCTCCTAAAACTAATTTCCTGAGCAACAGGGCTGCTGGCAGCATATGGTGCTGAGTATTTAGTCCCTGACACATAGCATGCTGCAATTTCACTGGTGATTAGAGTATCTTCTGTCCTAACAAGGTGACCCTTGGTGGGTCCCAGGTTCAGACTGCTCCCCAGAAAGACCAAGCCATGACCAGAAGCCTGTGACATTCAGGCCCACTCCCATGCTCTGGGAAAGGAGAGGGGCCAGAGACTGAGTTAACAATTAATTGTAACCATGTAACAAAAGAGTCTATAAAACCCTCTAAGTGTGCTTAGAGCTGCCCGGCTGGGCAGAGCAGGTGGAGGGGCTGGGAAGGTGCCCCTTTCCTGTACCTGGCCCTGAGCACAGATGCATCTCACCGTTCTCATGTGTACTGTGGATGCTGCAACATCCTTTCTTATAAACTGTGAATAATGGCAAGTCTCTCCTGAGTTGTGAGCCATCTTAGCCATCGACCAAGCCTCCAATTTACAACCAGGAGGTGTGCACCAGTGGACAGAAGATCTTTCTCTTTGTCTCTCCTTCTCTGTAAATCTGCCTTTCCAATAAAAATTTTAAAATCTTTAAAAAGAAAACAGGCTGTCAATATATGTGTGCTGAACATGTAGCAGCTTAACAAATGAAACTGCGACTTGCACAGCCCCAAGTGCTAAGCTGGAGACAGGCCTATGGCAGACCAGCAGGCTGCAGACAGCGGAATGGATCTGCACTTTGTCTCCTCTCTCTAGCGAGCTTTTTCTGTCTGTATGTAAACTCCATGGAAGCAAAGCTGCTTATTCCTACCTATTGTCGCAGAAGGCCTGGCACAGTACCAGTAGCATCTGAGTTGTTATAGTACCAGCAGCATTGAATTGTTTTTTATAATCAGGACTTAAACACTTTTCCTATAAGAACATTGCTTTGTCACAACTGTTCCATATACACACACATACATGGTTATAAGAACAGCTACATGAAATCCTCTAACAGCAGGCTAAACTATACACTTCCACCCAAAAGCTACGTCTCCCCAGAACATATATTTGGAGAAGGAAACTTTGCACGTGGAATGGGGTGACATGAAATGACATCTTGGTTACAGGTGAGCCCTAAATGTGATATCAGGTCCTCAGTCCACAGAAGAAACGACACACACAAGGTTGAGGAGAAACCTGGCAGGGGGGTGAGCCTAGGCAGATGCAGAGTCAATGACCACAGCAAGCTGCACACCAGGAGTCACCAACACCCACCAGTACCCACCAGGAGCCACCAGTACCCACCAGGAGCCACCAGGAACCACCAGCACCCACCAGGAACCACCAGCACCAACCAGGAGCCACCAGGAACCACCAGCACCCACCAGGAACCACCAGCACCCACCAGGAACCACCAGCACCAACCAGGAGCCACCAGGAACCACCAGCACCAACCAGGAGCCACCAGGAGCCACCAGGAACCACCAGCACCCATCAGGAGCCACCAGGAACCACAGCAGCCACCAGGAACCACCAGGAACCACAGGAGCCACCAGGAACCACCAGCACCCACCAGGAGCCACCAGGAACCACCGGAGCAAGAAGGATTCCTTGAAGTGTTGAGCACCCCCCTCCCACACCTGGCTCTCGTTTTCTGGCCTCTGGCACTGTGAAAAAACACCTCTATGTTGCGTGAAGCCATCCACTGGTGGCCACTTAGGACAGCTGCCTCCGAGAAACCAATACAAGAAAGGAAATTCTAGAAACCTTTCTTTGGGTCTACCCTTCATGCCTATCCAAGGCTTTCCTCTCAAACTAGAAACAAACCAAACACTGAACTTCTCTAATGAAAACTTTTGGAAGGGCAACAAGATACCTATTTAGGATACATACTTGAAAATAGAAAGTGGACCAAGATTCTGTTGAACAAAACATATCCAGGCAGGCATCTGGTCTAGTAGACCAGACCCCAGTGGGGATGCTGGCATTCAGTATCTGAGGGCCTGGGTTCGAGTCCTGGCTCCGCATCCAATTCCAGCTCCTGTTAATGTGCATCCTTGCAGGCAGCAGGTGAGGGCTCACATATGTGAGTCCCCGCTACCCACATGGAGACTCAGATGGAGTTCCTGGCTCCTGGAGTCAGCCCAGCCCAGCCCCAGCAGCTGTGGGCATTTAGGAAGTGAACTGGAGGGATGGGAGCCCCATCTCTTTCTCCCACTTCTCAAAGAGAGCAAAAACTTTAAAACAAGAGAAGATCAGATAAAAATTTTCTGAGTTGTCCTCTTACCTCATCTACCACCTTAGAGAAATAGTGGAGCGTAGAGATGACTTCTTCATCACCTTTGCCAAGAGCAAAATTCTAAGACCAAAGGATACAGAAGGCAGGTGTCAGCTGCAAAGTTGAGAACCCAAGCCGAGCAGCCTCCCTACCACACCCACCCTCCACGCTGGCTGCCTTGCTCCTCTTTCTCACACCACTGCTGTCAGGCCTGTCCACTGGACAACACTGCCCAGGATGCCCCCACCTGCCCCTCCCTGGCCATTCCTTCACTGCTCATCACACCTTTCTGTCTGAACAGGACCATGTCTGATTCAAGTGACATTTCCTGGGATGGTGCATGCTGCTCCAGCTGTGTTCCCTCAGAAACTATGAATGTTCCTGGGCAGTTATGGTTGCTGCAAGCTAATTAGACTAGCTCCTAGAGATAGGGGGAAATCTCCGGCCAGAAATCTACCGGTGGCAGAGCAAATAACTGAAACACAGGCATACACGCAGGTCTCTGGAGAACTCCCCTCTGTAAGGCAGGCCTGGGGCGGCCAGTCAAGCCACCAGCTGCCGGCATTAAAGCATCAACCCGTATATCAGCTTCTCTGCTTCCAGCCCAGCCTGTTGCCACGGCAGCCCAGGGAACACCAGGTGACAGCTCAAGTGTTTGCATCCCTGCTACCCGAGGGGGAAGTTCAGATGCTACTCTTGACTCCTGGCTTCGGCCTGGCCTGGCCCTGACTGCCACACATCTGGGAGTACACAAGCAGATGAAGGGGTGTGTCTGTCTCTCTGTCACTACACCTTCCAAGTAAATGAAAACAAAAACCAGTGCAAAAACCGTTCTTGAAAGCAGGGTCCTCTAGAGTCCCGAGCACAGCCACCCGAGGAGCCGCTTACCTGTTTCTCATACGCCAGGAGCTGCTTGGAGAGCTGCTGGGTGGCCAGGCACATTTCATTCTGGAAGGAGAGGAGAAAGGTGAGTTAGGACTTGTCCAGGGCACATACCGTCACTGGGAACTGCCACTCCTCAGAATCCCCTCCTATGTGTGCAGTGCCTATAAACCCCCATTCTCTCCAGATATTTAGAAAACAAAACCAAGACAAATCCAAGGGAGAAAGCCAGATTTACTTCCTTTAACCCTTAATAAGCTGCTCCTCAGGTGAGACAGCAAACACATACCGGAGTGTACTGGAGCAGCCCACTGGCTATCTGGGGAGCTCAGAATCAGAGCCGGGGGGTGGGGGGGAGGGCTGTGGTGCACGACAGAGGTGGGTGACACAGGCACAGCAGGAGTGTGTAGGCCCAGGGCCTGACCCGGTACAGGACAGAAGAGCAGTGGAGTGAGGCAGCCCAGAGCTGACCAGCTTCTCCACTGCTGGAGCTCTGGGTTGGTCCTGAGGGAAGGAACAGAGTCACCGCGCACACCAGCATCCCTGGAGGCCCTGGCAAGCCATGGTCGTGAAGTTTCCCTTCTCCTCTTCCTCCGTTCACTGCTCTAAGCGGCAGCTGGCTACATAGTGCTCTGTTTCTACCTTGATACACCTATCTAGAACATGGGGCTCACACTGCTGGAATGCAGGTGAAGCTTCTCCATTCAAGGCTTCCTAAGGGAGAGCCAGAGCCCGCATGCCTGACCTGCACTGAGGACGGGAAGGCCCTGGGTGACCTCTCTGTTCTGCCCACTGCGCGTGCTCTGCTGCACGTGTGTATCTTTGAGGGGTAGTCCTGGGCCCTACAGGTGCTCGCTTAATATCCTGTGGTCCTCCTTTGCAGAGCCATTGGACCCATCAAAGCCAAATCCTCTGTTTCTGGGTCCTCTATACAGACAACTGGCCGGTCTCTTTCCTGACTTCCTCCATCTGCCCTAAAAAAACAAGCATGAACAGCCTAGAACTGTAGCTCTCTTCCTCTTCTGTATCTTCCCCCACACTCCCAAAAGCCAGGCAAGCACAATGAGGGCTCTTGCTGTGGCCCACTGCTCGTGGGACATCCTTTCAACCTCGGCCTGCAGCCTGTTAGCCTGTTAGCCTAGAAGGCAGCAAGCCTAGCCATGCCCTGACACAGGAACACACAGTGGTTTTCAGCATGGGGCTCACCAAACCTCGGGGGAACCAGTGAGTCCAGAAGGTTCACCTACAGTCCAAGTATAAAACTAAGCCTGGAGTTGTAATGTGGGAGAGGGTCGGCCTAACTCCAGTGAGGTTGTCCTGCATTCAGAACACTACTAACAACACCTGCTTGTGTGGATGTGGGGAGAAGGGTACCTTTTTTCTCTGCTGGTGGGAGTGCAAGCTAGTGCAACCACTATGGAAGTCGTTATGGAGAGTGCTAAGAGAACTGCAAATAAACCTGCCATATGACTCAGCTATCCCAATCCTAGCAATATATCCAAAGGAAATGGAAACTACATATGAGAAAGGGATCTGTAATCCTATATTTACAACAGCACAATCTACAATAGCAAAGACATGGAAACAATCCAGATGCCCGTCCAAAGACGAGTGGTTAAAGAAACTGTGGTACATCTACTCCATGGGACACTACTCAGCCATGAAAAAGAATGCCTATTACTATTCAATTGCAACCAAATGGTCCCAACTAAAGACCACTATGTTCAGTGAAATAAGTCAATCCCAAAAGGGCAGACACCGTATGTTCACTCTGATATAAGGCAACCTTAATGTAAATTATAAGATCAATACCCTTTCAATACTATTTTTGCTACAACCCATGGGTTTTGATATTGTGTTTATTTTCATTTCTTCAGAATAGTTTTTCTACTATTAAATTCTTCACCAACTCAAAGTTTATACAGTAGCATTATTTTTTTTCAAGAAGCTTTTGTACTTTCCTTCTCATTTCTTCACTGACACATTGGTTATTCAGTAGCATGTTACTTAACTCCATGGTGTGGTAAATCTTTCGTTTTATCTTTATTCCTGTTGTTGATTTTGTTTTGTGGCTTCTCATTTAAGGGAATGTATAGTAACGGCACAATACAGACTATCATATCCAGTTGTGAAGAAACAATGCAGTATGCATCTCTACTTCCAAATCAAAGATGGACTCGCAATGAAATTGTTGGATATATCTCCACAACAGTATAATAGACTGACTGCCACTGTCTGTACCAGCAATGTCAGGACACACTTAAACAACAGAAGGATGGACTTAGGAAGGACTATACTACTGTAACAATATGAGGGAAACAAATTAGGGGAATGTAGGAAGGGAATAGAGGAAATCCTAGAGCCCATGGAATTGTACTATAAAAGTAAAAATAAAATGGAGGAGAGGGGAAAGAAAATGTTTCCTAGCCTTAAGCCAACTGCCTGAGATCACACAGCTAGTTAGTAGTAGGGCTGCGAACTCACATGTGTCTAATTGTAAAATCCATATTCTCAAACTTGACGCTCCAAGATCCCATGTCTGATTAAGAGACTGATAAAGCCTGAGCTTTACAATGGGGTTGGCAAACCCTTCCCATAGAATTAGACTTCTGCTCATGGCTGCCAGTCTCAGCTCTGCTACAGCTTAGAAGGCCACCCAAAGCCCACAACCAAGTGCATGTGACCTCCACCCAATAAAGCTTTATTTATTTAAAAACAAACAAATAAACTGATCCTGTTTAATGTCTCAAAAGACAGGCTCTCCTGCCACACCCACTGTGGGAGGTCCTCCCAGAGGCAAGGAACATTTTCCAGTCTCCTAACGCCTTCTGTTTATATTTCAGCTGACTCCCATGTGTTACTCATGTTCTGCACTGTACCTACACCTATTGGAGACTGATCAACAAGTATGCAAGGACCGAGGAAGCCCCACATTCTTCCTTGGAACAAGGGCTTGGAAGGTAAAGAAACAGCATCTGAGAACTTGCAAGCAACCACCCTGCACCTGGGTCTCAGGAAGAGTGTGGGGTGAAGGAGGGTGGTCTGTGGCAGCAAGGAGATCAGGGCCACACAGAGCCACACAGGAGTTGCTCCACAGCACAATCTGGAACAGGTAGGCTCTGCCAGAGTACTGCTGGACATCCCCTGGGAAAACACCACGGGTGGTCTTTCGAGTTGTAAGGCCAGTTAAGGGTCTGTCCTACCATCACCACCTCAAAATAGCAACCCTAGTGTCCACATGACAGCCTGTCGCCCGCCCTGATGAGTGCACATGATGTGGAAATTCTTCTGAGTCCCATCAGCCCTCATCTTACTCTTAATCAACTGCACACACAGCTTCAGGAAACACCTACCCAGTGGCAGTCACTGAGTCCACACCCTGTGTGGTAAGTTTGTACAATTATCACTGTGGCAAGACTTGCCAAACTGGAGCCTGCGAGGAGGGCAAACATGAGACTCGGTCCATCCTCCCACAGTGCTTGCTTAGCAAGGCAGTGGAGTGCTTTTCACACTGTATCACATTAATCCTGGCAGTGCACCCATGTGGGAGGCATCATCACTAATCCCATCTGACAAGCAAGGGTGCAAAGGTTGGGAACAGTCTATAATCTTCTGGAATCCCGCGACAATAGAAACTGGCAAGGCCAAGATTCAATGCAGGTCTGCCAGACTCCGTGCACAGCCCAGGTTCTTGACACTGTGTCATTCCAACAGCTGCACCTAGTTGACCCCTGGTGGGCAGGACAGGAGGGCCACACCATGAACATAAACCCCTCACTTTCCAAGCTGTAGTACAGCAAGAAAGGTGGCCTGCCATTCAGATTCTAAATAGAGTTCTGTGCTCAGTGTGCTCCTGGAGGCCCTGGGATGGTGCTTGGGCTGCTGTCCACACCATCTGCTGCCCCAGAAAAAGGCTCCCACCCAAGGGTTTATCGGCAGCACCTCCCATGCCAAACAGAACCTCCCCAGTCTGTTGTCCAGGCAGAAAGACAGCAGGTGAGCAGAGCCGGAAGGAAAACAGTGCCTGGCCAAGTGAGCAGTGAGCAGTGCCTGGCCAAGGGGTGGCACCTGCATCTCCCTGCAGCAGAGAGCTTCCTGGCTACACTGCCGCCTGAACCACACCCTCTGGGGAGTACCATTTATGGCAAATGCAAAGGCCAAGGTCAGTGTGGGGCACAGGAAACCCACCACCATTTCAAGCAATGCACAGCCATCTGTTTAGATCTGCTCCAAACATCAGACTAGAGCCATTGCTGAAGGCCAACGGGGCATGGGGGTTCTGCACAGGGGCCACGGCACTTCCCACAGAGATGGGGCATGGACTGCACAGGTGAGAAGCCCCTGGAGGTAGGGCTACACGGAGCAGGCATGGAACCAGGGACGGAGGCCTCACTGCAGTGGTCCCCACCTGGATGGGGAGTGGGGACAGCAGGGACAGCCTCTGCCTTCAAAAAGACCAGAGGGCGAAATGGCCAAGCTTCCATTTCACCCATCACAGTCCCAGGACCACCGCACCTGTCACAGTGAGAAAGTCTCAGTGCAAAATTCCAGCACTGAACAGGCACCAATGCTATGCATCCTCCCAACAACCCTGTAGGCAGATATTAGCACGACCTCTGGGGCCAGTAAGGAAACTCAGGCAATGAAGTGACCTGACTGGCCAAGGGCACACAGCAAGTGTTGAGCCAAGGCTGAAATCCAGATCTGCTGAGCATGTGGTCGGTCACAAACCTAACCCCAGACCCTCAGTGTACGCGCCTAGCCCAGGACAATCTTTCAGTCACACATCTAACCCTGGACCCTCAGTGCCACTAGGAGGACACCTGATAGAGGAGCTTGGGGAACTCCTCTGTCAGGATACAGTCTTGGCAGGTGAGCGCAAGAACCAAGGTCGGCAGCAACCCAGACCAGACTAGGTTACAGTACCCACTGGCATATGTGTGGGTTGGGTCTGGGGGTGGGCCAGGCAGAGCTAGTCAATAACACCCAATAGTAGATCCAAGAACCAGCACGGGATACAACACAGGCCAGGTCAGGCCATAACACCAGCCATTTCACATTTGGGG